TGGGTGTCCAGAGGGGACCCAGCCGAACAGAAGTGACCTGTTTGGCTGATCGTTCCTGCAAATTTGGTTATGGGTCAAGACATGTCGATACAAGTAAGTTGATATTGGAGGCCGTGAGTGTGGAGATCAGGCTTTGCACCAAACAGACCTGGAGATGATCCTTTCTCCCCCTTTTACTAGTTGTGTTGACTGTGGACAAGCTAACCAAACTTTCCAAGCCTTGGTTGCCTCATCTGTAAAATGGACATAACAGTGATACTTATACCTCACAGGACTATTTTAAGGATTTAATCAGATATGATGTAAAGTGTTTAATACTGCCCCTGGCTCACAGCGAATACTGTATAAATGTGAATGATAATGATGATGATGATGATGACTGGCAGTCACACTCTTCAATTCTGAGGATTCTGGATAAAAAAGGGGCCTACTGGGGCAACTGGGTGGTTCAGTCGGTTAAGCGTCCGACTCTTGATTTCGGCTCAGGTCATGATCTCAGGGTCATGAGATCGAGCCTGAGTCAGGCTCCATACTCAGTGAGGAATCTGCTTGAAATTTCCTCTCTCCCTCTCCCTCTGCCCCCCCACCCCACTTGCTTGCACACTCTCTCTCTTTCAAAATAAATAAAATCTTTTTTAAAAGTTGGGGGGCTGCCTTCCCAGCCTCCTTCTGGTCTCTAATGACCCTAGACTTAGGCACAAAACAAGTAAAGAAGTGATACATTCTGGGCCCAAGGAGAAGAGGCTGCTGAAGACAAAAGAGATCGGTGTCATGTGGCGGTGGCAGGAGGAGGGAGTCTGAAGGAAACGGGCAGCAGCAGAATGATGGTTCTCTCTTTATGGTAGGTGAGAGGAGCCATGGTGTTGCCCGAGTTGGAATGGATTGAAGGATGAGCCAGATGCTTTCCTTTACATCTCTCATTGAACCTTCACAATGGCCCTATGTGTGACTCATGATTCCTGTGTTACTAGTGAAGAACCGAGGAAGCAGGAGACCCCGAGTCACATCACTGGAAGTGGCCGGCAGGATTCCAAGTCAAGGCTGCCCTCCCCCTCCCGTCCAGTCTGTGTGGGCCGGGCTGGGCTAACGGGGCAGGGGTGGGCTCAGGAGTCCATCCGGTGGCCTGTCCCAGGGCCCCGGAGTCTGTACCCTCCTCTCCCACCTCTGCTAACGGGGCAGGGGTGGGCTCAGGAGTCCATCCGGTGGCCTGTCCCAGGGCCCCGGAGTCTGTACCCTCCTCTCCCACCTCTGCCCGGGCCTGGCCCATTGTAGGAGTCACCCATCCCGCCTCTCTTGCCATTCTCTTCCTCCCATCTGAGTTCACACCTCACTCGGGCAAGGAAACACAGCTGCCCGTGTCCTTCCCTGGTGCAAGGCCCTCCCATTTCCTGCGGGCCGGCTTCTCGCACTGGCCGGCGTCTTCAGCGGAGGAGGCAGCCATCTTCTTGGAGTGACACTCATACTTGTTTTCAAATGATAACGAACACATGCTGTAGAGTGGAACGCAAAATGCCCAGGGGTTTTCTCCGAGGAGTTGTTTTGGGCTAAGCCTCAAAATAGATGTGTGTGTTGGTAGGAAGAGGAGTATCAGTCTTCAGGAAAAACACTTCACTGTAGCTCAGAGATGAACAGAAACTTGAAGGCTGGTCCAGCAGGCCCTGGCACACTGGCATCCACAGCCTTCCCAGTCGTGCTTCCACAATGCCTCAGTGTGCTCTGTGCTCCAGCCAGACTGTCTTTCAGCCTTCTTCCTTACAGCTAGTGGTCACCTGCTTTCCCTCTGACTACATTGTCTTTCTATCCCCCCTCCTGGGAAGCTCCTGGTTATCCTTTAAGGTCCATCTCCATGTCCCCTCCTCCAAGAAGCCCTCCCTGATCCCACTCCCCTCTTCGTGCAGTACAGCTCTTGCTCTCCTCTTCATAACTTCTTGCCACAGGATCCTGGGACCATCACTTTGAGAGGCAGACTCTCCAGGAGATTATGAGCAGCTTGAGGTCAGGAAGCTCACCATGAACTCTGACTTCACTTGTTCATTCAACACATACTCAGAGCCCCTCTGTGCCAGGCCATGGGCTCTGGATGAGGAAATGACTCAGTGTGTCCTTGGAAGGGGTCCAACCTGAGGAAGAGACAAACTATTTATCTATCTATTCATTCACTCATTGATATATTAAAACAACAATCAAGTAGCAGAACGCTTTGCTAATCGCCAACCGGGTCAGGCCCTCTGGTCAAGGTTAAGGATACAGAAAAGAGCAAAACCTGTGCCTACCCCCAAGGAGCTCCCAGTCTGACGACCAATGGCCAGTGCAAGCAAACTGCTAAGTGCATAGTCTGTCCCCAAGGCTGTGAGGCACCAGGGTAGGTGTGGGGTCATTCTGCTTTAGCGTTGTTGTTTTTTTTTTAATGACACTGAATGAATGAATTCTTTCTGTGGGTTTCTTTTTTCTGTTTTATGGAACTTGTAGGGTTCTAATCATGAATGAACTTTGTAAATAAAAAACCCGATAAATAACTGATCAAGTAATTGACTGAAATGTCACACCAGAAATTGCTGCAGTAATAGGGCTAGATTCTGGGTCTCCACCACCCCTGGACTTTCTCAATGGGGAGCAGATTTACTCTGACCATGGCTGGCTCCAGGCTGCAAAACCTCCTGCAAACTCACAGTAAAATGCAGCAGTGCTCGCCTGCCTCCCAAGGGGGTCGTAAGCATTAATTAGTTACCATTAGTAAAGTGCTCTGAAGATGTGGGGGTGTATAAACATGGCAAGTCATTAGGCCTCTCCACACCACTATGCTCTACAGCCTGGGAACTGCTAATTGAGAAATAATTAACACCTCAGGGTGCAGAGGACGGATGCCTGGTGTTTCCAGGATTGGAAGGGATGTAATAACATGCATGGGAGCAGGGAGAAATATAAGGTTACTGTGGATCCTGATACTGAAGATTATTCACCTCCTGCCCCCAGAGAGGAGGTGTGGGGAATATTGCCTCAGTAAAATCTTTAGGACTGCACTCCTTAGGGAAAGCCTGGACCACAGTGCTGAGCTGCAGAGGCCCAGTGACATTCTTAGAGCAAAAGAGCTCAAGTCCAGCCCAGCTCTGCCTGGCCTCCTAGCTGGAGGACAGATGCCAGTCGTGGGGTTCACCCAAGCGGTATTTTCTGCCACTGTAGGACCAAGGTGATGACACCCATCGACACTGCCCCCTGCAACCCAATGCCCCACCAGGCTGTCCAGTGCCTTTCCTGTAGACCAGCAGAACTAGCCCAGATTGCACATTAGATCATCTGGGGGACTACTGATGCTAAGTCCCACTCCAGACTGATACCTAGCATCTCTGGGCAGGGGGACCGGGGCACAGGGTGAGTTCAGTGCAGCTCAGGTTGAGAAGCCCTGTTTTGGCCTGTGTGGCAAGCACTGTGGTAGGAGCAGTAAACCCTCTGACACCCCATGATTCCTTCATACCGGCTCATTTCCTAATTCCCTGCCTGAGTGTCCTGGTCCCTCAGCCTGGCCATTCCACTCCCCTCCCACCACCATTCTTGTCCTGGGAAACGCAACTCATCCTTCAGGCTCAGCTCAAGGATCACCTCCTCAGTGAATTCCTCCTTCCCTACACTCCCACAGGACTTTCCTCGGCCCCTATTACACTGAATATATGATGTTGCTCCTGGCAGATCTTGGGGTCTGAGAGCTTCTTGGAGCCAGTGTCTTGCACTGGGTCTGGCACATTTTAGGCACTCAATAGACTATAGCTGTTTTAGTTAGCTGGAGTTACATGATATGCAGCTCCCTCTTCAGGACATGTGTGCTTGTTCCCTGTGTCTAGAACATTCTTCCCCCAGATAGCTACAAGGCTCTCTCCTGCAGGTCTTTGCCAAAATGTCACTTTCTAGATGAGGCTTTCCCTGATCATCCTGAATTGCAACCACTCTACCTCCAACCCATTCCTTTTTCATAGTTATTTTTTTTCTCTATGGATGGATACTGATGGATCCTGTCTTTATTTAAAAGTTTGGTATTTTGTTTACCATGGATTTTTTTACAATAATTTTAATTAATTGCATAAAAATACTACTACCTTTGGTTACTGAGTTCGTGCTCCCCTTCCAAATTTCACTGTATTGATTTTATTGACTCTCTTCACTAGAATGTAAGCCACCTTGAATGCAGGGAATTTTGTTTTGTTCACTATTCCCAGTTTCTCCAAGTGGTTGGTGCATGATAGCGGCTCAAAAAAATATTTTGTGAATTAAAATTTGATTTAGTGTCTTAAACACTGTCTTGGACTTTGTAATGAAGGTATTTTTTTCTGTTTAAAAATTGTTAATGTATTTAAATTGAAAGCCTGTAAAATCCTAGGGTAGATTCCAAACGGAAAGGCCCACTGTTGCCTTGGTTACACCGCTGCCAGCCTTTCCATTTCGAGAGTGGGGAGGCCCCTGGCAGAGGGCGGGAACTCCAGGCTTTTATCATAGAGTTACACCTCCCTAAATCCTAGAGGGCACTTCCGGAACAGTAATTTACTCTTCGCTGTCCAAGCCAATCTATGGTCGTGGAGTAGAGCCGGGCTCTTTCTCCTTCGCTAAACTTCCGGAAAACCTCTCACAGAAGTCTAGAGTGGTGGGGTGGGGACCAGTCTCCGTGAGAGCGGCTTTGTGATTGGCAAGAAAGTCAGGAGGCGGGGCTTGGGGCGGGCCCCTGGCGCAGGCGCGTTGGGCAGGCGTGGCGGACGCGCGGGCGGCGTTGACTGGCCTTTCAGTCGGTGAGTGTGGGGGGCGGTGGGGGAAGTGACGGCTCGGGCTCGGTGTCGGGTTTACGCGCGGAGACCTAGGAGCTTGGTGGCTGTGTTGACGCGTGCGTCCCGTCCTTGGTTTGGGGCGGGGTCGCAGTCACCTGAACTCTGGGATAATGTGTTTCGTCTGTTGTAGCATGAGGGCCGACCTTCCTCCCCGTGGACCTCGGGTCTTGTGAGTGTCACGGTGGTGTTCCCGGAAGTGCCCGCCCTGGAGAGACCCTCTGGGAGCGTCTGGTGGCCCGGCCAACCTTCCCATTTTACGTATGGGGAGACAGGCCTGGAGACTGAGGTCACTTGGCCAGGGTCGCGCAGTCAGTGAAGGCCGAGCCGGTTCGTAGAACTAGCTCTGGAGTTCCATTGCTGTTTGGTGCAGCACGGTCCGAGATGGAAACCGTGGAAATTGGAGGCGAGGACCTAGCATTCCAGGTGTGCCCTGTGCTCATCTGCAGTGTCGCTGGTCCGGTGACCGCACATCCCTGAGTTTACCTCGTCTGTGAGTTGGCATAATGATGGCAAACACTGTAGCGCTTACTATATACCAGGCGCTGTTGGAAGCGCTTTACGCACAGCTTGCGTGATTGGATTGCAGGGCCATTGTGAGTTAGTCTTAGAAGAGGCCTGTGCCCCAAGGACCTGAGTAGCCGCTCTGTAAAAATTTGTGGAGTGACTGAACGACTCAGAGGCTCTTTGCCAGAGTCTGAGGTGCAGGACACGTTCCTTCCTATACTGTTTTTGAGGTATTGTCTGTAGATAACCTTGAGAATTTGGGATGATAGTAATTATTCTCCCTTCTGTGTAAGCTGAGGGGTCTGAGAACAGGGACACGTTGGGGGTGAGGGCAGAGGGCTCACGTCTTTTATTTAAACTATCCAGATAATTGTCGCATTGCACCCCTTCACTTTGCTTTTCATTCACTAGTATATCTGATCAGCAAACATTATTAATAGCCTAAATATTAGGCATTGTGCTAGGCCCTGAAATCTGACAATGTAGAAAAAACATCAGGAACTACTCGTTTAATGGAGGAATAGGACATGAAGCTTTGCTCACTCCCAGTGCCTGGCACAGCAGTTTCTCAGAAATATTTTTGAAAATTATTCCAGAACCGTAAACTAAAGAGGTGTGTGCAGTGGAGGCACAGAGAAGAAAGTGTAATTATCTCTGTTTGGAGCGGTTGGAGAAGCTTCTTGAAATAAGGAGCCTTGAATGTTGCAGTTGATGGGGTGCAGCTGGCCTCTTCCAGGAATGTTGAGCAGTTTGGGGCATGTTAGGGGAGTGGTGTAGGATAAAAAGCTGGAAGAGGTGTGTTAGGATCAAAATATGAAGAGGCTTCCTATGGAAGAACCATCCCAAGAAAATTAGGATGGGGAGCCATTCATGGGTTATAAGCAGGGGAGTGATTGGATCAACTGTCTTTTTAGCTGTAATCTGGAGACGGGACAGACAGGGTTCAAGAGTCATTCAGTTCAGTCATTGATGGACATTTATTGAGTGTCCACTGTGGGCAGGCCCCGTGCGGAATGCTACAGATGCAACTTGGAATAAGACCCAGTTACTGCCCACGTGGAGTGCTTCTCCCAGTGTGGTCCCTAGACCAACAGTATCAGCATCACCTGGAAACTTGTTAGAACTACAGTTTCTCTGCCCACTCCCCAGGCCTAGTGAATCAAACTCTGGCGCTGAGTCCCCACAGTCAGTGTTTTAACAAGCCATCCAGGTGATTCTGATGCTCACTTAAGTTTCACAACCACTGGGCTACTGTAATGGACCAAGCATTTTTGAAGTGCTAACCCAGAATAGAGGCAGTAAGAGCCAGGAAGGAGGGGGTGGACTTGAGAGGAAGGTCAGAGACAGACTCGTCTGCTTTAGGAGAGTCAAGGAGGAAGGAGTTTCTGGTGTGAGCCCCTGGCCTGAGGTGGGACCTGAAGTAAGTGACCGAGCCAGATGTGAACCATGTGTACTTACCTCCGGGGCCCACACTTTTCCACTCAGTCCCATTACGGCTCTGTGGTAGTGTGCTCCAACCTGTCCCAGGCCACAGGCCATGTAGGGGATGGTAATATTTGTACTGTGCACGGGGGAAATGGATGAAGCTTCCTGAGGTGGTAGGGGACCAGCTGGAGGACTTGAGAGCTGGAGGGGGCTGCCCAAGGGTTCCAGGCTCCAGAACTGAGAGGAGGCAGCAACCCATTTTCAGCATACTGCAGGGCAGCTCTGCTTCATGGGAGATGCTGAGAGGTAGAGGCGCTCACTGAACTTGGCAATATAAATCAGGAACCTTAAAAGAGTTCGTATGTGTTGACTCAGTAATTCCATTCCTGAGAATCTCTCCCAAATGTACCACAAACAAACAAAAGCCTTCTGTTGATTGTAGATTGTATATAACAGAAAATGACAACTCTCTGTAGTAGGAGAATCATTTCTGATATGCTTAATGGAATGTTGTACTGCCATCAGGAATGTGAATTTTTGTAAAATCATGGAGAAACACATGTGCTCATTTAGTAGACAGTGTCTAGTAAAGCCTTGCTCCGTGCTGAGTGGCAAGCAAGTTAGATATGGTCCTTGGCCGCACAGAGCTGCGTGCCTGGGGGGAAGACAGGCAGCTAACCTGAGCAGTCACTCTGAGAGTGATCGGTGATCAGTAGGGGCTGCTGTGGGAGAAGCTGGCCTTCTGGGTGGGGGCGGGGGACAAGGAAGGCATCCTAGAGGACAGGATGGTGATCCCGAGGCCCGGAGGATAAGTAGGTATGCAAGGGGCACAGTATGTTTTAGAGTGAACATGGCACAGTTGGAACAGGGAAAGGGCTATTGATGAGGCCAGCAGCAATTTGTTTCTGATTTTCCCAGTTTTCTGTAGTAACAATAGCAAACATTGATTGTACTCATAGAATGTGCCAGATCTGTTCTATTAACTTTTTATAACTCTTCTAAATCCCCACAATAAACCTACAAGGTAGGTCCTGTTGTATTACCATTTAGCAGATGAAGAAACTGAGCACAGAGGGGTTAAGTCACGCGTCCTGAGCTACACAGGGTACAGTCAGCAAGAAGCACTCCAAGGAATCCAAGCTGCCCGAGTCCAGAGCCTGTGCGATCCCATGCAGTGGTGTCTCTCCACAGTATGGTGTTAAAATTTTATTAATGGGAAAATATTGATTTATTTTTTTTAAACAAAAGGTAGGACTTGAATCTGCTAGAAAATTAGAAATGAAAGGGTTTGCATCTTGAAAGTCGGTGGCTGTCTTAGAAGTATATGTTGGAGACCAGACTGAGCTGGCTGCGTCTCGGTGTCAGGACACCGTTAACGCTTATCTCTGCTCGGCTCATCTCTCTCCAGGCACAAGTGCTTCTCTGGGCTGGGTGTCATGAAAGGCCTGCTGTCAAGATGCAGAGCACTGTCCGTCCTGGCCATCTGCAGCCACCAGCTCTCTGGGTCCAGTCCTCACAGGTTTTACCACTGTGACCCTGAGAGAGGGAAGCGCTTGGTGCTGTCTCGCATGTTCCAGCCCCAGAACCTTCGGGAAGACCAGGTGCTCTCTCTCGAGGGCACATCTGGCGACCTGACCTGTAAGAGCCAGAGGCTGATGCTGCAGGTGGGCCTGATCCACCCAGCAAGCCCCGGCTGTTACCACCTCCTGCCTTACACTGTGCGAGCCATGGAGAAGCTCGAGCGGGTGATAGACCAGGAGATGCGGGCCATCGGGGGGCAGAAGGTCAACATGCCCAGCCTCAGTCCAGGGGAGCTCTGGCGAGCCACCAACCGGTGGGACCTCATGGGCAAGGAGCTGCTAAGACTTAGAGACAGACACGGCAAGGAATACTGCTTGGGACCCACTCACGAGGAAGCCGTCACAGCCCTGGTCGCCTCCCAGAAGACAGTATCCTACAAGCAGCTCCCGTTCCTGCTGTACCAGGTGACAAGGAAGTTTCGGGACGAGCCCAGGCCCCGCTTCGGTCTTCTCCGCGGCCGGGAGTTTTACATGAAGGACATGTACAGCTTCGACTCCTCCCCAGAGGCTGCCCGGCACACCTACGGCCTGGTGTGCGAGGCCTACGGCAGCCTGTTCCGCAGGCTGGGGCTGCGGTGCATCAGGGTCCAGGCGGACGTGGGCAGCATCGGGGGCACTGCGTCTCACGAGTTCCAGCTGCCGGCCGACATCGGGGAGGACCGGTTTGCCGTCTGTTCTGGCTGCGGCTTCTCGGCCAACATGGAGACACTGCGCTGGCTGCAGACTGACTGCCCGTCCTGCCGGGGCCCACTAACTGAGGCCAGAGGCATCGAGGTGGGGCACACGTTTTACCTGGGCACCAAGTACTCCTCCATTTTCAATGCCCAGTTCACTGATGCCCAGGGCAAGCCGTGCCTGGCCGAGATGGGCTGCTACGGCCTGGGCGTGACGCGGATACTGGCTGCTGCCATTGAGGTGCTGTCCACGGAGGACTGCCTTCGCTGGCCCGGCCTCCTGGCGCCTTACCAGGTGTGCCTCATCCCCCCGAAGAAGGGCAGTAAGGAGGAGGTGGCCGCCGAGCTCATGGACCACCTGTATGACCTCATCACGGAGGCCCTGCCGCAGCTCCGCGGGGAGGTCCTGCTCGACGACAGGACCCATCGGACCATTGGAAACAGACTAAAAGACGCCAACAAGTTTGGCTACCCCTTTGTGATCATTGCGGGCAAGAGGGCCCTGGAGGACCCGGCACATTTTGAAGTTTGGAGCCAGAACACCGGTGAGGTGGTCTTCCTCACCAGAGAGGGAGTCACGGAATTTCTGAGCCAAGTGCGGGTTGTCTGAAAGCCCCGAGCCACTCCCACCCCATCCTGCAGCCTTGGTGTTCATTCTAATGCTGCCTTTTCCTACACTCCCTTCCAGGGCCGGTCTCTCCAGAAACAAGGCAGCTCATGGAACGCGGGAGTGTGTTAGGGAAACTGACTTTTATCCAATCCTTTGTTTAGACTCTTTGTATTTCAAGTCGGTGATTCCATTCTCTGGGCTGACCTTGCTGCCACATACCATTCCTCTTCCATTCCAGTGTGGAGGCTTCTGTGAGGAGGCAGGGGGGCAAGAAAGAGCTGCTCCTCTTGGCCCTCGGGTGAGTCACTTCCCTTCTCTCGAGTTTCCCATGCAGAGGGTGGGAGTGGCTGGTGGCCAAGGCCCTCCCAGCTCCAGCACTCTGACCCCTGGCCCCTTGCTGCATTTTGGTCTGAAGAGCAGGCCCACCAGCCCTGCTCCACTTGGACAAGTCCCTTCTCCTGCTGGGGCCTCAAATTCCCCATCTATGACATGAGAAAATGGAACTAGATCTGTAAAGTCCTTACAACTGTCACCGGTGGGTTCCACAGGAGGTTCATGACAGGCAGATCTGGTTCCTCTGATCCTCCATAGTCTAAGCTACATAGAAAGTTGATAGAATTAGCTAATCGCCCAAAAAACCACCCCCAGAGATGTGGCTCTATTGAGGTGGCTTAGCGCAGAGATCCTGTTCTGTTGATTGAATAAAGTCAGGCTACTGGGACGAGCCTTGCCTGTTAATGAACGGTGGTAAGGCCTGCCATTTTCACTGTGAGCGGCTTCCTACCTGAGACTGTTCTGTCCTTTCTTTTTCTACTACGTCTACACTCTACTCGAACAAAAAAACCCTACCTTTGGTGGCTGGAAGTATGTTTGAAACCATTTCTTCCCCCAGATGGGAGGGATAGCAGGCTTCAGGTGTCATGGTGAGCTTGTCCTGGGAGCAGAGCTGGGTCCTAGAGCCACGCCGGGGGCACATATCAAGGTGTCTGCCTGAATTCTGTGGGAAACCAGAATCAGGCTTGAGCCACCCCAGCATACTGCACTTCTTGTCTTAGCCAGTTGTCCCACCTGCCAAACAGCTTCCCAGCAGCATGTTACTGCTCCTGCTGTTACTGCCCAAACACACACCATCAGGTTTCCTAGTTAATGTACGTGGCAAGCCCTGATGGCCCCCAGGCTGACCGCTGGCGCCCTGGGCCTAGCATTTGGGCCAGGAGATGCTCATTCTGAGAGCAAACCTAGAAAGGCTGGATTGTAAGTTGGGGGACCTTCCCCTTGGCTGCACTTTGGTCCCACCCAGTTCTGGCTAGGGTCTGGGGTGTGGCCTGGGCATCATGCATTTTAAAGCTCCGTAGATGATTCTAATGTGCCGAGTTGATTCATGGTTCCCAGCGTACTTCCGGGCAGTGGCCGTCCCTGAGCGGCTTTGTAGCTGAGTGTTTCTTTGAGTAATTTGCTCTGTACATTATCAGATGATGTACACTCTCTGCTTTTAATGGTCTGCTCATTTATTTGTTGAGGGACTGCCACATACCACTGTGCTGTGAGGCACTTTTATATATCATTTTCATACCTTAAACTGTGCAAGGTGGGTGCTGTTCTTCTTTTACGGATGAGGAACCTGAAGCTCCATTCAGCAACTTGAGGATGCACAGTATCAGAACTAGAATCCGAGTATTGACCAACACCTACGCCATTCCCATTACAACTGCATGGCCTCTGCCTAGACAAAAGTGATTTCAGTAAACAAAACTGAATTATTTATGTCTATCTAATCGAGTTAGCCCCAGATAGATGAGCACGTAGAATTTGTGCAAATTGTCTTAATATTTTAAAAAATTTAATTCTTACTGAAGTATAGTTGACACACAGGGTTACATTCATTTCAGGTGTACAATATGGTGATTCAGTAACTGTACTTGATGCTCTGCCCACCACAAGTGTAGCCACCATCTGTCACCATACACTATTACAATGCCGTTGACTGTATTCTCTGTGCTGTACCTTTTATCTCTGTGTCCTATTCCTTCCATAACTGGAAGCCTGTACCTCCCACTCACCTTTTTTTAATTTTAAATTTGTGCCCCATAAGCTGATCTATGGAAGCTGGAGGGCTAGCCTAATGTAAGCACTTTTTTAAAACCAGGTTTCAGGAATAGAGAACCAATTAACTTTAAACTCTTCATAAATGTTCGAGTTACAGAAAAGTTTGAGGACGATACAGAATCATGGAAGTTTAGAACAGGAGGACTTGGGGCCCACCTGTCCATCCCTCCTTTCACAGATGGGAAGCAAGCCTGGGGTGGGAATTAACCTGCCACACACCATCTGACTGGCAGAACACCTGATTGCAGGCTAAGAGCTGTGTCCCCTAAATCAGGCTACCTCTGGTCCATCTTATTGCTTCAAGAGAAGTCTGGCTAGATCAGCCTCTGAACTACAAAAGCCTTGTAGGTGTGAAACAGGTGCTGTTCTTTATTTTCCAAGGGAGACAAATACAGGGAGTACAGTGACTGGCCCAAAGGCAAGCTGAACGGAAACCCAGGTGTCCTGATTACTAAGCCAGCGTGTCTTCTAAGAAGCCAGGGTCAGTATGCTCTGGTGGAAAGACCAGAACCTGGAAGAGACATAATCCTAGATCCACCACTTACCAGGGGTGTGACCTTAGACAAATTACTTGCCCTTTATGCGTCTCAGCTTCTTCATCTGTAAGATGTGCTCATGGCAGTGCACCTCCCAGGGGGTTGCCTAAGCTCGCTTACATGAAATACTTAACCCTGTGCTGTCAGGAAACACTTCCTTCACACCAGACGACTTAGGATCTGCTGGTAACGTAGCTCAAGAGCTGGATCTAGTTTTCTTGATGTGATGCTTTATAACCTTCCTGGGGGGAGCGCCACGAGCAAGAATTAAGTGACACCCATGGAATGGCTCCATCGCCGTAGAGGAAAGACAGATACTCAGACCATGTACCTTACTCTCTCCTGTCTGAATTTGCCAGTGTTACCTCTTGCTGTAAATTGATGAAATGGGGATGCTGGCAAAATAACAGACATAGGATGTATTATCATTGCTCATTCCTTGGGGAGATCTAGAAGCAACTGGCCGGGAAATATTTAGCAGAATTAATACTTGGGGACAAAAGCTGGTGCATAACAAAACCATTGTGTAAATCAAGCCTAGAATGTAAATCAAGGGCTCCATTAATATTCTGTGTTTTAATGGAAGCAACACCTGCTGGGCTATCAATAAAGACATTTTGCAGAAATCTGTTGAAATTGTCGTTTGCTTAACTATTTGAGTGCCAGGGAACTTCACAGAGTTCCCACCATCCATTTCTCAAGATGCCAGGATGCTTTTTAGAATGGATTACTGTGCATCCAAGGGCATGTAAGGTTTTGTTTTAGAGTTAGGAAAAGTTTTATGATGTGGAAAATGGTAAACTTTTTATGTTATTGCAAACTTAAAACTTGAAAAAACTCAAGATGCTGCACTTAATGACTTACATCATAGTGACCCACACTAGACACTGTGGAGTCAGTCTGCCTAGGCCACTTGATAGCTATCTGACCTTGTGCGAGATGCTTCCTCATGCTTCCTGCGCTCCCTCGGTGCAACAGGAACAACAGTGGCGCTCAGCAGGGTAAGTGGCAGCTGCCCTTATACTAGGCCATTTAGCCCTTTGCATGTCGTGGGGGGGTGCATGTGGGCCAGCAAAATGGGGTGGCATCTTTAGGGTCCCCCTGTTCAAATACCACATTGGTGCAGGGATGATGTCCACTCCTCTTAAGCCAGCCGCTCTGAAGGCTGCTAATGAGCTTCCATGGTTAAAGCCTAATTGCTCTTGGCTAAATAAAACTGTAGTGCTAGGAGAGTGAGGAGGAAGCACTTACTGGTTAATGGTGACTGAGGACACGCCATTTGCAAGAACTTGTCACTCAGGCTCACCCAGAAAGCTCATGGGCTGACAGGAGCCCTACTGGCAGGTTGTCGAGTGCTGTGGGGAGTCTGCTGCACGCTCTGGCAGTCTGGCTCTGCAGGCTAGACTCTTCTGCCCAGGCAGTTTGGGGACATTGCAATGACATTGAATGCCAAGACTTGACCACAACATTGAACAGGAAAGGGCCGCTGGGTCTCATGCCAACCCTTCAAAGGCAGAGGCCCAGTCTAGTTGTTACAAGTATCTCTTGAAGGGCTTAGGGGAGTCATGAATTTAAATCCTGGCTCTGCTTTTCACTAGCTAGCTAACTTTGGGCAAGTTACTTAGCCTCTCTGTACCCCTTTCCTTGTCAGTAAAATGGTACTGTAAACTACTAGCCTCCATGTCAGGTGAAGTGAGCGAGCCAGTCCGCATAAAGCACTGAGAACACGGTCTGGCGCATCCTCAGTGCTCAGTAGATGGCAGCTGTTACTAGTGAGCCAGGGCACTTATGCACGCCCCCTGGAACATGCTCCTTGCCTTTGCTTCGGGGTCTTTCCAACCCACACTCACCACCCTTCCCAGGTCCTTGTCCCAACTTCATGGCCCATATCCATCATGGGTGGTGGCTTCCACCCATAATATGTTTAGAATTCACCACCCCTTCCTCTGGGCCATCGGCTAATTATTTGTGTACCTACTATGTGCTGAGCAGGTGCTGGGCTGGATGCTAGCAGTACAAATGTGCACAGGTCAGGGTCCCTGACTCAATTTACAAAGAAGTGGGAGGAACCATCCAGTAAGCAGACAATTAAAATGCAGTGTGGCAAGGGTGGTAATGGTACAGGTGCCATGGGACATGCGGGATAGGGGGCCAGGAAGGCTTCCTGGAGGAGGCAGCCAGGCCTGGTTAAAGACTAGATGTTAAACAGGAAAGGGAGGAAGAGTTGGGGGTGGAGGCAAGGGTGCAAGTGAGAGTAAGAATGCTCCAGGCAGAGGGAGCAGAATGTGCAAAGGTCCAAAGCTAAGAGCATGGCATGATTGGAGAGTAAAAAAATAATTGTGCTAGAGTGAGCACTTAAGAGGCAAGCTGTTCCATGGGTGTCACATAGATTAATTCATACAGCCCTCGCAGCACCTGTGTGAGGGAGGTGCTATTATGCTCTTTGTGTTGCACATGAAGAAACTGAGGCACAGGGCCTGAGGCCATCAGCTAATGAGTTGCGGGGCTGGAACTGGAAGGTAGGTAGCCTGGCTCCAGAGGTGAGACTCAGGCCACTGCACCCTCCTGCCCCATAGCTGAACCATGTCTGGGATGCCTGGGCTAAGGTTGGAGCGAGGAAGCTGCAAGGGTGGTTAGGGGCCAGACCCTAAAGGGCCTTGAGTGCCACACCAAGCATGTTGATGAGGGAAGGGGGAGCCGCTGAGGGCTCCCAGCAGGGGTGAGGACTTGCTTGTTGTGGCTTTATTTCTAGTCCTAGCCTCCATGGCTGGCTCTTCAGTTTGCGCTCTACCACTCCCCTAGAGACCAGAAGATGGCAGAGGTCAGAGAAGGCAGGGCCCATGGGCCAGGGAGGCCAGAAGTCTTCTTGGAGAGGGTGCAAGGCAGGCACATGGGCTGGAGCCCAGGAATGCCATTGCTCATGCTTGTGTGTGTGCAGATGGGGCCTTGGAACAGAACTCTGTTTTTTTTCATTCATTAGTTCCATCATTCATCCATCCACTCATCAGCGCACACACACCACAGCTCCCTATGTGTCACACTCACTGTGTGTCAGGCCTGGGCACTAAGACAAATCCCCATCTGGCCTCTGCCCATTGAGAGCTTTCCTTCTGGAAGTTTTTGTGCAGTGTTTCTCAAACTCAGCATTACTGACAGTTTGTCAGACGATGCTTTGTTGTGGGGGCCGTCCTGTACACCCTAGGATATTTAACAGCATCCCTGGCCTCTACCCATAGATGCCAGTAGCATCCCACCAAGTTGTGACAACCAAAATGTCTCTAGACATTGACAGGTGTGCCCTGGGGTGCAAGTCACCCCTGTTGAGACTTGCTGGTCTGATGCTGCTGATCCTGCACAGAGGTGCGATGGACAAGCCTCTCAGGTAGGTGTGGTGACTCACTGAGAGGGAGGCTCCGAGCATTCCGTCCTCACAGGCACAGCAAGTCAGCAGCTACCAGGGTCCCAGCTGTAGTCTGCAGTCTGTCATGCCAAGTCACTCCTCCCCTTTCTACTTCTGCTCCCCCTACCTAGAGGGGCAGGGCCCAGCCAGGAGCCCAAAGAAAGGACTGGGTGGTAGGGACGAAGGTGTCAGAACTTGGTTTCTCAGGGGGTGTCCAGGAAAAGAGCTGAGTAAGCTGTCTGCTGCACAGATGAGTGAGGGCACACCGGGACCTGCTCTGCCCCAGGACAGTGCGGCTGCTGCACTGGCCGCCAGGGTTGCTGCTGGCCAATTGTTCGGCCTCGTTCACAGGGTGCCGAGTTCTTACAAAGACAGCCAAACAGCCAGTCTCTAACTGGGAGAGCCAATGGCCTCGGTATGGCCTAAGCCAGGTGAGGGTGGAGGCGGGACTTCAGCTTCCAGGCCACAAGCCACATGCAGGGACCCGCACCTGGAAGGAAACCTGCATGGTAGTCAATATTCCACAGCAAACTGCCCTTCAAAGACAGTAAAGCACAAGGCACAAAACCTCAAATTAGTCCATCTTAAGGACAGCAGCTGGTTTCAGTTTAATGATGTCTTACTTAGCTTTGCTACAGTAACAACCCCCAAATCTCATTTATTTCTCATTCACGTTACAGTCAACGGCTGCAGGTCAGCTCCTTCAGCTCTGTTCCATGTCTTACCACGCTGGCACCCAGGCTGATGGAACAGCTGCCAGCTGGGAAGCATGAATGCACCACGCAATGCTCTCTGACCTCCGGTCTGGACGAGCCCACCCCCGTCCCTCTGCCTCCCCCATGGGACGGGGCGGACACTGCAAGCAGTCCCGTGGCTATATTCTCTAGGAAAGAGGGAGCGAACAGCTGCACATAAAAATACAACCTATGACAATGACTCAACTGCCAAAAGATGTTTAAAAGGCACAAAATCCTAAAATGTGAAAACTGGAGAGGAACTCAAGAGTCCACCATCCAAGTCTGTCAGTTTGCCCTACTACACAGATCAGGAAAACTGGTAAACTTTCTAGGGGTTTTGCAGGATCCCGGTCTGTAGGTCTTTACAGGTGCAAAAACAGGAGCCAGCTTTCATGACCTCATCTCACTCCAAGAACAACAGTATCCCCAAAGAGCCAGCCTCTCGGCTCACGAGAACCTGGAGGTTGGAGTCCCTCAGCCTGAATGCCTTAAAATTATTTGTGTGATTTGAGGGGTAGCTTCTCTGAGGCCTCTAACATCATAAAGGTCCAGCCAACTGGATCCTGAGTCCATGTCCACAGGCCAGGACTTCCTTAGGTCAGCTGCTGTGGTAACTGTAAGATGATCCCTTCAGGGATAGAGGCTGGTAACACAGCTCACAGTGAGTCCAAGGATGTCATGACCAAGGTACAGAGTTGTGTATCAACAGAAGAGAGTGGAGACCAGCTGGAGCTTGGCACTTTGACCAGAGAGAATGTAGTTCAGGGAAGTCAGCAGCTCTCCCGCCACCACTATCCCCAGGGTGGCAGAAATAGTGTAGGGCTCAGCTGATTCAAAGGTGCTGGATTCTAGGCAGAGGCGAATGAGGGAGGAGAACCAGGGGCCCTGGCTCCGCCTGGCTTGGTTACTTCACCTGGTGCACTTTTCTCCCCTGGAGATAATTCCTACAAAAAGTAGAGGATCCTACACAGACCAAAAATGCTGGTGTCAGGGCTTTTACAAAGTACCTGCAGTGAACACAACAGAAGAAGGGGTTAATTGAATTTTGATCTTAATCATCCAGGCACCTCCCCAACCACATTCAAGGTGAACCTTTGGATGTGAGTCAACATTAAAATGCAAGTTTAGCACACTTATTTTTTTGGTTGTTTACATATCTGTCAAATTAGCATGATCCTCTCCCCCCTACAACCTAGCCAGAACATTTGGGCCAATCCTCTAGCATCATGTATGCCTGTGGCTAAACATGAAATCAAAGTATAAGAACATGCTTGTTTGCTTTCATTCATTCATTCCTTCATTCAACAGTGCATGCCCAGGGTAACTTGGGCCCTGTGCTAAAAACAAAACCCATCATCCCTGCTTTCAAGTCCTGAGGGGAGGGAGATAAGTAATCAATTAATGACAACAAAAACAATCGCAGAAGCATTTGTGAGGTACAGCGTTAGTCCAAAGGGCATGATTCCCTCCGTAGGGAAGGGGAATCAAGAAAAGCTTCCTGGAAGATGCCTTGTCCATCTTGACTTTAATTTAGAATAGGGGTAGTGATGAGGCACAGGGGCGCAAAAGTGAGGAAGTGCACGGCACCAGAGCATTTGCTGTTGTTGGGGCAAAAAGCAAGTGGAGTGGGGCAGGTCGGAGAGGTAGGCAAGGCTTTAGCCTCCCAGACTGAAGAGTGTTTGCATTACCCAGTGTGCTTGGATCTGGACCAAGGGGGGGCGGGAGCTCTATCTTAGCTCCACTCAGTTCAGGGCCTGAAGTTGCCAGAATCCTGCCCCGAGTAGCCTCTCACTATGCCAGTCATTTAAGAAGTAAACATTTCCAGCAGCATTTACGTGTTCTGAGAAGCATGAAATTGGCTTTCCTCCACAGATCTACTTTGTTTAGATTTCTCCCCCATTTTTTGGAGATGGGCAGAGTGGACCTCAGGCCTTTAAAGAATTATGGTAATAATTCACTAAATAATGGAAAAAATTTGTCTATAAACTAGAACGGAGATTTAGTGCCAGAAAAAAAAAACCCTACTAAGAGAAGTCATCATTCATATCTGAAGAAATTTTCACCTCCTGCCTGACAAGCCAAAGCAGAAGCATCAAGAGACCAGCTGGATCTCCTACCAGGTCAGTCACCACATCACCAATTCCCATCCAGTCTGCCTCTGAAATCTCTTTGCCAATCCACCCCGCACCTCATGCTTCACCATCAACTAGTACACATAAAATCTATACACTACTCTATAAATTTTACCTACACATCCTCTGTGGCTCCATATACCACTATCAGGATAAAGCATGCTCCTGAGCAGGGCATTCGAGGCTTCCGTGAATGGCCCTAGCCCAGCTCTCCAGCCTCTTTCCTACCATGCCCAACCACCCTCATGCCCAATACATCGGGCTCCTTTAGCCTAAATGCAAGAGCATTTGCTTTGCTCAAAGCTTAGGGGAAAATAGTCCAAGAGTCAACTTACAGATCCACTGAGGGGATTCCTTTATGGTCCAAGAACACCCCAAAGCTGAACAAAGAGACAAAAGCCACATCCAGCTGGCTGCCATAGCTACTAACAAAGATGCACTCTTACAACAAGACTGCCCTTTACAGTTTACAAAAGCACTTTGACTCCTACTCTCTCACCGGCTCTCAGACACCAGAGAAAGATGTAGGCAAGGATTAGTACTCCTACCCGAAAGATGATGAAACCTCCCCAGGGAGGCAGTATGTGCTTACAGTCACACAGCTGGCAAATGATGGCGTGACTTCACAAACTGATGTTCTTTCCATATAACAATATTAGGGGACACAGGCACAATGAGGAACAGGAGTGCCAACCCTGCTATTTTCAGGTCCCACAGCCAGGCAGCTTGTCCCTTCTCAGACCAGCCCCATTCACCTCTCCCAGTCTGAGGGTGTCCTGGCTGCAGCACAACAGGCTGAGTCATACTGAAGCCTGTTTGGCCAATGACCTGGGCCAGGCTCCATGGTTGCCATCTCACAGTTTTGTGTCAGGGTGGAAGGGAGGGGAGTACAAGGCAATCCAACAGCAGTGGAATGAAACCCTGGCTGTATCCCTGGGATGGCGCCTGGGCATCTTCCCTGGTCTACTCAGCCTCATGAAGGTGGCTTACCTGGGGTGCTGCAGCACCTGCAGTAGTGTGCTCTTGAGAGGCACCCGGTAGAGTTCTGTCCCGTCTTCATCCTCGAAGTAGACCTGCAAGAATAACAGAGGAGCGGGAATCAGACACGTATATAAGGCCTCAGCAGCACTAGGCACGTTGAGGCCAAGTCTAGGGAAAAGCTAAAGAGATGGCAACTGTTACTAGTTGAATGAGTTGTGGAATATAAAGCACTCAGTCCTCGCCCATGATACCAAGAAAGGTATTATGAGCTCCATTTTCCAAAGATCGAACGAAGGCTCAGAGAAGGGAAATAACTCACCAATGACACCCACCTAGCAAACAGAGGAGCCAAGATTCAAGCCCAGACCCGTTGAGTCTTCCCTTCCCTAGCAATTCAGTCCTAGACCCCTTAGATGTGGGGGAAGCAAGCTATGGTGGCCCAAAGCAGGGGAAGGGCCCAAGGAGGAGAAGGATGATGGCCCTGTGCAGGTGTCAGAGCCCGTGCAGGGTGAGGAAGATGTCTGTGCAGAAGGGCTGGCAGGGAGGGGTGCCAGAGCCCGGTCAGTGGAGGGCAGCCTTGCTGGGAGCTGGCGAGCCTAAGCCAGGTGAGAAGGGTTACCTGGTAGGATGGCTGTGCAAGATGAGGTGTCAGAGGCCATGTGGGTGAGAAGGGTGTCCTTGCGTGGGGAAAGCTGATACAGGGTGTCTGAGAATTAGACGGTACTAGTATATCAAAGCTAATTTCCTTTTTTTTTTCTCTCAAAGTTAATTTCCTAATTTTGATAGTTGGTTGGGATTATGAAGGAAAATATCCTGTTTGTAGGAAACTGACACTGAAGTATTCAGGGCATCAGTTGGCATCTTACTCTCAAATGATTAGTAGAAGAGAAAGTCTTTGTACTGTAAGATGTGATTTAAAAAAAGAAAAAAAAAAGGTCCCAACAATGGAATATTATTCAGCCTTAAAAAGGAAAGAAATTCTGACACAGGCTACAATATGGATGAAACTTGAAGACATCAAGCTAAGTGAAATAAGCCAGATACAAAAGGACAAACAATATATGGTTCCACTTCTATGAGGTTCCTAGAGTAGGCTCATTCATATAGCAAGTGGAATGGTGGTTGCCAGGGGCTGGAGGGAGGGGAGAATGAAGTTACTGTTTCATGGGTGCAGAGTTTCAGTTTGGGATGATAGGGAGCCCAACATGGGGCCTGATCCCAGGACCCTGGGATCATGACCTGAGCCAAAGGCAGACACTTAAACCACTAAGCCACCCAGATGCCCCGACAATTTTTTTTTTCCTCAAGATTCTATTTATTTATTTATGAGAGACAAAGAGAGAAACAGGCTCCCAAGGAGCAGGGAGCCCGATGCAGGACTCGATCCCAGGATCCTGGGATCATGACCTGAGCCAAAGGCAAATGCTTAACCATCTGAGCCACCCACGCGCCCACATTTTTTTTTTTAAGGCAGTAAAAACTTGCTCCCCTCACCCCCCTGCAAAAAATATCCCATCCAGGAACAAGGTAAAACATCTTACCTCTAAATTATCAGGGCAGTATTTCCGCTCTAAGTCCCAAGAGGGCGTTTCACCAAACATCACCATTAGATGATCAATAAACCTAAGGATATAACATGTACTTTCTAGGTATCAATAAGTCATGATCTATTTTCCTACATCACAGTCCCTGGACACCCATTCAGAGAGCTATCAAAAATGTACAAAACATGAAATGCAGGCCTAAGCCATTTTGAGCCAAAACCATCTGACTTAAGCCAAAATGGATGTGTATTACTTGTCCTGTTATGACACAGTAATTTTCTTTAAACTGACTCAGGCTTAACATTCCTTACATTTAGCCACATTCTAAGCACCAACCCTATGAAATCACATGTTAAAATTGCTAGTTATATTTTTTCTAATACACACTTCAATTACTATGCATATACTACCTAGAATGACTTCATATCTCACCAGAGGTATGTGTCAGTGCTTGACAAACAATACTGTGGTGCTCTACTTACTGGCCCAGTCAGGATGATGGTGAGACTTGTGTCTGTCGTTGCAAAGCTAGTTACAGTTAGTAAAAGGAGAAATCAGCTCCAGGATAGAAAGGTTATGCCAAACCAGACTGTTAACCCTCTATTCTCTTCCCTCCTCAACCAAAAATCCACTTGTCCCTCTGCTGAGACAGCAAGGAAAGAGCATGCCAGCAAGAACAGAGGGCTCTTGGGCAAGTAAGTACCTGGAGTCCTCGTGAAAAGTAGCAATGAAGTCCGACTGGGCGTGCTCCGGGTACAGAAAGAGCACAGGCCAGCTTAACCCGCCCTGCTCGTCTACATTCAGCCTGGCTCCATAGGGGTTCTCCGAGCTGAGCCCATCCAGGAAAAGCTCACCTAGACCTTCTGAGTCTGAATCTTCATCCTGACCAGCAGCTTCAGAGACTAGCCTGATGTTCCTAGCCTGGATTAAAAACAGAAATACACACAAACCTTATTGTGTGGAAGGATGCAAGCCCACTTCAACAGCAGGGAAACCACCATACTGTGAGCTCCCTGAGGTCAGTTCTACACAATTCATCTTCATTACCCCTGAGGCCTAGCACAGCAGGGATAACTCACCTTCACCAGGATTCTAACACATGCTGGAACCTGTATCACAGAAAAAACCTAGACATGGTTCCTGCCCTCAAGACCCCGCTCATGGTCTAGTGAGTGAACAACTATGGAAATAAGTACAACATAAGGTAAGAAGTGGAGTTGCAGAAGTGCAGACCATGGATAATTAATTCAGCCTAGGGGCTGGAGATGACTGGGCCCTGAGCAATGACTATTCTCAGGCAGAGAAGTTGGAAGGGTCGGGGGAGGATGGAAAGGCATTCACCACCAAGGAACAGCATATGCAAAGGCACAGAAAAGATCAAGAGTGTAGCACATACGAAAATGGCAAGTGTGTTGGTTTAGCTAGGACATGGAATACTAAAAATAATGCACATTGACCTAATCTTGACTGTCTCATGGAAATAAAGATAAATCAAAGGTCTGAGCAGAAGAGTTGTCTCTTTATGTATGTGTGGCACAGGGGCGCAAAAGGGGAAAGTTACATGCAACCAAAATTACTTTTGATTTGACAATGCTAAATCAGGGGTTGGCAAACTTTTCCTTAAAGGGTCAGACAAATATTTTAGGCTTTGCGAGCCAAATGGTCTCTGTTGAAATTAACTACTTGACTGCCACCATAGTGTGAAAATAGCCATAAGTAACATAAACAAATAGGCAGGGCTGTGATCCACTGGCTACAGATCCACTGGCTCCTGCTTTAAACCATCGGTAAAATATGGTTCTGTGTATACGACTGTTGAGTAATTCTTACGTACAATGAAGCTTGAGATGCAGGGTCAAACTAAAGGAGAGCGCCAAAATCAGATCTGTATGCAAATGGGCATTCCAATATTCTACATTTTAGAATGTGACCAAATCTCTCACTGTGAATGAGGATTAGCAAGAGAATCTGGAGTATTCCATCCCACTTAATCTGTTAACAGGAGTTAAGAGATTGCTTGTTATGGGGAGGGACTAGTGGAGTGCATCTTAATAGTGTGAAGTTCTCAAAGTCAACAAGTAACTTAAATGGTGCATAATTTAACTCAACAAAGAATGAAACCAAGAACCTACTCCACAATCTCATGGCAGGTGTCATTTCCCTTGTGAAGACCAAGCAAGCCAAAGCTTCACAGGTGACTTGCTGGTATTCAGTATCCAGGTGAAAAAACAAGATTTGGCTCAGACTACATCCATTTAAAATGCAGGGAAGAAAGGACAGGGTTGAATTTTTTTTGTTGTTAAAGGAGCAACATCCTAAAAATTCAGGTTTTTTTCAGGATGCAGTGGCTAAGAGCAAGGACCTGGCTCTGATACACATTAGCTGTGTGAGGTTTCTTCACCTCCCTGAGACCATATCACTATCTAGCAAATCAGTAGCTAGAAGATCTACCTCAGAAGGCCACTGTGAAGATTTAGTAATGCTTAACCCATAGCAACTATCCAGTGTAGCTTACCTGAGATCAACATATGTATACAAGCAGGAAAGCTGACTGAACTCAGGGGGTCTGACTGCAGAGCCCTTTTAGCACACTGCTTCACCAAAACAAAAATGAACAAATTCATTCAGGTAAAGCATCCCAAAACAGTTTCCCAACAAGCTTGAGGATTAGCAACACCATATGGGCCTGAGGTTTGAGAACTCACCTTGATGGCCTGGAGTAAAGCCTTGTTCTGATTCTGCTCCTTCTTTTCTTTCAACTTTGCTTTCCTGACATCCCTCTGCTCAGTTCTCTAAAAATGAAATTCACACCCATCAGCTCTAGGGAGCTTGTTTCCTCTTCTGTCACCCCAGCCTGCTTCTTACTATCTCCAGTATCTGTCCAACCCAGGTTCCTGTGTCAAGCAATACCAGCGGCCTGATTCAGTTCAATTAATATTTTAAGAGTGCACGTCTGGTGCCAGGACTGGTGGCAGCAGAAATTTAAAAATGTATAGTTCCCATACCCACGGAGCTCACAGTCTACTAAGGGGAACAAACAATGAAATGTCCGTTCTGTGTTACCCTGGTGATGTGAAGCCAGTGCTATAAAATACAGGACTGATGGATTCTGCCCCACTGAGGAGGTAGGTTTAGATGGACATGGAACATGCCACCAGATGGAAGGAGAAAGGGCATTCTAAGTAGAGGGACTGACATCAGGATCTACGGGGTATTTCAACTTCTCTGGAATGGCTGGAGTATAGGAAACACTGGAAAAACCCAGGGCAAGAACTTATCAGAGGCTCTGCCCTTTGCCCAGTTATAATCCATGACAGAAAAACATCATCAGTCTACTTAATCTGGCAGAAATATAATTTAGATTTCCTTTTCTTGCAAATCTGCCCCAAACCAGTTGATTCTGCTCTTACCCTCAGAATCGTAGATTAACAGAGGTCAGCAAACTTTTTCTGTAAAGGGCCAGAGGTTAATATTTTAGGCTTTGCAGACCATGTATGCTCAGTCACAAATTATCTACTTTTGTTGTTTATAACTCTTTAAAAATGTGAAAAACATCTTTAATTCACAGAATGTATAAAAACAGGCCATAGGCTGGATTTGGCCTGGGGGTCAGTTTGCTGACCTCTGATCTAAAATATAGTACCAACCATCCCTTGTCCTCCCCACAAAGGCTAACATGGATCTTTTATTTCTCGTGAACAAAGTCTACCCATTCAGGAAGACAATGGCTGGTAACTCTTGTCCATTCCTTCTCCAATCCAGTCTGCCAACAGAGCTGCAACACTCCTTTCTGCTGTTTGATTACACTATCCAGAGTACTCCACCCCACGGACACCACTAAAATCTATGTCCAATTCTGCCTTTACAGTTGAGCTACATCCAACCACAGTGTCTGGTCCATATCAGAGAATGATTAAGGACGACACAGACTCTGCCCCTTTTGTTTTTACTCTGAATCACACTATACATGTGAGTGATGTGGATTATGAAGTCTCATATGAAGTTTGGGGTCTTGGCAGCCACATAAAGTAGAACGACCGCCAGGTCAGAGGAGCCCTGAGCTGTGGAGTCTGCTGCCCTTAAAAAAAAAAAAAAAAATCAACTTTGTTGAGGTATAATGTACAGATTTTAAGTGTATAGTTCAATGAGTTTAGACAAGGGTATACCTTGAGTACCCAACACTTCAATCAAGATGGGCATTTCTATCCCCTGGAAAGTTCCCTCATGCCCCTTTGCAGTCTCCCTCCTACCCCATCACTGATAGGTTTCTTTTTATACCAAGTAATATCCCATTGTACGAGTATCACATTTTGCTTACCTCTTACCTGTTGTTGGACACAAGAGCTGTTTCTGGATTACTATGAATAAAACAGGCTGTGACTATTCTTATACATAAGTCTTTTTATGAGCATGTTTTCATTTCTCTTGGGCAAACACCTCTGCCCTTCCCGCCGTCCCCAGCCCCTGGCAACCACTATTCTGCTTTCTGGCTCTATAGATTTGCCTGTTTTGGATGTTTGATATATACAGAGTCATACAATATGTGATCTTTTATAAATCTGGCTTCTTTCACTTAACATAGTGCTTTTGAAGTTCACCTACATTGCATTGTATACCATACTTCATTCTCCTTTATGGCTGAATAACATTCCATTGTATAAACATACCACATTTTATCTATCATCAGTTGGTGGACATTGAGACTGTTTCTACTTTTCGGCCATTATGAACATGTTGCTATGAACACTCCTGTACAAGTATTTATTTTAATACTGTTTCAATTTCTTTGGGTATATACCTAGGAGTGGAAGTGCTGGTTCTCATGTTAATTTTGTAGTTAATTTTTAGAGGAACTGTCAAATTTTTTTTTAAGATTTTATTTATTTATTGAGAGAGAGAGGGAGAGGGAGCACGAGCAGGGGGAGGGGCAGAGGGACAAGCAGACTCCCTGCGGAGCAAGGAGCCTGATGTGGGGCTCAATTCCAGGCCCCTGGGACCATGTCCTGAGCAGAAGGCAGACATGTAACTGACTGAGCCACCCAGGCGTCCCTGTCAAACTGTTCTCTATAGTGGCTGTCATTTTACATTCTCAACAGCAACATGTGAGGGTTTCCGTTTCTCCACATCCTTCTCAATATTTGTTATTTTCCTTTAAAAAAAATTATAACCATCCTAGCGTGAAATAATATCTCACTGTGGTTTTGATTTACATTTCCCTAATGACTAAGAATGTTAAGCATCTTTCATGTGCTTTTTGGCCATTTATGTATCCTCTTTGGAGAAACGTCTGTTCACATCCTTTGCCCATCTAAAAAATGGCGTTGTCTTTTAATTATTGAAATGTTAAGAGTTCTTTATATATTCTAGATAAAGGTCCCTTAACAGATATATGATTTATAAATACTCTCCCATCCTGTGGGTTGTCTTTTCACTTTCTCAATGGCAGCCTTTGATGCACAAGTTTTTACTTCGGATGAAGTCCAGTTTATCTTTTTTGTTTCTTGTGCTTTTTGTGTCATATCTAAGAAACCATGCCTAATCCAAGGTCATGAAGATTAATGCCAACGTTTTCTTTGAAGAGTTTATACTTTGCTCTTCGATCCATTTTGTATATAGTGTGAGGGAGGGGTCCAAATTCATGCTTTTCATGCAGCTATGGAAAAGACTATTCCGTCCCCACTGAATGGCACCCTTGTTGAAAATCAACTGTCTATAAATATGAGGGTTTATTTCTGAGCTCTCAATTCTATTACACTGATCTGTAAGTCTATCCCCTTCTGCCAGTACCACAATGTCTTGATTACTATAGCTTTGTAGTAAGATTTGAAATTGGGAAGTATGAGTCCTCTAATTTTTCTTTTTTTTTTTTTTTTTTTTAGGATTGTTTTGGCTATTCTGAGTCCTTGAATTTATGTATGAATATTAGAATCAGTTGGTCAATATTCTGCAAAGCAGCCAATTGGAAATTTGGTGCAGACTGAGCTGAATCTGTACACCAATTTGGGGAGCATTCTCATCTTTTTTGTTTTTAAAGATTTTATTTATTCATTTGAGAGAGAGAATGAGATAGAGCATGAGATGGGGGGAGGGTCAGAGGGAGAAGACGACTCCCTGCCGAGCAGGGATCCTGATGTGGGACTTGATCCTGGGACTCCAGGATCATGACCTGAGCTGAAGGCAGTCGCTTAACCAACTGAGCCACCCAGGCGCCCGGGGAGCATTCTCATCTTAACAATATTAAGATCTGATCCATGGAGGTCTTCTATTTTTTTAGATTTAATTTCTTTCAACAATGTTTGTATTTCAGATTATAAGTTTTATGCTACTTCTGTTAAATTTATTCCTAAATATGTTATTCTTTTTGATGCTATTGTAAATGGAATTGTTTTCACATTTGGAATATTTACCAAAAGTCTGCAGAATACAATTGGGTTTTGTATATTAATGTAGCATACCAGCTTACTAATCTATTAGTTCTAATAGTTTTTTTTGGGAATTCCTTAGGATTTTCTATATATAAGATCGTATCATTTGCACCTAAAGAGTTTTCCTTTTCTTTGCCATTTTTGAAGGATAGGTTTGCGGTATATAGAATTCTTAGCTGACAGTCTTTCTTTCAGCACTCTGAATGTCAACCCATAGCCCTTTGGCTCCCATGGCTTCTGATGAGAAATCAGCTGTTACTTTTGGGGGAGGGGGCAGAGGAAGAGGGCCAGAGAGAATCTTAAGCAGGCTCCACACCCAACACAGAGCCCTACACAGGGCTTGATCTCACAACCCTGAGATCATGTCCTGAGCCAAAATCAAAATTTGGATGCTCAACCGAGCCACCCAGGCATCCCTCAGTTGTTACTTTCATTGAGGATCTCTTGTATGTGAAGAGTCTCTTTTCTCTTGATGCTTTTAACATTCTCATGTTTGACTTTCAACAGTTTGATTATGATGTGTCTGGGTGTAGATTTCTTCAAGTATATCCTACTTGGAGTTTAAGTTTCTTGGAAGGGTAGATTTTTTTTTTTAAATCAAATCTGGGAAGTTTTCAGCTATTAAATCTTCATATATTCTTTTGTCCCTTTTTCTTTCTCCTCTTCTGGGACTCCCATGTCTATGATGATATACTTAATGGCATCCCACAGGTTCCTCAGTCTCTCTTCATGTTTCTTTTCTTTTTTAAAAAGATTTATTTATTTTAAAGAGAGCGTGAGAGGGAGAGAACACGGGTGTGGGGGGAGGGGCAGAGAGAAAGAGAGAGAGAGGGGGGAAGAGAATCTCAAGCAGATTCCCCTCTGAGTGCAGAGCCTGACGTGGGGCTCAATCCCATGACCCTGAGATCTTAACCTGAGCTGAAATCAAAGAGTCAGATGCCCAACTGACTGAGCCACCCAGACACCCCTCTCTTAATGTTTCTTTATTCTTCTTTCTGTTCCTCACACTGGGTAATCACAACTGATCTTTCTTCACAGTTCTGCTCTTGAGCCCTTACGTGAACTTTTCCATTATTATACTTTTCAACTACAGAATTCCTGTTTCTTTTTCACAATTTATTGATAGTCTCTATTTGGTAAGACATTGTTCTCATATTTTTTTTTTAGTTCTTAAGACATTGCTTCCTTTCTTCCTAGAACATATTTCAACGTGTGGCTTAAAGTCTTTGCTTTTTAAGTCTCATGTGTGGGCTTCCTCGGGGACATTTTCTATTGATTTTTTTTCCTGTGTATGGGCCATATTTTCTCATTTCTTTGCATGTCTTGTAATTTTGTAATTGAAAACCAGACATTTAAAATAATACAATGTGGCAACTCTGGAAATTGGATTGTTTGTCTCTTTCCTCTCCAGTGTTTGATACTGCTGTTGTTACTATTTACATTCCTGAACTAATTCTGTAAAGCCTGTATTTGGTTTTATGTGACCACTAAAGTCCTTAATGATTGACAGATTTCCCTAAATGCCCGAAGCCAAAAAGTCTCCTACTTTTAGCTGAGGGCTCTCTTGTGCATATTGTGGCACACCTTCAACACTCACCCAGTTTACAATTCAGCCTCAGCCTTCACTTACTACTTTTACAGAAACTGCAAGTCAGCCAGAGGTCAGAGCTTAGGCCTTCTTAGATCCTTCCTGAGCACATGCATAGCCCTGGACACACAAGTGACCTTGCAGATCTCCTGGAATATGTTGGAGCTTTTCAGAGCCCCTGAAGAATCTCATTCCCCAGCTTTTCCTTTTAAATATTCTTCCAAGCCTACTGTTTGGGCGCCTGGGTGGCTCAGTTGGTTAAGTGACTGCCTTCAGCTCAGGTCATGATCCTGGAGTCCCGGGATCGAGTCCCACATCGGGCTTCCTGCTCAGCAGGGAGTCTGCTTCTCCCTCTGACCCTCTTCCCTCTCGTGCTATCTCTCATTCTCTCTCTCAAATAAATAAAATCTTTAAAAAAAAAAAAAGGTTAAGCCTACTGTTTGCCCTGTTGTTCACTATCTCAGGCAGCTGCAATCTTAAATAACTGTTTCTAATTGTTTTACACATCCCTCCTTCCCAGCCGCCCCCCCCAAAAGCTTTTCATCCTGGGATAGCTCCAAGATGAGTCAAATAAAATCCACCTCATGAGTGGGGTCTTCTAGGAGACCGCCCAGACAGGTCCAATAATGGCAATTCCCTGGGAATGGGGCTTTGAACGAGCTCTAATCCAATCTGCCTCCTCTGGTGGCTGCTGGGCTGCTCATTTTCACCATGATTCTTTCAAGGCTACTGTGGTACCAGGGAGGGAGGAGGTGGGACTAGGGGAAGTTAAAGTGTCACAAAGCTTGCCGTGCTTATGCAGGTGCAGCCATTTTTCTTGAATAAACACTCCCCAGATTGCTGCAAGCCTTTGGCTCATTTCAGAGCTCTGAAAAAAGTAGTGACTCTGACCATTTTTGCCAGTTTTCCATAGACTTTATGAAATAAAGAATTTTAGGTCTTTATTTGGCCATTTTTGCTGACATCACTTCTCTTTACTGATTTATCTACTTGTTCTATCCATTACTGAGAGAGAGGGATGTTGACATCTACACCTATTTGTAGATTTGTCTCCCTCAATTTTTTTGCTTCTTATATTTTGAGGTTCTGTTATTAGATACGTGCATATTTAGAATTGTTAAATCTTCTTGATAAGCTGACCCTTTTATCATTTAACAAAGCCATGCTTTATGTCTGGTAATATTCATTGACTTGATGGCTGTTCTGATTTTAATATAGGCATATCAGATACATTGTTTATACAAGCCAAGCACGTAGGAATCCAGTCAATTTATACTCAGATACAGAATAAACTGACACTTAGCAAGCAATGTCACCCATACCCAGTGTCAGGCTTTTGGGCCCTGAAATCTTTAACTGTGCACCTGTATCAGGGAAATATAAATCAAAACCACAATGAGATACCACCTCACACCAGTCAGAACTGCTAAAATTAACAAGTCAGGAAACAACAGATGTTGGCAAGGATGTAGAGAAAGGGGAACCCTCTTACCCTGTTGGTGGGAATGCAAGCTGGTGCAGCCACTCTGGAAAACAGTATGGAGGTTCCTCAAAAAGGTGAAAATAGAGCTACTCTACGACCCAGCAATTGCACTCCTGGGTATTTACCCCAAAGATACCAATGTAATGATCCGAAGGGGCACATGAACCCCAGTGTTTATAGCAGCAATGTCCGCAATAGCCAAACTGTGGAAAGAGCCCAGACGCCCATCGACAGATGAATGGACAAAGACGATGTGGTGTATGGGGACGCCTGGGTGGCTCAGTCAGTTAAGCGTCTGCTTTCAGCTCAGGTCATGATCCCAGGGTCCCAGGACTGAGTCCTGCATCGGGCGGGGAGCCTATTTCTCCCTCTGCCTGCCGCTCCCCCACTTGTGCTCTTGCACACGCGTGCACACTCGCTCATTCACTCACTCACTCTCTGACAAATAATTAAATAAATCTTAAAAAAAAAAAGATGTGGTATATACACAATGGAATACTACTCAACCACCAAAAAAAACGAAATCTTGCCATTTGCAATGACGTGGATGGAACTAGCGGGTATTATGCTAAGTGAAATGTCAATCAGAGAAAGACAATTATATGATTTCACTCATGTGGAATTTAAGAAACAAAACAGAGGATCATGAAGGAAGAGAGGAAAAAATAAAGACAAAATCAGAGAGGGAGACAAACCATAAGAGACTCTTCATCACAGTAAACAAACTGAGGGTTGCTGAAGGGGAGAAGGGTGGTAGGATAGGGTAACTGGGTGATGGACATTAAGGAGGGTATGTGATGTAATGAGCACTGGGTATCGTATAATACTGATGAATCACTGATGTCTACCTCTGAAACCAATAATACATTATATGTTAATTAACTGAATTTAAATTTTAAAAAAGATATCTGCAAAAACAAACAACAACAACAAAAAACTGCGCCTGTGCTACAGGATCTGCAAGCTTTCATTTAGGTCCACTAAGGGTTTTTCCGTGGATTCACTTGGCTATGTCCTTCCGCAGTAGCCCTGTAGACATTCTCTCCTGTATACACCACTTTTAGAAATTCTGGCCTACACCCAGTTACCTAGGCTCAGAATTCTGTTACCGAGCCATGTGAGTCATCAGATTATCTACTTTTTCTACCATTTTATATGACCAGAATGACCTCTAAAACCTACCCCTTTGCACGGAGAGCTGCAGGCTCCCACAGCACTGAAAATTCCCCTTCCGTAGTGTAAGTAATAAAGACAGACCTAGGCCAGGAATCAGATTGAAGTCTAGTTCTGGCTTTGTACTGAATAGACATGTAAGGCAGTACTGCATAGGATTCTAGAGCCAGACTGCCTGATTCTGACACCCATCTTCACCACAGCTATGTGACTCAGGCAGCTTCCTGATCTCTCTGTGCTTTAGTCTACCTCACTACTGAGAGGTGAATTAGAATAGTTCCTACCTTATAGGGTTGTTGTGTGGTTTAAATGAATTCATAAAAGTAAAAATTTTTAAATAGCAACTGGAAGATACACACAGTAAATGCTAAATGCTAGACATTATTTTTGGTAGTGATGGTATTGTTATTATTATCAGTTGCTATTATGTGCATTTCATCAGCAAGTTACAGATGTCTTAAAGCTGGGAGTTACATAATATTGTAGAAACTTAAGTGTTTGTTTAAATGTTCTTTTTAAAGATTTATTTGAGAGAGAGCGTGGTGTGTGCACACACGAACAGGAGCAGAGGGAGGAGACAAGCAGACTCCCTGCTGAGTGGGGAGCCCAACGCAGGGCTCGATCCCAGGACCCTGAGATTACTACCCAAGCCGAAATCAAGAGTCGGACACTTAACCGACTGAGCCACCCAGGCGCCCCTGTTTAAATATTTCTGTCATTTCCTCTCCTTTCAAGAGATTTACGTAGTGTGCAGACTACATTATGGCAGTCTCGTGCCATTTCTTATTTATGCAAATCACAATAGCCACAAATTTATCAACTCCTTACTGTAAGTCAAGAAATGTGCTAACATACACACACATACATTCTCATTTAATCCTCATAAAAACCGTTGAGGCATATATTACGTACACTATTTTCAAAGAGTGGACTGAGTTTCAGAAATATCAAGGACTTGCCAATGGTTATGCTTTCTCCTTTCTGGAATGTTCTGCACTCCTCACCCCCACCCTCCAGTGGAGTAAACTCTTGCTGAGTCTTCAAGAGATCAGACATCACCTCCTTCAACAAACCTTCTCGGCTATGGGCAGATACTACTACTATATGTACTATATATTCTTGCTTGCCTCTGTCACATTATAACTATTTATTTATGTCTTTATTTGTTTGTGTCCTCCAGAGTTCCAAAGGTAGGGAATAGTTTTGGGTTTTGTTTTTGTTTTTATTTTTTTTTATTTATTTGTCAGAGAGAGAGAGAACAAGCAGGGGGAAGGGCAGGCAGAGGGAGAAGCAGGCTCCCTGCTGAGCAAGGAGCCCGATGTGGGACTTGATCCCAGGACCCTGGGATCATGACCTGAGCCAAAGGCACACGCTTAACCACCTGAGCCACCCAGGCGTCCTTGGGTTTTGTTTTTAAAGAAGAAAAAGTTGACAATGACCCAAAAGACATAATCTGGGAAATACTAATTAATTAGTTCTAAGTAATAAATGCCAACTGGCTAATGATTTTGCCACCAACCTTCAGCTTGTCTGCTTTAGCCCTCATTTCCAGAAGCTTCTTCTCTCTGGCATCAATCTGCAACCCTTCATCACACCAGTTCACAGCCTCAGCAAAGTTTTTCAGTTCCAGATGGCATAAGGCACCTGTAGAACCCAGAACCCTTAGAATAGGTGGACAATATGCATGGGAAGAGCTCTCCTTGAGCAGGAACCACCCCCCCAACCCCCGTCCCCAACCTCCACCAGCTACCAACCAGCATTCTGAAGGGACAACAGATGATTAAAGCCCCTTCTACTGCATTCCCCAGACAAGGAAGAATATTTTTTGTACCTTAGATCAGAAAGATCTCTAGGGCCCATTCAGCTTAAAACTCCTGTAAGCCTCCCTGACATTAAGGGCTTTTAAAGTAGGTAAGGCTACAACTTAATGGCAAAGAGCACAGGGTTTAGAGTCAGACAGATCTGGGCTGGAAATCTGGCTCTATTGTTTACCAACTAGACGTTAGATAAAATACTGACCATCTCCAAGCTTCAGGTTCCTCATCTGCAAATCAGAATAAAGTCCATCTCAGATATTTAACAGAGACAGAAAACAGAACTGACCTCAGCCATTCATCAAAGCAGTGGCAAGACCAAAGACATTAGGTCTCTCCTAAAATTGTTCCTAATGGCTTCCAGGTTAAGCTGCCTCTCCTCTCACCATGTTTATTCTTCTCCAGTTAGCCTCTTTAGACTTTCCACAGAATTTCCAAATATCAGAACTCTAAGGGCTTAGATGTTAACAGAATCCAACCTCATCTTCCAGAGATGAGCAAACTGACACTCAGAGTGGGTATCTTGCCAAGGTCACATGCTGAGGTAAAACTGACAATTCAAGATTTACAGATTCCAGCTTGTCCCAATTCCAGAGGACTACACTGACTTTACTTGCCAATCTTTGAATAGTACCTTCGTTCCCTACAGCTGAGGGACACGGATCTACCTATACAAACCCCTCACTATGCATACCTAAAGATGCATAACTTTGGTAAAGCATTTGGCTTATGATAAAGCAGTCGATCATGGGACTATAAGGAAGATTAATATGTTATGAATAAATTAAAGTTTACAAAGCACCTCTGAGCTTCTCAAAGAAAAGGTAAAGTATAAAAATAATATAAGCACTATTATTACATAGAAAGGTCAGACCACAAAAGAAAATATAATCTGGGAACACCTCGGCATCAGAGTTATCAGCAAAGGTCCCATAACTTATCTTTTAATTAACATGGCATTTGAAGATCTCCCCTTTCAATTAGCTAATTTGGAAAAAAAATTAGAATGTGGCTTTTGGAACTGCTTTATTTTAATTAATTTTATTGCTAATTTAAAATGAGGAGTTTCAATTTCTCTACAAATTCTTAAAATATAAAGGGTTATATTATTCTCTGGAAAATTCTTTTAAAAATGGTATGTTGCTATTGATAAGGACCAGGAACTTAATATCAAGACTGCAAAAATAAGGTGACTTCATTAGTATCTTAGCACCTTAATATCAAAGCTTAAAATGCCTCAACTTTTGGTGCAGTGAGTGCCAACTTTTCCATAAGGACAATCATACTGTAGTTCCACAACACTTACCTCTTACTATTGCTTTGAGGTGGCAGGGCTTTAGCTTTCTGGCAGCTGTCACATCATTGAGAGCAGAACGAAAATTGCCTAACAGGCACCATTTAGTAAAAGAGAAAACGAGACTGAGATCAGAATATTTGCAAAATTTCATGTGTGGAGACATAGACATTCTTGTATAGTCTTAGAGAAATATAAATCAGAGCAACAGTTTTTAGGAAAAAAATATAGTTGTGCTCATCAAGTCTTAGAAATATTTGTAACACTAGAAGCCCACAGAACAACTATAAGTGGCTAGCAAGCCCATGAAAAGATGCTCAACATCACCAGTGACTGAAGAAATTAAAATTAACATGGAACTGGTAAAAATTAAAAACAGGTAATATCCAGGATGGGTGAAGACATGGAAAAAGGCACTCTTAAGGGTAAATTAGAGAGCAAATTAGTATGCACTTGTGTGTATACTCTGACCCAACAATATTCTTCTAACAACTTACCCTTAAAAATACCTGGACAAATATGTAAGGATAAATGTAAAAGCATGTCAATTGCAGCATTAGTTTTAACTGTGAGTTGTGAAACACTGGTGATACCCTAAACATCCTCAATGTAGTAATGATTAAATGAACTATGGTAAATCCACACTACTAAATACTATGCAACCACTAAAAAGGTTAAGATACATGTGCACGTAAAAGGCGTGACAGGATGCCTGTGCTATATTGTTTTAACTGGTGGTTCTATGTGTATAATGTCAATGTGTAAAATATCAGTATTTTTTGTAAAACAAACCAATCTAAATACACAGACATATGTACACACATGTATATTTGTAAAAAAAAAAAAAAAAAGGTGTGTAGGGGCAGCTGGGTGGCTCAGTCAGTGAAGCGTCTGCCTTCTGCTCAGGGACCTGGGATCAAGCCCACATCAGGCTCCCTGCTGAGCGGGGAGTCTGCTTCTCCCTCTCCCTCTGCCTCTGCCCCTCCCCCCAACTTGTACTCACTCTCAAATAAATGAAATCTTTAAAAAAAAAAAAAAGTGTGCAATCAAACACACTGTTATCCAAACTAGAAGGGCATGAAGTAGATTTTCACTTTCTAGTTTATACTGTAAATTTACTTAACAGTTTGGTATTTACTTACTATTTTCACTTCTAAAAATCTAGTGCAGAGGTCAGCAAAATTTTTCTGTAAAGGGCCATATAGTAAATATTTTAGGCTTTACAGGCCACATATGGTCTGTTACACATTCTTTTTTGTTTTACAATCCTTTAAAAATATAAAAGGCATTTTTAGCTCACAGGAGGCCAGGAATCCAGATGTGGCCTGTGAGCCATAGTTTGACAAATCTGGCTTCAGCCTTAAGAATAATCAGAATTCGTAGGAAAACTTTACCACTATGTTCATTCCTGCATTATTCTAAAAAACCTAAAAGCAGATGTATACTCAGTAACAGCAGAACAGTAAAGCCAACTGTGTAAACACTGGTATGTCCAAATGATGCAACTGTATGTAGCTATTAAAATAGTATTCAAAAATATTTTATGACAGGTGAAATTGTTTATGTTATAAAATTAAGTGAAAAGAACTGAATACAAAACTGGAAGAACAGCATGATATTAACTATGGAAAAAAATGTATATAAAAGAGATCCAAAGACTTCTGGTTAAGGGTGATAGATTGAACATAAGGATTTAACTAAACCTCCACTACTCTCCCCCTCCCCCCAAAATGCTATAAACCCACAGAGACAAGAGTAAGAACACAACACATTTTAAAGCTCGAAAACAAAGGGACAATGGTTAAATGACTAATCAGGCCTAAGAAAACTGAATTCTAAGGCAGCAGAGGGAAAGCCCCAAAGCTGTCAAGTTGTACTGCATAACCTAAAAGTACCCAGGACTAAGGAACTGACAGCACCAGGCACCTTCTGGAAGGGTGGGTAAAGGTTTTTTCCATTTAGTGCACTTAGAATTAAACCTGATTCTGCATACTAATCCTAGCACTGTGCACCCTTACACAGTTCATTTTACTAAATTTACTGTACTTTACTTCAGTTGTGTACTCTGCTGACTAGGGATAAAGCTGTTAACCTCACCTACCTTACACTTACAAATAAAAAGTGCTCTGTAAGCTGTACCAGTGAGATCTCATTTAAGGAATGACTGTGATGATTATGCCTCCGCTCCTCTGGCATCACACACACATGGTTTTCTTCTTGCAAGGTGCTTCTTCTGGTCTGATTAGCCTTACAGTATTTAAGTTCCCCAAAGAAAGGAACTATGTAGCTGTTGCTCACAGTGCAATGCCTAGCACACAGTAAATGCTTTATATATATTTTATATATATATATTTTTTTAATATATTATATATATTTACTGATTGAATAAAGAAATGAATGAAACTCCTTCTGGAAAAGGCCAGATCTTGCTCATCTCTGTGACACCACTGCCTAGCACAGAACAAGAAGTTGAGTTCATCTGCTGAAGAAAATGTATTCCTCCAGAAGTTAGAAGAATGGGTTTCTAGTCCAAGTTCTCGCACTAATCGGAGGGACCGTCTCTGGGCCTGTGTAAAATGAAGGGGTTGGGGGTGCCTGGGTGGCTCAGTTGGTTAAGCGACTGCCTTCGGCTCAGGTCATGATCCTGGAGTCCCGGGATCGAGTCCCACATCAGGCTCCCTGCTCAGCAGGGAGTCTGCTTCTCCCTCTGACCCTCTTCCCTCTCGTGCTCTCTCTCATTCTCTCTCTCAAATAAATAAATAAAATTAAAAAAAAAATGAAGGGGTTGGTTGGCCCAAATAATCTCTGAAGTTCTATACCACTCTTACTATTTAGAATTTTATAAGGAAACATGCTAAAAGAGACAACAGTTGGAGCAGACTATGGTTGGGGAGAAACTCTGCTCAAATGGTGATGAGTCCCAGCAGACTCATCCCAGCTAGACTGCAAGGCTTATTCTCTACCAGCCCCTCAGAGGCCCAAGGTCTCCTTAATAATGTTTCCCAAAGTCACACGTGCAGAAGAGTCCTGCATGTTAGTGTTACTTGAAAAGGGGGCTTACAAAACTTAAGAATCAAAGGGTAAAGTTCTTTGCTGCAGGTCATCTCAGCATCTTTAACATACTGTGCACTGCAATCTGCAACAAAGCAGCAGCACCTTCCCAAGAGTATTTTTCACTTCAGGTCCCACAGAATACTCTTTGAAAAATTCTCCCTTTAATATAGTTTCTCTCACACAAACATCTCTTTGCTTGAATCCTTCTAGCATTCTTCAGAAGAGGGTAAAAGGCCAAAAACCAAAACCAAAAACACATTTTTTTGAAGAGAAAAGCATTTGGGCTAAAAAAAAAAAATCTCAGATCATACCAGTTCATGTATTAAGGTGTGTCACTCATTTGGTTCAGAGAGTAAGAATTATAATCTATCTGGTTTCCCTTTTCAGCCCGTCTACCTGGAAGATCAGCGTTCAACTAGAGTAAACTAGCCTAGCTTTCTGGGATAAGCAGCTCTTCCTCTGATGCTCTCAAACTCTGCACTAGCCATCATAATGGCTTTTACCATAAGTTAATTCTTTAGAAAGCACTATATAATAGAATAAATTACCTAGATAGTACTGTGCTGCTGCCCGGTTGGTATAAAGGACAGCATTCAAATCAGGGTCTGTGCATTTCTTCTTTAATCCTTCAGTGTACGAAATCACAGCTTTTTTATAGTCTTTTTCTTTAAAGTAATCATTGCCTTCATCCTTATAGGTCTTGGCCTGTTCTGCAAAGAAGAGAGTAAGTAATCACTATTTCCTATTTTTTTAAAGTCTCATTAAAAATAGATTCTAAATCATACCATAATGTTACATATGATAAACCAAATAAAAAGAAACCAATAAAGGAAACTCCAAAATTAATCCTGTAAAACTGGGTATCAACATGGAGAAGCAAAGTCATGTGCACTTAATGCTACAATCAATTCCAAATATCTTACAAGGTAGATTGGATGGTTACCAAAAAAAAAAAAATGCATAAAGAAAAAAAAGTATATTTATCCTACCTCTTGAAGGACTTTTTTTAATTACTGAAGAAATAGAGGGAAATTGTACTTCTGTTTTTGCTTATATTTTATTCCCTGGAATGCAAATTCCCCTCTCCTCACCTTAGTAAGAACCTACAAAATTGTTACGAATCAGTTCAGATTTCCAATCCATTGTGAGCCCTCTCCCACCTCCCCCACTTCAGTGTTCCCAACGCACCCCGTACAGAGCCACATTTGGTACTCATCACATATACACAGGACAATCTGGCTATCCAATGGAGCATGAGATTTTTTTTTTTAAATGGAGCTTGAGACCTTTGAGGGCAATCTTACTCATCCCTTTATCCCCAAAGCCTAGCATTTAGTAGGTATGGGGGGAGGGGAGTATATGTGGAATAAACAGTGACGAGTTAGCCCAGGCTAACTACTACTTGTTATCAGAAACTTTCTGACTCGCTCTTTACCTCAATTCAATGGAGACACAAAACAAATATTAGACTTATGTAAGATACCTTCTGGAGATCGCTCTTCATCAAAAATAATTGACTGAAGGCAAGCCAAGTCAGGATTCTCGTTGGGATCAATTTCAGATGGCGCTTTCTTCATAAATAGGGGGACCTTTTCAAATTCCTGGAGATGAAGAGAGGAATGAACTATAGGAATAAGATTTTCCACAGGGTAGATCCAATTCCACATCTCCATATCAAAGTTTTCTCGCTCATCATGATTCGCAAGTCATGGTTAGCTATCTCTCTCCCTAACCAGGCCTCAGTTTCCCACGTGTAAGATGAGAGCGCAGGGTAAGGATCTCTAACGATTCTTTCGGTGCTCACAATCTTCCAAGGGCGGTGGGAATCACCATTAATTGAACGCTCTTATGTTCCCGGCACTTCACCCACCATATCCCTTCATTTTCGCCGCAATGCTACGAGACTGTGGCTCTAGTTAGGGAAATTTTACAAATGAGGACACGGGCTCAGAGAAGTTAAGTAACTGAGCCAGCAAATGGTAGAGTCACAGGTCTGTCTGACCCCAAAACCTGGACTCCTAAATATACTGACAGCTGAAGACTGCCCTCAAAACCCCAGGTCCGATTTTCTAACACTCCCAGGTGGAAACCACCTTTCCGCTGGCAGGGCCGGGGGAACCGGGGGTGCGGGAGGCGCCAGCCAGCCAACCCCAGGGGTCGGGACGACGCCCCCACACACGTGCGGGGCCCCGGGCCACCCACCTCCTCCCACTGGTCCTCGTGGAAGCCGCCACGGTAAGGCTGGCTCTGGAACTTTTCCAGGAACGAGTCCATGGCATCTTCGCCGGCAGCGTCCGGGTCAAGTTGCTCCATGGCGACCCCTCAGCTCTGCCGCCACGGTCCGGACCGCGAGAGCCGCGCGCCCACTTCCGGCAGCGCGTGTGCCTTTCCCTCAGTCCTCCCGGCCGCGCCCGCCCGCGAGCCTCGGGTTCCGCCCTTCTGGGGCCTGACCGCCGGCTCCGCCCCTCCCCAACCAGCACCTCCCCCGCCCCGCCCTCCCCTCAGCGGGCCACCGCCCCGCCCCGCCCTGCCCCGCCCCGCCCCCGAGTGTTTGGGGTGGTGGATAAACCCGGCCCCACAGTGCCCACTATCACTTCGTTCATTTGTGTGTGTTTTTAAAGATTTTATGTATTTGACAGAGAGAGACATAGCAAGAGAGGGAACACAAGCAGGGGGAGTGGGAGAGGGAGAAGCAGGCTTCCTTCCCAGCAGGGATGCCGATGTGGGGCTCCACCCCAGGACCCTGGGATCATGACCTGAGCCAAAGGCAGACATCTAACCGACTGAGCCATCCAGGCGCCCCTCATTCATTCATTTGTTCAGCCAGTCAATACACGTTTCCTAAGCTCTTTGTGCGTTCAGGCCCATTGTGGTCGCTGGGTAAACCCCCCCCCCTCCAGGAGTTGATAAGATAGTGGGGAAAGACAAACAGTAAACAAATAAGATGTGAGAGGTTGTCGGGTGCTAGCAAAAGCTATCGGGGAAAAGTTTTTATTTTTTTTTTAATTTTTTATTTGAGAGAGAGCGTGCACATGTGTGCAGGGGGAGGGGCAGAGGGAGAGTCCCAAACCGACTCCACGCTAAGCTGGGAGCCAGATGGGGGCTCAGCTCACGATCCTGAGGTCATGACCTGAACCGAAATCAAGAGTTTGAGACCCAACTGACTGAGTCACCAGGTGTCCCTAATGAGGGGGTGGGGGTGCAGTTTAAACTGGGTATACATGCATTCAAGCAAAGGAGGAGTCCCAGAGTGGCCAGGGCCTGTCTGGGGAGAAGCATTCTTTAGGGAGGGGACTGGCGGTGCCAAGCCCCAGGGAGGGGAGCTGGGGATGGGGGTGGATGGAGCAAAATGAGAAGGAGGATGAGTAGGTGAGGTAGGAGGGATGATGGGTAGTGATTCTGAGGACTTGGGTCTTCCCAAGAGTGCAGTGGTACCTTCTGCAGAGTTTCAAGAAAAGGGGCTATGTGATCAGCCATGCCTATTTCTGAGGTTAACCACCTCCCTATCCACCCCAGCTGAGATGGAAACAAGATCTCCAGGCCAGGTGCGCCCTCCTGCAGCCATGGGTGCTATAGCCTCAGGGAGCCCACAGCCTGGTCTAGAAGGCAAGGCAGATAGGCAGCAGGCCAATCTAGAGCAGGGCCTTTCACAAGTCTGCACAGTGGAGGCACAGAAGGGTGGGTGTTACCTCAGGGAGTCAGCAAGATTTCACAGACCCACCTTCTCTGCAGAGCTGAGAGCAGAGATGAGGAAGGTCTCCCCAGATGGTTGGAGGCTGGAAGGGAGTTGAGCATTTTAGGCAGCTGTCAGAATCCCTGTGCAGAGAGGCATGGCAGTGTGCAAGAGCCTGGCATGCTGGGTACCATAAGAGTCAAGAAGAAAGGCCAGCAAGATGAATGGGGGCCAGAGGGCAGTCAGGCCTTTATCCTGTAGCCCTTTATCTTGCAGAGGATAGTGAGCCAGTGATAGACCTAAGGGCAAATTTGTCTTAGGAAGGTCTGGGTTGCCAGGTGAAGGATTGATGGGGGGAGGCTGGATTAAGAGATTGACAAGGCTGCTGATGAGAGACCGGGGAAGAGAAGAGATGGGAGGCCCAGCAGTGGAACCGGCAGGCTTGGTCATGATCTGATCCCAGGGTGAGAGATACAGCAGGGCTAAGGATGACGTACAGAGGGCCGTGAGCATTCCAGGGCCACACCTGTGTCTTTCCCCTTTCTACGCCACCCATGCCCAGCAGAACACCTGCTCCGAGGGCCTCCTCTCCTCCAAATCTGAGCCTCCTTTCCACACTTCCTCCTCCAGCCTGCTCCCTAATGGTTCCCATTCTTATTCAAGGCCAGCCCAGACCTAGGTTCTGGCCAGTGAAAGCAGCAGTGTTTTTGGGTGGAAAGGGCTTCGACATGGGAGTTGGGAGAGCTTGGGGACCCGTACTTCTGTTGATTCTCTTGTGTGACCTCGGACAAGGCCCACTCATCTTCAAGCCCTGCCCTCATCTGTAGAACACAGGCAGTAAACCCAGCCTGCCTTCTCCATCACTCCATACGGCTACTGTGAGATTCCAAGCAGGCCGTGCTTGTGAACATTCTTGGCAATGGAAAAGGTGATGCACAAGGACCGCCCCCATTTCCTGCCCCCTCGTAGGCCCTGATGGTCTTGGCCTATCATTTATTGGCAGATGATTGTGTGGTCAACTTCACGGGTTCCTCATCCAAGCAGGAGCTTAAATGAACTCTACACCCTCGCCCAGGGAACCTCACCTCGGCCCTGTCTGTGAGGAATCCCAAACCTGTTTCCATTCCAAGTCCCTCTGCCGAGCCTCCCACTGTGCAGCCAGCCACCCAGCAGATGTCTCTACTACCGTGACACCAAGCCCCTCAAGCTCACCACATCCAGCCTGAACTTCTCTCCCCCTGAACCTGCTTCTGGTGTGGAGGGACCACCCACCGGGGGGACACCCTTGGCCCAGTTACTGGCGCAGAAATGCAGGCCCACCCTCAGCACCTCACTCTCCCCCCCTTCCTCCATCCGTCAACCACCAGGTTCTGAAAATTCCTCTTCTCCCATCTCCTGAAGGTCCGGTCCCCCTCTCCATCCTACCCTGCTGTCCAGACTTCCATTCCTGCCCCCAAGCCTGCAGCCAGGTCTCCCTGTGTCCTTGTTCACTGCCCTCCCCCAGCTTTCCTTCCACCACAGAGTGAGTGTTCTTCCCCTCGCTTTTATCATTTATTCCCTTTTATGCCCCAGAGCCCTCCTCCTTACTCCCTCCCACCACTGTGTGTTTTAATGTGTATTTTCAGTTTGTAAGTGTTCTTGCAAAATGTGACTTCTTTTGTGCGTGCATTTTTTTATGTACTTTACTCCTCAGCAGGAGGTTTTAGGTCTCACGTGTTGCACCACATACCCCCTCAGCCTCTAACTGCTGCATGGGCTCCACGGTGCCCATTCCCTCCCTGACCAGGGATACCCAGGCTGCCTCCTCTCCCAGGCACTACCAATAATGCTGCAGGAGACTTCCTCACGCGTCTCTTTTAGGGACCTGTGGGACGAGCTCCAAGGTGTGTGCTCACGAGTGGAATTGCCAGGTGACAGCATGCATAAACCTAGTACCACTGAACAGGGACAGATCCGTGTCCAGAGGGCTGCAGCCATCCGCCCTCCCACCAGCTGTGTCTGTGGGGTTCCTGATCCTCTAGAGGAAGCAGCTTTCTAAAGCCGATATTTGCACACCTCTCTGCCTGGCTTAACACCACACCATGCCTTCCCGCTGCTCCCTGAAGTCTCCCTCCTTCACACAGCCTCCAAGGCCTGAGGGACCTGGCCCTGGCCCTGATCTCCTCCCCCTACACGCACTCTAGGATCCACCGAACCTACGTATCAGCAGTTAGTCCTCGGTCCCGTGTGCCTCGCTCTCCTCCATATACGCCCACCATGTGGTCATCTTTCCAAGCCCCCTAAATGGGGGGTCTTGTCTCTGGGAAGCCTTCCCTGACACCCCAGCTCCCTGCTGGCCTATGTGCATCCTTTGGACGTCACAGCTCCCATGAGTTCCTTCATCACAGCACCGGGTTGTTGGTGTCTTTCCATGTCTCTGATACTTCCATTAGACCAAAGTGTCTCAACCTCAGCACTTTTGACCATTTGGGATGGATAATTCTTCACTGTGGGGTCTGGCCTGTGCACTGTAGGATGTTTAGCAGCGTCTCTGGGCTCCATCCAACAACGAAAAATGTCTCCAGATATTGCCAAATATTCCCCACAGGTCAAAATCACGCCTCTTGAGAAGCCCTGCTTCAGAGTATGAATTACCAGGGCCTGGGACTACTCTTGTTCTCCTCCAGCACCCAGAGCAGGCCTGGTCCAGGTTAGGTGCTCCGTGAATGTGACCCGAATAAGAGACAGCCAATCTCCGAGCAGAGACCCAAGAGTGGGACTCAGAGATCAGGGCTCCAGGATGTGCTGATGTCATGGGGTGGGAGAATCTCTCCTTTTCCTTCCCCTAAAGCCACCCCAATCATCATCCCCTTTTGTTCTTCTACCCTCCCTGTGGGGGAGGGGACACTGAGGCATGCAGGAGACTTGCCCTGTGGCCTTGAGGAAGCCACTTCACCTCTCAGAGCATTTCTTCCCCACCTATAAAATGTGGACAAAACAGCCTGTGTGAGCCTGTAGATGTTGAGCGAGTCAACGGTGAAGGCCACGCTCATCTTGCAGATGAGCCGCACAGAGCCACGGCATCTCCCATGAGGAAACACTCACAGGGAGAGGTAAGCCATGTGGCATTTATGGGGGCATGACTATGGCTGTGGCCACCCCTGAGGAGGGCTGGGGGCTCAGGGACATCACTGCTTCAAGGACATCTTCCAGGAGCCCAGGGCCTGCATGATCCAGGAGCGCCGCTGGTGGGAAGTGGGCAGGTTCTCACAGCTGGGACTCCAGCGGTGCATGGTGGCCGGGTCGCACCCCCACGAGTCCCCGTGCGGCAGTGGCCAGGAGTTCCGCCAGCAGCTGGCCAGGATGTGGTCCTGGGCCTGGGCTGCGTAGATGCACACTGATGCTTCTGGGTCGTGTCTCAGGTTTTCCAGAGCTGGGCCACGGGGAGGGGAAAGGCCGCTTGTTAAGACCGGGTCCCCACAGAGGTCTCACACTCATCCTTCCTTCTCACTTCTGTGTCTTCACTCAGGCACTCTGCTCAGCGTCCCCTCAACTCACCTTCCTCCCAGCTCTTCAAACCGTTCCCGCGTTTCAAAGCCTGAATCAAAACCGGCATCCTTCAGGAAGCCTTCTGGGACTGCTCCAGCCTCAGACTCCCATCCGTTTCCCCAGTTACAAAATTAATCTGCCCCAGTTAAGAGTCTGAACTACTCGCCCTGCACTAAATGGTTTTGGGCTTATTTTCTAGTCTGGTTTCCTAGATTGTAAACCCCCCTAGGGTGAGGCTGTGTATTCTGTGTCCTGGTGACCCCTTAACACTACTCACTGTGGATACAGACTAGCACAGCTGGGCTGAGCTGAAGCCACTTGCTTTGAGACCTATCCCTTCTGTTTCCTGTCACCCACTGTGAGCCCACTCATTCTCTCACTGGCCCCCTAAGATCTCAAAGATGCAGGGTATGACTTACCCACTTTCACTTCATTCAGGCGGTCTTTTGTCATTATGCTCTCCATGCAGGGGACGAGGGACCCTTGGGTGCAATCCAAGAGGTGAGTGAATCCACCTCCCGACTCTGACCCCCACCCTCAGACCAGACCTCCTAAGAGAAACTCTCCCACCCTTCTTGAGTCCCACGAATGAGGACATAAAAGGAGAACTTCGTTCGGACCCTGGGACAGATTCTCTACGGGGGGGTCCTGGGAGAGGTGGCAGGTCCAGAGGGCAGGGATGGCACCAGGACAGGGACAGGACCCGGGCTGCAGCTGACTCTGACAGTGGTCCCTTACCCAGGCTGGCCCTCAGTGTCCTGATCTGAGACTCGGGGAGCTGCTGCCTCAGCTGCCCCCCGTTCTTCAGGTAGTTTGAGCAGCATTCATGTGAAGGACACAGTGCCTCGCATACCTTTCAGGCAGGTGGTTGGTGGGGCCCTGGAGGGCCTGAGACTCCGCTCTTCGGCCACACTGTCCAGCCCTCCCCTGCTCCCTGCCTGCGTGCCTGGTTCCCAAAGCACCTGCAGGTCCTTGAATGTGGCCTGCTGTTAGGCCCTTCCCACATTTCTCGGCTGGGCTCATTCCTATTTATCCTTGACTATTCAGCTTAACATAATTACTTCTCCAGGAAATCCTTCCTGACCCTGCACCCAAACTCGGTTAGGTGTCTCTCTGGGTTCTCAGAGCACCTGAGTTTCCCTTCATCTGTATATACTATGATATACCTTGGTGACCTATGAACCTCTCCCACCAGACCTGAGGTCCCCCGCTTAGATGCAGTCAAGGTGGGGAAGTGGGAAGGGCAGTCTCTGAGGATCTTAAATCACACGCACAATTGTATGCATGTATGCATTTTTCTAGGGAAAGTGTTCATAACTTTCTTCTGAGTTTCACAAACGCACAAGAGGTGAGAAATCACTGCACTGGGCAGGGGGTTGTGTGTGCGTGGGGGGGCTGACGCCGCCTCTCCTCTGCTTGGTTTCCCCGGCACAGGCCTCTGACTCAGAGAACACACTCAAGTGTTAAACACTAACATTTTTAGATGTGATTAATTTGGGGCAAGATTTAGAGAAGTCACGGTCTAGGAAATAATGTCACTCTGTGTGAGAAGCTGCCTCTGAGCAGGCCCTCACAGTCTGAGGGATGCCCCCGGTCCTGGGCATTGCTCCTCTGTCCCTGCCTGGATCGTGTTAACAGCACACGCGCCCCACCCCCACCCCTGCCATCCACATCACCTCCAGAAGGGTTCTCTGTTTCTCTAGACTAGGCATGGTGCCTGACACAGAGTGGAGCATCAAGCAACGTTTGCTAACTGAACTAGTGAATGGGTGCATGGGTGACTGGACCGATGAAAACCACAAGTGAATTGGGGAAAGGAACCAAAAGAAGCATCGCTTTTCAAAGTGGGGGATGGGAAGGTCATCCTCTCTAAGCCCCTGGGCAGTGGGGTCTCTTGGTCGTGGTGAAGAGTTTGTGGTTACTTGGGGGAGGGGAGGGCAGTAGCTGGGAGGAGATATTCCCACATGCCATCAGAAGGCTCTGGGCTAGAGTGGGGGATTTTGAGTGAGGGGAATCTAGTTGTTTTTTCCCCAGGAAGGCAGTTGGGATTATGGGAAATGTGGAGTGAGCTATGTTGAGGGAGTACCTTGACTAGCCAGGCTTCACGTTTTTAAAAAATATTCTCATCTGATCTGTAAAACAGGAGTTTATCCCCACTTTACAGGTGAGGAAACAGGCTCACTGGGCCTGTTGGGGTCACACGGAAAGGGGATCGTGGAGCTGAGATTCTACTTCACTCTTTCTACTGCACAGCTTGGCCCCTCCTGACACAGTCAATGGTAGGCTCCCACTGGGCCTGGACCCATGCTGGACTGGGGTGGAGGGGCGGGCAGGAAGCAGCCGTTCCACTGTGTACAGTTGCCAAGGTTGTGACCTGCACAAGGACTCCAGGCTGGATCCACCCTGTGGCCCAATTCCCAAGCAGGGATTTTAGAGGAGGGAAGACCTTTCTAATTTGCACCATGACTGTCTGCTGGCCAAGCCTTGAACCCAAGGGAGGCATTTCCCAGGTGCCAGAAGGACTGGCAGCTTCCTTGCAAGGGGAGGAAGCAAAATGGAGGGCAGGCAGAGTCCCAGCAGCAAAACTAGTTCTGCCAGGTTACCTATGAACATGACTGAGTACTTCCGGAGGGAGGCCCGGGAATTCTTGGCGTACTCCAGGCTCTGGCTGAGGAATGTGAAGGCGCTGTCTTGGTGTGTAGTCACCTGGGACAAAGAGAAAGCCCAAGAGTGCTGGCCCTCGGAGGGACCAATCGCCCACCCGCCCTTCCCAAAGCTAGGAACGGTGACCCGGTCAGGCAGCCGAGCCCTGGCTCCTCGCCTCCTAAACTTCTCTGCCCCCCATCCTGGACTCTGCCTGAGGCCCCCGGAGGCCAGGTCTCATCTTCTCTTAGGGGATTGCAACAATCCTTTCCATGGTCTTCCCGCCTCGAGTGTAACCTCTTCCAGTCCACCCCCTGCTACAGGTCGAAATAAAGTTCTAAAATAAGAAGTCCAGCCAAGTGAGAGTGGACATGGCATGCAAGGGACATGATAGATAAGGAGACAGGTCTGATCAGGGTGAAGAATTCAAGTTACAGTGCAGAGAAGAATAAATTAGAGAGTTAGAGAGCTTAAAAGTCCTTAAAAGCCAGACAGGAATAAGGCTTACTTATGCATCAGAAAGTAGGAAGCCAGAATCCATTCTTGATAGAGCAATGACAAAGCAATGTTTTGGGCAAAATAGTCTGACAGTGGTGTTCAGGATGAGTTTGATCAAGTAGAAACTAGGGGGCAGGCATTCTGCTAAGAGGCTGTGGAGGGAGACGAAGAAGAATCTGATACGATTACCCTCCTGTTGACAATCTGCATGTCAGGGAGTAAACTCTGGGCCTGGCATCAAAGCCTTCATGATCATGCTCCCCAGCCTCAGTTTCCACCAGTGCCTCTACCTGGTATGCACACTCTGCTCCAGTGCCAGGATGTGGCCCGGCTGTCCCCAGCTCTGTGCCTGGTACAAGCGATTGCTCCTGATTGGAGTGCCCTTCCCTCTCTTCTTCATCTGATGGATCCCTCTCATCCCCTGAGGCTCAGCTCAGAAGCCCCCCTGCCCCCCCGAAGCCTTTCACAACTCTCAGACAGAGCGGCTCTCACCACTCTTCATGTTTCTGCAGCATCTTGCACAGCCCTTGTCATGTCACCTATGACATTGTGCTATGATTATTTATACCTATCTCCCCCACCAGATCCGGAGCTCCCCCAAGAGAAGGGGCCAGCTCACTCAGCTCCGAGTCCGCAGCTTCCTGGACACAAAGCTTGGTGTGACAGAGATGCCCAGAAAGCACTGGATGGATGGATGGATGGATGGATGGATGGATGGATGAATTAATGGGTTACTGCCCCCCTCCTTAAAGCTCAGGCTAGAAGTTGACCTTCACATGAGCAAACCTGTTGATGCTGGAAGAGCCAAAACAGAGGCTCTAGAAGGGCCTAACGCAGAGGTCACCAGCCGACAGCCCACAAACCATGAGGAGTTGGCAGAGCAGTGACCAGCACAGTGTTTTCAACAAGCTAAATTGATTGCTAATTAATGTCTTATAAAAATCTGGGTCTCTAGCTTTTCTTGTGAAAGCAGAGTTGCTGGCAAGAGTGGCCCGCACCGTGAGCAGGAGCACCCACTCACGCTTTCAACAGGGCCTGGCCTCCATGTTGCCACAGGTCCCACCACTTCCGTGTCACCCATGGTCATTTTCCGCCCGTTCCCTGGTCACTGGAGGTATTTGAATTAGCGCCCTGGCCAAACATCGCCTCTAGGCCTCTTTTTCCCTCATGAAATGACGAGAATAATATTAGACCCTGGACTGCAGAGGTTTTGAGCATTACTGATAGTGGTGTTATCCAGCCCTTTTCTTAATCCTAGGAACCATCTGTGACTCTGCATATTTTCATTAGATCGCTGGGGGGGGGGGGGGTTGCTGGCATGCCCCACCCAGGTCTCCCTTTGGTGTGAAGGATTTCTCCCCCAACACTGGGGACTGCCTCCGAGGAATAGAACTGCCGACCCAAGGTCACGTCTCTTTCCCAGGGTGGCTGGCATCCAGTAACAAATGGACGCAGGGGTGTAAAGACCTGGCCCTGGCCCCAAATGTGGGGGATCTCACTGCAGCGGTGGCTGAGACCTCCCCCAAAGCTACACTGCAGCTTGACCTCTCCTCCTGCCCCTGCCCTCCCTTCCACAGGTGTCGATCCCAAGGCCGTGCCCAAATAAACCTCCTGCATGCTAATCTCTGTCCCTGAGTCTGCATCCTGGGGTGCCTGTGACGGCAGGGGAGGTAGATGGAACCTAGAGCAAAGCTTCCCAAATGGTGTGCAGAGGGACTGGGCTGCATCCTGCGGCGTGCATTCCATGGAGTACGGGTGGCCTGCTCCTACCTCAGGATGCCCTCACGTGTACTAGAAAGGGGGTTTGGTGTTAAATAAGTTTGGGAAACCATGGATCAACAACCATGGAACATCTCAGCACAGACCATCTCAGAGCCTTTAGTGAGCCGAAGGCATTGCAAACCCCCAAGAGGAAGATGGCGAGGCAGTGTTTCCCAAACTTATTCATCTTAGAACCTCTTTTCTCCCCTGTGGGGCATTTCCTGTGGGGTGGGTGTCACAGAGAATACACCCTGGGAAATGCTGATGCAGAACAGGGAACCAGTGAAGCTCCTGAAACAGGGAAATAACACAGACAGACTCGTGTTTGAAGCAGACCACTCTGGTGGCCCAAGTGGGAATGGGATCGGAAGAGATGAGGTTCAAGGTGGAAAGAGCCGGGAGTGGCTGGATCCACAGCCCAGCTGGAAGACATCCATGCCCCAAACCAAGGGCAAGGACTGTGGGGCCAGGAAGTGAAAAAAAAAAAAAGATGCAGAGATGTTTAGGATATTTCAGATTGATCGATTGTGGAAGGTGGGGGAGATGGAGTCTAGGGTAATTCTAGGTTTCTGCTTTGGGGACCGAGAGGGACAGAGCAGAATTGAAATGGGAAGGCCATCAGCTCAGAAGAGGCATGCCGAGCTTGAAGCACGTGTGGGTCAGCAGGGACGTGTCCAGTAAGCCACTGGAGAGGGACACCAGAAGTGAGAAGCCAGAAATGCAGATGAACATCCAGGAGCCAACAACGTGTGCATAATAGTGCAATTGCCGGTCAGGACGCTTGTGCAAAAAGAAGGAAGGAAGGGGGAAAGCTTTGCCCACCTCCAGCACACTCGTTGGGAACCACTGTGCTCTTGAAAGCACTCACAAGGTACTTGCATATTTTGGCCACCGTCTGCTGCTGGTTGTCCCAGGACTTCCGGCTATAAGCTCTTTTCGGCAATTCCCACTCCATGAGGCAAGAACAGCGGAACAGGGTCTTTATACATTTCTGGGGACCAATAGGAAGACAATACCAGAGCTGGGGAATTCCAGGACAGCCAGAACATCCTCCAAAAAAAAAAAAAAGGTTTTGTGAAACTGAAGTCTAGAAAAATCAATTCCTATTTGAAATGCACAAGTGAAGTTGTCCGTTTTGAGGAGGAATTCTGACATGGTGCCTTTGGAACACGGGCTTGTCCATAACGGATGGTTAGTGATTCTGGCTTGGTTTCCATAAAGGGAGGCTCGGCCACAGGGCCCAGTGCCTACGCACACTCACCTGGCTCACCTTGGCGTTGCCCTCTTGCATGATCAGCAGCAGGGGCACCAAGGTGCTGATCAGCTGCTCCTCCATGGCTGGGGTGCAGGGTGACCGTAGCTTCTGGACCACCTTGCCGTACAGGTTGATGCAGGAGGAGCGCACGTCCTCTCGAGACTGGGGCAGACCCCGAGGCTCAGGCATGCTCCCTCCTCCAAAGGGCTGCCTGGCCCTCTGAGCCCCACATGGAGGCATGTGGCCTTCCTCCCACTCATTCTGGGGGACCCTCCGGGCACAAGACACACAGAGATGGAGCAGGGTTGGAGGCCACTGGGTGGGGCTGATCTGGGGCCAGCGCCCCCCCTCACTGGAGCCTACCTCTGGAGTTCTGCCCGCTCTCCCCAGCCAGGGCCCCCTGCTAACCTAAAAGGTGCCTTAGTGCCAAGTGGGAAAATGCCCCCCTCCGCTGGAAGCATCAAAAACACATGCCTCCCTCTAGGTGGGTCAATTGCAATGAGGCAAGTGTCTGGCGAGACTATGATTACAAAAGAGCTCTCTCTGTGAGAACCGATTAGAGAAGGATTGCACCGATTTGCACCGAGAAATCGGTGCAAAAGACATGGGCCAGTTGGAACGAGGTGCCCCTTCCCCTGGGGCTGACTCCGCTCTGTCCTGCCTCAGCAGGCCACCAGAGCCATAGCAGCCCCCAGAGTAGTCAAGAGCCACCCTCCGTGGGCTGCCCCCCAACCCTCCCACCCTCGCCCCACCGTGGGATCCCTTACATCGCTGAAATGTGGCAGCAGGATCTGCAGCATTTCCACATAGACCGAGCTGTCCGTCAGCTTCCGGTCCTGCCCCTTGAAGATGGTCTTGAGGTTGTGGGCAGCCTCCACCACCAGCAGCCCGTCCATGCTCTTCAGGCCCTTCACCATAGAGGGTAGGAGGGCCTGCACCTTGGCAGTCTGTGGGGCAGGACCATTGGGATGCGGGCTCCTACCTGACAGCAGGAGCTGACAGGTGGGAGACCCAGCCTCTGATTCACTAAGATGAACTTGGTGGAGCAGGTGCTGCCTCCAGGCCTTTGGTTATGCCATCCCACCTGCCTGGAATGTCCTTACTCAAGCTCTTGTTGTCCCCAAAGTCCTCTTTGGCCTCACTGACTCCTTCCGGGTCTGGACACCTGAGGCCCTTTGTTGCCACCCCTTGCTGGCACGTGGTAGAGGACCTGCATTGTTAGTTAGCTTTCTGAGTCTACATCCTGCCCCTTCATCCCTCTATACCATGAGCTGCAACAGTGCCTGGTAGAGGAAAACAAAGCACTTTTTAAAAATGTTAAGATGTACCAACAATCTGGGCCTCAGTTTCCTATCTGTAAAATAGGAATAATTACTGCCATCCCCAACCCCTCCTAGACATACTGCCTTCAGGGTTACTGTGAAAAAAACTGGAGTAGAAACTATTTCAAAAAGAATAAAGTGTATAGGGAATTATTAAAGGCTATCCACTTTACAGATGGGGCAACTGAGGCAGGGACAGACAGGGATTCCAGCATCTGAGAGTCAGTGATGGCCAGGCTCCCTCCTTCCTCCAGCTCAGGGCCTGGCTGGGCCGGGCTCTCCTCTGCCCTCTGCTCACCTTCTCAGTCCTGCGGGCCAAGATGACCAGGCCTCGGATGGACAGCACCTTCATGATGGGGTCCTGGTGGTTCAGGCCTTCTGCCATCCGCCCGAGAGAGTACTCCTCCGGGATCCTCCGCACCTGCTCCATCTGCAGAAGCTGCGGGAGTAACAGGAATTACTCCCTGAGCCAAGGGGCAGGGCAGCCCCCCGTCTTCCCATGAACCAGTAGTGCTCGCTGGATGACCAGGGGCTGAGTGTGGGGCATGAATGATGGCTCTCTGGTTAGTGCTGTCCGAGGCAAGCCACGTGCGTTAAGTTTAAATTTTCTAGGAGCCACATTAAAAAGGCAAAGAAGAAATAGGTGAAATTAATGTTAGTAATGCCTCTTTTTAAAAAATTTTTATTGTTATGTTAATCACCATACATTACATCATTAATTTTTGATGTAGAGTAATGCCTCTTACTTGACCCAATATATCCAAAGTATTATCATTTTGACATGTAATCAATATAAATATATTTTACACTCTGTGAAAAAAGTTTTTTGAACCAAGTCTGAAATGTGGCGTGAATTTTAAACTTAAAACACATATCAATTCAGACAGACACATTTTGGGGGCCGAATAGGCCCCATGTGGCTCGTGGCTATCATACTGGATGGCACTGGTTTAGTTACGACGGCCACTCACTCCTGTCCCCACCCAGCCGTCAGTGTTGGTGTCGCTGAACTCTGTCCTCTCTGCCTGGCTTCCCTCTGCCCACTGTCCTCAATGAGCTCCTCCGCTCAGGACTTTAACTGCTGTCCCCAGGCATGCAATACCCTAGTCACCGTCTCTAGTCTGTGCCGCTGCCCAGAGCTTCTGACTTGGAAAACCAACAGTTTGCCAGACATCTCCGCCCGATGTCCATCTCCACCTGATGTCCATCACCACCTCATAGCAAGGCAGAACACGTCACTCTTTAGCTCAGAGGCCCTGTGCCGCCCCCGCTGCCTCTCACCATCGGGCCCAGCTTGCCTCTGGGGCCTCATTCACTCCATGCCCACCCTATAGCCCACACTCTTACCACCAACCAGCTTCTAAGCAAGCTGCCCGTTGCTTGTGGAACGATCCGGGCTGTTCTGTCCTCTCTGTGCTGGCAGGTTGCCCTTCTGCAAGGGTACCCACCTCCACTCCAGCCCCGACTCACCTTGCATGGCTCCATCTAAAACTCGGCCGCCCCTTGAAGCTGCGTTTGACAATGCCCCCAGACCTCACCTCACCTGGGTGGATTGCCCCCTTCTCTGGGCCCCTGGGAGCCCTGAACAGGGAAACCTGAGTGACCCTGTCTGCTTAATGCATCCGCCTCCGGCATCCCCCCGGGGCTTCCTTGAGGACAAACACTGAGCGTTACTCCCTGGGTTCCTGTTAACTAACACAAGCTCTGGGGTAGAGTATGTGCTTAGGGGACACTTTTGGTGTAAGAGTTCAGGTCCAACATGAAATTCAGTTCCTTTCCTCCTTAGAATTGCCCTTCCTCCTGTGTTCCCATTGCCAGGTCTAGCACCACCACCCGCTGTTGTCCTAGCCTAAATCAGGCATCACCCCCATCTCCTGCCTCTCCCTGCCACCCTCCCACCCACGGCAGCCAACTCGTCTTCAGTTCCTGCCTGGTCATCCTCATAAACACTTCTCTCATCCATTCCCTGGCCTTACCGCTACTGTGACTATTGAGACCCCGAGTCAGTATGATGAGGGGAGAGGGCTGGGCAGAGGGGCAGGGCGGTGGCCCAGAGCGGGAGGAGGCAGCGGAGGAGGGGCTCCACCCACAGCCCTCGCTCTGCCCATCCACACAACTGGGACTCAGGCCCGCCCGGCACCAGTTTCCGGGCTGCACACTAGAGATGTAGAGAAGAGTACTGATGACAATCAATCATAATAATAATAGCAATATAGCTGACTCACAGACAATACTTCCTAGATGCAGGCACTATCCTAAGAGTTTTACGTGAACTCATTTAATCCTCATCAAAACCCTTGGGGCACCTGGGTGGCTCAGTCGGTTAAGCGTCTGGCTCCTGATTTCAGCTCAGGTCATGATCTCAGGATCGTGGGATCGAGCCCCAAGTGGGGCTCCAAACTCTTCTGGGAGTCTACTGGAGATTTTCTTTCTCTCTCTCCCCCTCTGCCCCTCCCCCTGCTTGCATGAGTTCTCTAGTGCTCTCTCTCTATTAAAAAAAACCCTATGAGGTGGGCAATTCATTATCCCCATATTGCAAACGAGGAAACTGAGGCACAGGCAGGTTCCGGGACCTGAGGTCACACAGCTCCCTTGAGTTCCCCTGCCGTTGGGAGCAGCAAGCCCGCACATAGACGACCACAGCACAGGTGACTGGGGAGGCCGAGGCGGGATATGTGAGCTACGTCAAGGCGCCGCAGTGACTGTGGTGGGCCTGGCTCGGGCGGAGAGCAGCCCACCTCTTCTGGGGAGCGGGAGAAGGACTGAACCTGGCTGAGGATACTTGCTCCAGGGAGAAGGGCCACTGCAGAGTTCCAGGGGAATGTTCAGGAAAGGTTAAGCCTAGCGCCCCTGACCTTGGGGTGGACATGGGAGTGTCCGCTGAGGTGTAGCAAGGTGCCACCACCACCATCCGCCCCCCAAGAACCACAAGTGTAGCCACTCACAGACTTAGAGAGAAGTGGCTGACTCAAATTGAGGATCCAGTCAGGCAAACCTAGCCGGAATCTCTCTGGACTCCTTGAGCATGCCCCTAGCTTGTCCTGCCGGAAGTGACACGTTCTACCGGTGCCTGCAGGGCCAGGCCAAGTGTTCATCGGGGCACTCACTCATCCATCCGCCTACTTGCGGAGCTTTCCGGACTGGGGCTGGGGATGCAATGCCGACATGACATGGTCCCTCCTCCCCGGACTCACAGTCCAGCTGGAGAGGCAGAAAAGATGCAGGAAATGCCTGGAAGGCCATGCTGCCTCCTGTCCATCTAGCAAACTTTACTGACTTGTGAAGGCCCAGCTCAGATGGCACCTCCTCCAGGAAGCTTTCCTTGACCTTCTACTCTCTGAGCAGAAAGTGAGCCTCCTACCTCTGAACCGCACTGCAGACCCTGATGATGGCGCAGACCCCAGCACGACAACCAGCAGGTCACACGAGACAGCAAGGGTGGCAGTTAGGAGAGTGGGCTTTACAAGGGTCCATGGACAGGTGAATGGACCAAGTGTGGTAGATGCATACAAGGGAGTATTATGCAGCCCTAAAAAAGAATGAAATTCTGAGCCCTGTTAACAACATGCACGAACCTTGAAGACATGACGTTGAGTGGAATAAGCCAGACACAAAAGGACATATTGTATGATTCGGCTTCAGTGAAACCTAAAATGGCAAGCTCATAGTGACAAGATAGAATGCTTGTTGCCAGGGGCTGCGGAGGCCCCCTGGGGAAGTAGTATTTCATGAGACAGTTTCAGTTTGAGATGGAGGCTGCACCGGGGAAGGAAGATGAACAGTTCTGTGGATGGTGCTGCCGGCCGTGTGAGTGTACTTCATGCCACTGGACGTACACTTAACCTTGGCCAAAATGGTAACTTTTATGTTATGTGCATTTCACCACGATTCTTTCTAAACTAAAGAGAGAGTGGGTTTGAGAACCCAGGAGTCTGGGTTTGAATCCTGAGTCTGCCACTTATGAGCTGCGTGGCCTTGGAAAATGGATTTAAATCTGTGCCTCCTTCTCCTCCTCTAAAATGCGGGATGAAATGGCATCTGCATCATAGGATTATTATGAGGATTAAATGAATCAATATGGGTAAAACTCTAAGAACGTGCCTGGAAGATAGTAAATGCTCAATAAATGTCAACTATTATTGCTGGTGGGTCTCCTCTTCCAGGTCTGACCCTAACCAACCTCCTGATCCATCTCTCCCAGCACCCCCTAGTACCCTCCACACACTCAACTCAGCTTAGATGTCACTTCCTCTAGGAAGCCCTCCCTGATGCTCCCACCACCACCACCACAAGTCTCCTGTTCTCCCACCGCAGCCTGGACTGCCCCCATCAGAGCACAAGTAACTCCATGGCACCCCATTTCATGATTGGGACATCCTCTGGCTTCCCTGTCACACTGAGAATTCCTTGAGGGCTGGGCAGAGTCAATTTCATATTTGTACCTCCAACCTTGTATCTCTAGTCTGGTGCTCAGCACATGGCAGTGCTCAGCAAAGGTTGGGGGTTGCCTGGGCACGGGGGGGGTCTGGAAAGAGTAGAATGGGCCAAAGGGGTGGAGAGAGGAGGAGCAAATGGGAGATCCGAAACTCTCCATTGTTAAGTACTGTTTGCACAGGAGAAATGACCGGTAATGTGAACTGACACGTGTGCTCGGGAAGGCCGGGGAGGAGACTCGCCCAGTGCCTGCTGCCCGCGTGGTACCTCCACGTAGAAGGCAGTGGCAGTGATCTTGTGCTTTTCGTCGCCTCGCTCCAGGAGCGGGATGAGCAGGTAGAGGATGCGGCACAGCTCCTGGCACGAGTAGTGAACCATGGCCCTGGGGGTGAGGAAGGGTGAGCAGCCTCAGGCTCTCCAGCCCCAGGGGATCTGCTGGGGGGTAGGAGGGCCTGGCCTGATACCCTAAACTCTGAGCAAGTCCCAGGGTCGTGGGATCGAGCCCCGCATCGGGCTCCCTGCTCCGCGGGAAGCCTGCTTCTCCCTCTCCCTCTCCCCCTGCTTCTGTTCCCTCTCTCGCTGTGTCTCTCTCTGTCAAATAAATAAATAAAATCTTGAAAAATAAATAAATAAATAAACTCTGAGCAAGTCAGAGGCACCTGGGTTCCTGGGTTCCCAGGATTTCCCACTTGGATAGGACCTCAGAGGCCATCTAGTTTAACTGCTTTGTTTTACAGATGGGGAACCTGAGGCTCAGAGTGGAAAAGCTTGCCCAAGAGCTCAGAGCATACAGCTCTTTGCACAATGCCTAGAGCATAGTAGGTGCTCAATAAATGCAATTGTATCCTGAGACCCCTGGGGACAGCACCATCCTGGGCACTCAGGGTGCAAGGTTAAGGAACAGACTGTTCCTGCGGGAGCCACATCATTGGAATCAAGGTGCCGCTTCCCAACCCCATGGGAGGCTGTGTATGGGGGCAATGGAAGACCCCAGTCTGGGTCAGCAGGTCATCTCCCAGCATTGCCACTTCCTGGCTGTGTGACCTTTGATACACAGCTGTCCCTCTCTGGACCTTGGCATCCTGCTGTGCAAAATGTGGTCTGATAATCCCTGCCCCACTAGTCAGCATAACCTGTGAAAGCTAACCTGTGCTGAGCCCTTCCCATATACCAGGGGCTGTTTAAAGTACCTTAACCCTCATCCTAAACCCTGGAGATGGGTCCTATTATTATTTCCACACGACTGAAGGGAAAACTGAGACACAGAGAGGGGCAGGAACTTGCCCTGGGTCACACAGCTGAGAGGTGGTGGGCCGGGACTCGGACACAGGCAGACCAGCCCCAAGGCCACACTCTGAACTACTCAGCTATGCCACCATGTCTGTATGAGTGTAGGAACTAAGGTCCCCATACAGTAAGAAAAGGTGCTTCGTAGGGAAGCTAAGTGCCCTGCGGTTGCCAGGCACTGTCCCGGCCACAGTTAGTGCCCACGGAGGGTGCGGCCACCCACCGAGGCAGACCATACCCTGCCGCTTAGAGGAGGTGATGGACTGAGGGAAGGGTCTTGCCCAGAGAGAGATGCAAACCCAAGTCTCTCCCTCCGCCCACCCCCTGCGCCAGGCTGTCCCAGCCTCACCTGGCCAGCAGGGACACTCCCCGGTGGTGGTTCTCCGCCTGCTCCAGGAGTTCCCAGCCGCCCTGGTCCTCCAGAAAGGTGGCCTCATACGAGCAGCCCATCCTCAGCAGCAGGGTTTTCACCACTTTGACCACCCAGCTGCCGAGACGAGGGGGCTGAGACCTCATGCCCCCCACCCCCACCCCCCCGCGGGCCAGGCCTCCCTCCAGCCAGCCTCCCATCTGGCCAGACAAGCTTCTCTGGGCTGGGCTGATCGTGAGGTAGCAGTCATTGGTGATCCACCAAAAGCGGCTTTTAAAAAATTATTATTAGCTTTGAGAAAGAGAGTCAACAGAAGCAAAATTCCGCCAAATGGTGCTTCATCCTCCCTTTTCTCCTGGGTCCGTTTCCCTGGAGGGAGAGGTTGGAGCCAGGCCTCCCCAGCACCCCGGGGCCTACCTCCCTCTCTCCCTCCCTGGGTGTGTTTGTGGGGGGGGGGTGTGACTTTGCTGGTCCAGGACTGTAACTGACAGCATATGTCTCAAAGACCGAGGGAAGGAGAGAAGGAGGCAGGCTCCAGGTGTTGCCCACCCTAAGAGTCTGGAGTTTGCCCTCCCCAACTCTCCCTTCCCTCACCTATTCCCTCCCCCACAAAAACTGGCTGAATAGCTAAGCTAAGATTTATATGTTTTCATTAGGAGAAGGAAGGTTCTACCTTCCATGTCAAGCATCAGCACCTTTAACTAAGACCAAATGAGCCACCTGTGTAATGTTCTCCTCCGTGACTTGACCACCCTCCTCTCCCAGTGCATCCCCATCTCCAGGGGCAGCCAGTCACCTTCTCACCACCTGGCTTGGGGACAGCTCTGGGCTCAGGAACTCTGTGAGTTCCTGTGACTTAGAGTGACGTGACTTAGAGGTTTCAGCTTTTACCCAGACCTCACCTACCTGCTCCCGGTGTGAGCAGCTGAGGAACTCGGAATCAGGCTAAAGCTTTTGGACACAGTGCCGCATCATTCCTAGTTAGGTCACTCCACTCTTCCACCATTTCCTTGATCAGGCTCCAAATTTTAACAAAAATGACACTACCCATCTTCCTTCCTCCCCACCCGACTCCCAAAGATACACCTCCAGGAGCCCCAGACAAGGTCTTCGCTGCTTTGTAAAAAGGCAGAGGTGACAGTGCGGGGAGGAAGGCTGTGGGTGGTGGTGCAGTCCCTTCGGCTCCCCCAAATGCCCACTCTGCAAGCTTCTCCACCCTCACGAGCACCAGGGGAGTCAGAGGTGGTGCCATGGCCTCGGCACGGGGTGTCCCGCTGGGAGGCGGGGTCCTATTTGGTCCTTCCAACACACCTGTGGGGCAGGAATCGCTTACCCCATTTCATGGGCAAGCACACCAGGCTGCCAAGAGGTTAAAGTGGTTTACCCAAAGGACAAAGCCCAAATGATGGAACCAGCACCCAAATCCGAGACATTGACTTCAAGCCCAGCCTTGCAACTGCTTGCCCTCGGCCCCTCAAAGGGTGCCCCTCTGAGCATCCCACACAATAGAAGCCAAAGAAGAAAAGACTGAGAAACTTGACCGCATACAAACTTAAACCTTCCGAATGGCAAAGACCATAAAATAGTTACTGGTTAAGTGGAATACACGTGACAAAGAGTTAACATATATACATGTTAATATATATGTTATATATATTTATATTAATATATAAAAAGCTCTTACAAATTAACACACACAAAAAAATCTCAACAGTCCTATATAAAATTGGGCAAACGTTGCTCACAGAAAAGGAAACACAGGGGCACTGGGTGGCTCAGATGGTTGAGCATCCCATTCTTGGTTTTGGCTCAGGTCATGATCTCAGGGTGGTAAGACGGAGCCCCGTGTGGGGCTCCCTGCTCAGCACAAAGTCTGCTTGAGATTCTCTCCCTCTCCACCCCCCCCCGCTAACACGTGCACTTGCTCTCTCCCTCTCAAATAAATAAAATCTTTAAAAAAAGAAAACACGAAGGGCATTTCAACCTCAACCTCAACCATAATAAGAGAAATGCAAACCAAAATGACAGCCTTTTTTTTCAACTTTCAGATCAGTGAAGATATAAATATCTTCTGTTCCACTGTGCTGGCCAAGGTGTGGGAGGCGGCCATTCTCACACCCTCCTGGATGCGGTGGCCTCTGGGGGAGGCTGTGTGGCAAACTGGGTGCTTGAGGGGGTACTCAATTTTCCCCTTCATCATTCACTGGTCAAGAACATTTTCCACCACATATCCCTGTCCCAGCTCACGATTAAAATGCAGAAACCCTTTGAGGTGCCCAGTCTCCTTTCAGGAATTTGTCTTACATTGTACAATCACATGTGTGCATAAAGACATATAAACGAACTCACTGAAGCTTTGTCTGTAAGTGCAAAGTACCTAAACCAAGAGGATCCTGGTTAAATAAGTTATGGTACATTGGAATTCCACTCAGAGGGATAGTATGTGGCTGTTAAAAATAATGAGGTGGCTCTATATGTATGTTCTCCTAAGATATAGTATATTAAAAGCAAAAGTGTATAACTGTAAAGTACGCTACTACTGGTGTAAAAATAGAAACAGAACCGTGTGCTTATGTCTACATCAACCACCTGTGGAAGGGTATGAAAGAACCTGGTTGTTCTGGGGAGGCTCACTGGGTAAGGAGAGGAAAGGAGACTCACTTTTAATGCCTTTTGAGATTTTTACCCATGTGCATACATTACCTACCCGGGTTAATAATTAAAAATAAAATGGTGAGGGGCACCTGGGTGGCTCAGTCGGTTAAGCATCCGACTCTTGATCTCAGCTCAGGTCATGATCTCAGGGTCACGAGTTCAAGCCCAGCATGAAGTCCACTTAAAAAATAAAATAATAAAATAAAATAAAAGACCTCAATGTGAGACAGGAATCCATCAAAATTCTAGAGGAGAACATAGGCAGTAACCTCTTCGACATCGGCCACAGTAACTTCTTTCAAGACACGTCTCCAAAGGCAAGTGAAACAAAAGCAAAAGTGAACTTTTGGGACTTCATGAAGATAAAAAGCTTCTGCACAACAAAGGAAACAGTTAACAAAACTAAGAGGCAGCCCACGGAATGGGAGAAGATATTTGCAAATGACATTATAGATAAAGGGCTGATATCCATGATCTATAAAGAACTTCTCAAATTCAACACTCAAAAACTAATAACCCAGTCAAAAAGTGGGCAGAAGACATGAACAGACACTTCTTCAAAGAAGACATACAAATGGCTAACAGACACATGAAAAAATCCTCAACATCACTAGCCACCAGGAAAATACAAATCAAAACCACAATGAGATACCACCTTACACCAGTTAGAATGGCAAAAATTAACAGAATGAAACAACAAATGTTGGCGAGGATGTGGAGCAAGGGGAACCCTCTTACACTGTTGGTGGGAATGCAAGCTGGTGCAGCCACTCTGGAAAACAGTATGGAGGTTCCTCAAGATGTAAAGAATAGAGCTACCCTATGACCCAGCAATTACACTACTAGGTATTTACCCCATAGACACAGATGTAGTGAAAATAAGGGGCACACACACCCCACTGTTCATAGCAGCAATGTCCACAATAGCCAAAACGTGGAAGGAGCCAAGACGCCCTTCAACAGAGGAATGGATAAAGAAGATGTGGTCCACACATACAATGGAATATTACTCAGCCATCAGAAACGATGCATACCCACCATTTGCACTGACATGGTGGAACTGGAGGGGATTATGCTAAGTGAAATAAGTCAAGCAGAGAAAGTCAATTATCATATGGTTTCACTCACATGTGAAACATAAACAATAGCACAGAGGACCATAGGGGAAGGGAGGGAAATCCAAAGGGGGAAAAATCAGAGAGGCAGATGAACCATGAGAGACTATGGACCCCGGGAAACAATCTGAGGGTCTCAGAGAGTAGGAGGGGGGAGGGGGTAACAGAGTGAGGGGTATTGAGGAGGGCACGTGTTGTGATGAGCACTGGGTGTTATACTTAATAAATCACTAAACACTACATCAAAAACTAATTATGTACTATACAGTGGCTACCTGAACATAATAAAAAAATAAATAATAAAAGGTGGACCTTGGATACAAATCTAATACAAATAATTTGTCTAGGGAGGGAGGAGGAAACATGAAATTGTGAGCTCCTTGGGGGAAGGCTAATTCATTGCTGTTGTCCAGCACCAGGCAGGCCTGACACACACACCACAGCAGGTGCTCCCAAATAGCTATTGTGCAGATTATTGGCTCTCCTAAAAATACGTTACTGTTTTCTCTTTTAGTCCCAAAGCTAATCTCTAGCGGTTGACTGCCCTCAAGATTTTAGGAAGGGCCCTTGCTAGGTGGCCCTCCCCCAGCCAGGGACAGCAGGACATACCGCACGGGTACGAAGAGAGAAGGCTGAGTGTCCTTCTCGGCGTCCTTGCGGAAAGCCATGCGGCTGGGCAGGTGGAGACCGATGTGGTAATGGACCTGAATGAGCAGGGCCAGGAGCAGCTGGGGGTAGATGCGCCTCACGCGGCCCACGCAGCTGTTGACCGACAGGAGCTCACACAGGCCGCTGGCTGCCTGGGGACAGAGTGGAGGGCTGGCTGGAGGCTCCTGGCAGGGGCCTAGGCTGCTTCTCTAGCAGGTTGGACCTGGATCTTTGCTCTTCTCTGGCTCAAACTGGTAGAGCCCAGATCTCTCCACAGCCCCCCCCCACTGCCACTGCACCCCAACTCCTGGCTCTGTGGATGAGCCCTACACCAGAACAGTGGCCTGCCTCTCTGGTGTTGACACAACCCTGGAAGAATTGGGTGGAGGGCTCCTCTCCCACCTTTTGTGAGGTGGAGTCTTGATCCCATTGCGAAGGTGAGGAGACGTGCACGGAGGGGTGGAAGCACAGCCCTGGTCACCTGGCCCTTGGGAGCAGAGCTGGGACTGGAACCCTGGCTTTCAGACACCAACTTCCGCATGCCCTGCCTCTTCCTCATTCTTAACACAGGCACGGAGACCATGGTGGGGCACCAGTTGTCCCCTCGCTTTGGGCCATTAAACCAGGCCACCCTCACTGCCTCCCCTGGTGCCCAGCAACCAAGAGAAACAAATCCCAGCCTTGAGTGGGAGCCAGGGAGGCCCAGTCCTGGACACTGGCACTCCACGCCTACTGATCACACCCTGCCTTTTCTCTCCACGACTCCCCACACCGGGCGTCTGAAGTCCCGGGAACTTGGCTTTATTGGCATTTGGCCCACCATGCTCCCTGGGACCCGACGGGTGCCCACCGTCCAACCTCTCCACCTGCCATTCATCTCTGGTCCTGGCCTGGGCCCGCCTCCCGCCCCGCCCACTAAGGCCTCTCTAACTGACAGGAGGACAATGCAGGGGCGGGGTCACGAGATTGGATAGCTCATTCTGGCCCCACCACTCCCTGGCCGTCTTCGGGCTTCGGATTCATTCATCCTCTGTCAAGGGGGGCGGTCAACGGTCCTCTTCCCGCCAGCCCCACAGTGTGGTGGAGAGTGAATGAGGGGAGAGGTGAGAATGCTTTACAAAGAAGTGACCAGGATCTGTGCTCCCCTGCTGCGGGCCCAAGGGAAGAGCATTTGACTGCGAAGTGACAGAGCCCACGGCATGTTCCCAGGGAAATAAGTGACACAATGAGGGCTGGATGAGAATGATGACTGGCAGTTATTTACACTTTACAGCCTAGGAAGCCCTTTCACAAACACTATTTCAAACTCTTCTTCTGAAAAGGGAAGATAGACAAGGCAGGACTCATTACCGCCCATTTTACAGATCAAAATACCAAGGCTAGAGGGGAGGAAGTGATTGAGATTATATAGTGAGACAGTGGCAGAGCTAAGATAAGCCTCGTGGACTCAAAGCCTTCATGTTTTTCAGTAAACCCAAGACAATGATTGTATCCGAAGAACACGATCTGTGCTGTAGAGGAAAGTCTCCAGTGAGGTGCCATAGGGCTCTGCTCTCGGCTCAATCTTGCTCACGTTGTTTATCAACAGCATGAGATAAAAATTAGTCCGGGCGGTGTGTATGCTCAAACTGTACTTGAACAAAAGCACAAATGAGTGACTCAAGAGCACACGAACACACGCTGATTGAGAGAGGAGAGGATGAATGACCGAATCAGGGAAAGAATGGAAGTTCATGCCTTATTTGTAGACCCCAGTGCTGGGGGAGAGAGGCGGAGAGACCCAGTGGTGAAGCACAGGACTCAGAGGAAGGAGATCTGGGCTCGAGCCCTGGCCCCACCACTCACCACCTCTGTGACCTTAGCTAAGGCCTGGGATGTAACGGAGCAACAGTGTCCACCTCTGTAAAGGGGTTACCACCCGTGCCTCCACCCACCTTTATTCGCTTCCCTCCACCAGAATATCTTGCTCTCTGCTGAATCCCCAGAATTCATGAGCTTGCCTGGCACATAGGAGGTGCTCAATTAATGCTGTTGAATAAATAGTCCAGCAACTTTTTTTGAGTATCTACTACGTGCCCGGTATTTGTCAGACATTGAGGATGTCACGGTGAGCAAAAGAGGCTCAGGCACTGAATCCGTGCATCTCACAGATTACTCAAATGACCCCACGAATTGGTGTCAAATCAAATCACAACTGGGGTAAACTCCTCCAAGGTAAAGTATGTGGAGCAGAGTGTAATATGCACAGATTTGATCATGTCAGGGAGATAAGAGAGGGCTTCCCTGAGGAGGTGATGCTTGAGTTGAGAGCTGAGGGATGAGTAGAAGTTAGGTTAGCGGAGAGCAGTCAGGAGAGGGAACCACACGTGCAAAGGCCCTGTGACAGAGAAAGCATGGTGTGTATGAATTTCTGACAAAGAACAAGGCTGGAGCCATGCAAGTAAGAGGGACCCTGGAGTGTGGTAAGGCCCGAGAGGGGCGCAGGGCCTTGCAACACAGGCAGGAACACTGTGTTATTCTCAAGGGTAATGGGAAGCCATTGAGGGGATTGAGAAGAGCAGATGTGCATTTTCAAAGATTTTTTGGCTGCAGTACAGATTGGAGGGGCTGGAGTGGAAGCAGGGAGATGAGCAGGGGTATCATCCACCTGGCTAGGGCCAGGGTGACAACGACAAGAGGCAGAGAGAAATCTGTCCCTCTACCCAGTCACCTTCCTGCAGTCAAAACCTCCTTTCCCTCTGTGTTCCCAGGGCTGACCTCGGAGCCTGGCAGCGAGCATGTAAACATGTTACCTCACTAAATGAATCAATGAGGCACCTCATTTTATCCTCACAACCACCACATAAGCCAAATCTCCTCATTATCATTCCATTTACAGACGCAGGGGCTGAGCCTCAGGAGAAGTGACTTGCTTGGGTCACAAACTGGTACCCGTAGCCAAGCCTGTTCTCAGACCCAGGTCTGCGAGTCCCTTTCCCGGGCTGCCGCCCTCCCTGTAATAAGCAGCAGCACCGTGGCATCCAGTGGGTCACAAACAAGAGCCCGGAGACAAGAGCCCAAGCCACATGACTAGTCCCTGGCAGAGCAGGGCACTAGGAGCTGGGCGTGCGGAGCTCCGCAGGAGGGGAGGACAGGGCGGCCAGGGGGTGGGCAAGGCGGATGCTCACCGCGAGGGGCACAATGGAGGCCCGGCCCTTCTTGGTGAAGGGCTTCTCCTTCAGGCTGCTCAGGAGCAGGTCCAGGAGGTCTCGGACATCACAGCTGGGCTTGCGCAGGGTCAGCTGCCTCCACATCTCTGCGCCATTGCTGGGGGGTCGGGGGGTGGAGATGGTTAGTGGGGACCAGGGCGCCTCCCAGGGGGTTGGAGAAGGAGAAGGGAAGATGCCATCAGAGTTCCATGTGTGCCAGCGAGGAATGGTCCGGAAAACACTCTCTAAGAGGCAGGGGGCTAACAATTATTGAAAACCCCATTTCCCAGGTATCATGCCACGTGCTTTATACACAATTTATTCAGCAAAATATGGAGCATCTGCCGAACCCCAGGCACTAGGCAAATATCGGGGCATATAGATGTGAACAAGATACTCAAGACATTCAAGTTCACTGAACTCTCAAATGACCCTCAAGGTGGGTTATTATTCCCATTTTACAGATGCGGAGTTGAGGCTCAGAGAGGGGAAATCATTAGTCCAAGACATCACAGCTAATGAGCTGCAGAGTCAGAAAGTGACCAGGTCTGGTGCCTTCAAAGCCGGCGGTCATTCCTCTATGCCAGGGGACCCCTTGGGGCCTGGACCTTACATTTGTCACATAATATCAAGGAGCGCCTGCACCTGTCCCCATACGAGGAAGTACTCCAGGCAGGGCAAAGCCTCTGGGCCAGCCGGCACCAGCCGGTGGGCATTCCTATCGACTGTGCGGAACTGAGAGCGCTGAGAGGCCGGTGGTGCGCGAAAGGGCTACCGGAACCCCTTGCCCCTCTGCGTGAGCACTTGAGCCTTCCATTAACTTGCTAGCTCTGTTCCCCTGGAAACCTGATAAAGATAGTATGTCAACTAGGTTGCTAGGCAACATTGCTTATGGTAAAAATGGCCCAATTGGTAAATTGCATCTGGGCTGGCAGGAACTATAAATTAACTATAAGAACCGAAGAGGACGCTGTAGTTTTGAGCTTCCCACGGAGCTGTGACTCTTGGGACTGGGCTTGTCCCCGTGGGGACCCCAGAAGCAAAGTCTGCAGATCTTTTGTAAGAGAGAGCAGTTCTTAGGAGCCATTTCAGCTAGGGCAGCCCCTACCCCTTTCACCGGGGAGGACTTAAGAGTCCAGCTCTTAAGCCCAGAGGGAAGACTAGGGCATCCCGGGCACAAGATGAAAGGAGGCCATCTCTCTCCGGCTCACGCAAGTGCCGGCGTGGCACCTGAGAGCCGGGCCTCCTTCCATCTTGTCCCGGCTCCGTCTGGCCTGCTGCACGGGCTGCCGCAAGGACTCCTGGGAGGAGGAGCCCCTGCCCCTGCTCTGTCCTACGGCCTGAGCGACTCTGATGTCAGGTGTGGTCCTGCCAGTCTTGTGAGTCTGAAGGTTTGGTGATTCCAAGAAGAAACCCCCGGGGGGGGGGGGGCTGGTAGTGTGGCCAGAAAGGGTGAAATTCTTCCAGGTGGGAGCACGGGGACGTGTCCCCCGCCCTCACCTTCCCAGCCAGTCTTCCTGGCCTCTATGAGTGATGCCAACTGTCCCCTACTAGAAGCACAGCTCATCACCCAGCTCAGCACAATTCTGCGTGCACTCTTGTACAACTATCTTAAGGCGTGGGCCATAGACTTGCTGCCTTGTTGTGTTCATTCAAAGGTGTGAGAGTGTTTCCTGGACTGGGAGGCTGCAGCAGTCGGTCTGGTCTCTCTGGCCACAGTGCCCTCTGCCCGTCAGACCACGAGCTCCCCGAAGGCTGAGAGCAGGGGGCATCCTCCCGCACCGTCTAGCCCTGGGCAGGCACTCAGCTTAGCTGGCTACATTGCTTGTCACAACCAGCCATCTGGAGTGGGAAGCATGCAGGGAGTGTTTCCCCTTTTTGCCTATGGAGGAAAATGAAGCCCAGAGAGGACAGGTGCACCACCCAAGACCACACAACAGCTAGAGGCAGAGTCAGGACCAACACTCGGGCCTCCTTTCTATGGCCTCCTTAGAGCTCTGAGCTTGGAGTTGGTCAAATCTGAGTTTAGGTCCTCAGCCTGTTGCTTGCTCACTGGGTGCCGAGGACAAGGAACTTCGCCTCAGTTTCCCCATCTGCAGAGTGGGGTTGTTGTACTAAGGAGGGAAGGGATTAATGCTCTGCACAGACACCCAGCGGTGCTTTGGAAGTGCTTAATGGTTGTCATAAGCACCACAGACCATACGGGAAAGGGGCCAGCTGGGAGGGCCAGGGCCTGCTCTGGGTGGGAGACAGGTTCCCAGCCCAGGATGGGGGCTGCTCCAACCCTCTGAGGTATGGTGGCGGGAGCCCCTCCGTTGGTACCTGTCCAGCGGGAGGGGGCACTTGAGCAGGGCCACAACCACCTCGGTCATGAAGGAGCTGGCCAGGAGGGAGACGGGCAGCAGGGCCACCTCGCGGGCCCGCGGCTCCTGGATGTGGTTCAGCTGCGCGTAGATGCCCTGCATGATCTCTGGGATCTGGGGCACAGCCAGAGCGGCCGTGAGCAGCCAGGTGGCCAGTTGGAGAAGCCAAGGCAGGCGTGGGGAGAGCAGGGAGAGGGGAGGAGGGAGGAGGTGGGGGTGACAGGATAGAGGGGCAGGGGAGAGAGAGAGGCGGCAACAAGAGACAGATGAGGGGGCGGGCCGCAGCGCACCTGCTCCTTCCCTGGGAAGCAGCCAGTGGTCCTCACTGCCTTCCCCACCCCCACCCCCACCCCCACCCAGATCAGTGAGTTCTTTCTCACCCGCAAGTAGGAGGCACCTAGAACTCAGCCACCACCACCCCTGCCCTGCCCCAGTGCTTAGGGGCTCCCTCACCCCCCCACCCTGCCACTGCCAGACGGCTGGTCTCATCCCTTGGGGGTCTCCCGGCTCAGCCCCTGCCCCCAGGGAGCCTTACCACCTCCAGCACCCTGTGGCGGTACCATTCCAGCACCGAGCTGAGCGTGACCTCTGAGGCCAGCTGCATCATCTCCCCGGAGTCCTTCCCCCGGGCCTCTGAGCTGCCTTTCAAGCCTTCCAGGGCTGCTAGCAACAGGTCCTTTACCTGCTGGGGTCCCAGGAAGTCTCCAAACTCCTGAAACAAAGGCACAGAGATACAGACACCCATGGATGGACCCCAAGCGAGCCATACACGGACGCACAGCCACCACCAGGGCAGGCCGTGCAGACTCTGTGCAGGTCCAACCCTTTGGGGAGGAGCTACAGAAGAAGGGGAGACATGGCCCCTGCCCCCAGAATGGGATAACAGGCTTCTGGGCAGGGACCAGAGGAGGAGGGGGTACTCAGGGTGGGCCTGTGTGGTTGGGGAAAGCTTCCTTAAAGGGGACTTGAGCCTGGAAAGATGGAAGCAGGGGAGAAGACATTAGGGTGGGCTGTCACTGCCCCTCTCCCCCGTTCCCTGGAAGGCCCAGAGCTGGTGGGCAGCGGGCGGTCACCGCGATCACGCGCAGAATATTCTGGCATGGGCTGACAGGATTGTAGGGCCCCAGGAATCGCTTGTTGCTCTCATATAGCTCCTCCTTATTGGTCTCTTCCTTATCTCTGGATCCTGCAAGAAGAAAGCCTCAGTGAGGCCTGGCCACCCTATTTTTTTTTTTTTAACTCTTTGTTAAACATAGATGAAGTACACAAATCACAGATAACCAGCTTGGTACGTTTCTACGGAATGAACACATCCAGGTAACCAGCACCCAGGTCAAGAAACAGAACATGATCAGCATCCCAGAGGCCCCCCTTTGCTCTCCCTTCCAGTCCCCTGCCCCCTCCCCCACCCAGGTAACCACTATTCTGACTCCTAAACCCACAGGTTAGATTTCTTGCTATTGGACTTTACGTGGCATGTTCCCCTGTGTGCCTGGGTTTCCCTCAACGTTATGTGGGGGAGATTCATCCACGCTGTTGCAAGGAGCATTGGCTCATTGGTTTGTGGTGCGGCATCATTTCCCATGGTGTGAATACACTACAATTTATTTCTCTCCTACTTCTGATGGACATTTGGGTCATGTCCAGCTCTTGGTGCTGCTATGAACATTCTGGTATGCCTAGTCCGTGCCTTTTGGTGAATGTATGTATACATTTGTTGGGTATGCAGCCAGGAGTGTACTCACCGGGTCCTAGGCTAGGCATCGGTTCAGCCTCAGGGGATGCTGCCAAATGGTTTTCCGTCGGGCCCGACTATGTGCCCACCGGCAGCGCACGAGAGTTCTAGTGGGTCCGCATCCCATCAGTGAGCTATTGGTTTGATTTCTGCTGTTCTGGTGGGTGTGTGGTGATACCTCTTTAAATTGCAACCCCCCTACCTGGCCTTCCCAAACCCCCTTTTCTGATTTGTTTTCTTAAGTGCTCATTATCTGACTTCACTATACGTATCACTTGTTTATTTTGTTCATTGTCTCCTGACAAAGAGAAGGGCAGCTCAACAGGGAGGATTATTTAACTTCATCACTGTTTTCAGTGCCTGGAATGGACCTGGCACAAGGTGGCTTCATATTTTCTGTTGAAGGAAATACCTTTCAGGCTCATTTCCTAAGGCCTGACTGCGGCCTGGCCTGGATCTCCTGGGGTATGCAAGACATAAACACAAGAAAGGGCCATGGAGACAGAGGGGCCCTATGGACCAAGTGTGTGGGTTATTTGTAAAGAAAAGAAAGAAGCTTGAGACCTGGAATCAGAGAGACCCAAGATCAAAGCCTAGCTTTGCTGCTCCCTCCACTCAGGGGGTCTGGACAAACCACTTCACCCTTGAGAGTCTTAACAGTGTGGATCTGGGGTCACCAGATAAAACACAAGATAGCCAGTTAACTGCGATTTCAGATTGCCACGTCACTCGGCCTCCGGAGCCAGGGAAGTTTAAACAACATGCCAAAGGCCTGGGCAGGGTTGGGACCGCGGAGAAAGGAAGGCGCAGGTAGCTGCCGAGATGGCACAGTACCAGCCCGATGCCGGTGAGCCCATTGCCCGTCCCCAGCTCCCTAATGCTGGGTCTACAGGTTGTAGCCCCTCCAGATTCCAACGTGGGACCTGTTCTTTGTTCATTCACTCAGTAAACATTCACTGAGCACCCACCTGTGCCCAGGCCCAGGGCTAGACCGTGGGAATGCAGTGGTGACAAAGACACAGCCTTCCCTGCTCTCGCCACATTAGGGCTATCACGCCTGCGCGTGCGTGGTGCCATCACAGGAATGTGACGGTGAGAGTCACAGATTACACTTGGAAGGATGAGGAGGGGCTCCAGTGGAAGGACTGCTTAAATCAAAATAGGTTTGCTTGTCGCCTCTGTCCTCTGGGTCTGTGGGGACTGAGGCTTCACACTGGCTTCTGCAGACCCCAACGGACCCTTTGCTGGGCTCCTCCACCTTCTCCCCGTGCCTTGCTGCCAAGGCTCTAGTCCATTCCCAGGCTGAGCACCTGCTCAGAAGGCTTGCCTCGGAGGCACTCCAAAGAGCTTACGTTTCTGGAGCTCCAGGATGGTGTAGAGGATGGTGATGCCGTCCAGAGCCTCCCGGCCAATCTCCTCATCAGGATCCCCGATGCGAAGGATGAGCCTCCCCAGCAGAAGCCCCAGCGCCGGGAACCCCGAGGTCATCTGTTTGTGTCATAACTTCAGGGACTGAGTCTTATAGGTTCAATACTATTATACAGTAATTAGTGAACAGAGCTGGATGGTCTGGCCCCAATAGGAGAGCCCTCTGAAGATGACGAGGGCCACCGGGAACTTCGGGACAGAAACACCGGCTCCCTTAGAGCCAAGAAGATTCTCCCTAAGTGTGTCCTCCCCTCCCAGGGGCCACTCACAAAGAAAGGCAGGGTCAGAAGAGTGTGGTTCAACACAGAGACATTGCTCTTCACAGCCCGTGCTCGCTCATGGGCCTTCCCGGAGTTCATCCAGGGCCCCAGGGGCTGTGAGGACAAGGGCGAGACTCAGAGCCACAGGCAGGAGGCCAGCCTTCTGCTGCCTGGGTGGGCAGGTCAGCCTTCACCAGTCAGCAGGAAGCTTCCAGGAGGGCATAAAAGCAACAGTCCACAGCCCCCCTCCTCCCCCTTCTCCAGGAGCATAGGGAGACGTGGGGTCCAGAAGCTGAGGCTAGGACTGGAAGACCAGAGGGAGGAGGAAGGTCAGAGAGGAGAGAGATGATAGGTGGAGAGTCATGAGAATAGATGAGAGAGAGAGAGAGAGAGAGGGATGAGAACGGAGAAGGCAAAGCTATGGGGGCTGCTAGAGCAGGAGCGTGGGGAAGAGGGAGAGAGCGAAGGGGCAGGAGTTTGGAACAGGGCCTGTAAGAGGGACCCGGGGGTGGAACACTGGCACAAGGTGACATCTGGAAGTCAAACCACTCCTTCTGGGCACAGCCTCCCCACCGCTCCGGAGCCTGTTCTCCTTTCCCCTCTGCCCTGGTGCTCCTCCCTGCCCCCACACCTCCAAGATGCTCTTCAGCCCGGCAGGAGTGGGGTCCTCCACAAAGAGGGCGTTGAGCAGAGTCTGCAGGGCTTCCAGGGTGTGACGGTAAAGTGTCTGTGGACAGGAGGAGAACCAAGCCACTAGGAGGCTTCTGGAGCAGACCCGGCCTGCACCCCCTACTATGGGTCAGAGGAGGAGCATTCCGACCCATGAGAGCTGCTTTCTGGCCCCCGCTCAGAGACTAACTTAAGGCGTGATGTTAGACAAATTACTCCGCCCCCCCATGGGTTACAGTTTCCTTATCAACAAATCGGTGGGGTGCCTGGGTGGCGGAGTCGGTTAAGTGTCAGACTCTTGGTTTTGGCTCAGGGTCCTGGGATTGAGCCCTGCGTCGGGCTCTGTGCTCAGCGCAGAGTCTGCTTGGGATTCTCTCCCTCCCTCTGCCCCTCCTGCGCTTGCTCTCTCTCTCTCAAATAAATAAATCTTAAAAAAAAAAAATTGGTGATTATTATCCCTGCACTCCTACCTTAAAGGAGGAGGAAGAGGAACCCCAACATTGACTGAGACTCTACCATGGGCCAGGTCAGTGCCTGGTGATTCGCACAACCATATCACTTTGTCCTCAAAGTGTTTTTCTCATTTTGCAAATGAGGACGCATTTGCCCCAGCTGCCACGACAAGGAGGCTTCGCGTTGTGAGGAACGAACGAGGGGATGGGTGCGGGAATTAAGAGCCAGATAAACGGTGGGGGCCAGCCTTACTTTTATTATCATCTCTGGGAAGTTCTCGGATGCTTTTTTTACTTGCTGCTCCTAGACCCAAATAGATTTTCCAAGTTGCCTCTGCAGGGAGCCATGTCTCGCCTGCCCAGGCTCCCTTTCCCTTAGACACACCACAGTCTGAGAATTGTCTTAGGAAGGTGCAGGCATTACACATACACAAGGTGGAAGAGTGGTTTTGAGCCACTCTGGGAAGACCCTCTGTCCCCTGCCTCCTTTCCTTCTGCCAGCTCGTCACATCTGTCTGTCTCCCAGGTTGTCCCCGTCCAGGCTTCCCCAGTCTGTGCACACCAGGGTTACACCACAACCACCAAGCCGACCCCACTTACCAACTACCTCCTCCTTCCCTCCCATCTGGGGCCCATCGCTGCACAGCACTGACCTCTACCGTCTGGGCCTGGTACTGCAAGAGGGCTGCCGGCTCTCTTCCCAGGCTGCAGGGATCCCCCCACCTTTCCTTTGGGTCCTGTCTCAGTGCACCATCTCCCGGGACCCAGAATGCGCCAGTGTGGTCTGGCCCCCACTGCTCTCCAGTCTCGCTTCCCAGCACTCTTGCCTCGACCTCTGTGCTCCAGTCACATTGTCCCCTTGTCATCCTTGCAGTCACCATGTTCTCACTGGCCTCAGGCCGCTGTACAGGCTGTTCCCTCTGCCTGGCATGCCCTTCCTTCTGCCAACCCCCCTTCCCCCACCAGCTAACTAGCTCTTCTTTAACCTCTCTGCTGCAGCACCATGACCCCTGACCCCCACCTAGGCCAGGACACCCATTCTAGGCTTGCTTGCAACATTTACCCCCGCTGCAAATGTGCATTTATTCGTATGATTCTTTGACATTGTCCATCTCCCCCCTGCCCTCCCTCTACTGTACCCCCCCAGCCCCTGGTAGTTTTGGAGTGGGCACTGTTTATAGTTGCTGAATGAAAGGATGAATGAATGTGCCTCCCTCCTGGCTGAAACTCCTCTCCCTAAACCTCCCCCACTGAACCTACATCCTACCCTAAGGGTCACCTCTACCCACTTCTCCTGGGACCACCCTGCCGAGGTTGGAAGACACTCACAGGAGCCCCTTGAGGTTCTACACTCACCCCAGCTAGGCCTCACCCCAGCTCACCCAGTCCTCAGCCCCCCTCCCGCTCCTGGCCACCTCCACTGGCCGTGCCAACACGTGCTCACGTCCCTGTCTTAGGGCAAGACCCACAAGTGGACAGAGCACCCTAAATGAGCAATCCCTTAGTCTGAAGATTCACTCATTCACCCAATATTTATCAAGAGCCTGCTCAGGCCAGGAGAGGTGAGTTCATCCAGCTTGGAGTAGGAGTGTGAAGATTCACATCTACCTTCTGGGACGCTCTTTCTCTCCCCACTGGGGGATCAGAAACGCACCTTACTCTAAGGACACCGACGGCCCTGAGGACTCACCTGTAAGGCCTCAGCCTTGGCCTCGTCCTTCTCCTGCATGGCCTGCACAGAGGGGAGGGAGAACACACTCCTCACACACGTGTTCACCAGCTCTGATCTTTCTTGCCTACCCAGCGCGGGCTGGATGTGACTGGCGGAGACAGAAAGCACGGGCATTCAGTGAGGGAGGGGCCCTGGGGCCGGAGGCAGGAAGCTAAGGATGCAGGGCTGGGAGGAGGGCACCTAGCTGGGGGCCTGGGCACGGCCTGAGCAAGATGAGGTGGGAGGAGGGAAGTGAGTGCGGAGGACGGGGAGAGGAAAAGGCACCCGAGCGGGTGGGGCACTGAGGACAGGCCCCAGAGGCTACAGGTGGAGCCCAGGGAAGAGGGGAACGGGCTGCGGGTTGGGGAGGGGGCTGTGGATACCTCAGCTGGGTCAGGGTCTCCATGGCCCGCCAGCGGACGGTGCTTGAGAGGGAATCCAGTGGCTCCTCCTGGATCTGCCTCTGGACAGGGGATCACAGAGGGGCCAATGATGGGGGCAAGGCCACAGCCGACCACCAGGACTGCGGGCATAGGGCACGGGCCGCGGCAGCCCCCCAGCCTGGACAGAACTCCCCACCTCCACACCATGCGGGGCCTCCCGTGGGGAGAGCCAGCTCCCGGCTCAAACCCCGTCCTGAGTTCAGTTCAAGGCCACCAAGCACATCCCACACCTAGCGCCCAGCAAGAACTGCTTCAGCAACCTCGTGGTAAGGAGGTATATTTAAGCCATGGACCGGCCCAAAGCAAAAAACACCATGAATGGCTCTTGAAGGGGGTCCGCTTGAATTCCTTAAAACTGTCCTAGGAGCGCCTGGGTGGCTCAGTCGGTTAAGCGTCTGCCTTCAGCTCAGGTCATGATCTCAGGGTCCCGGGATCGAGCCCCACATCAGGCTCCACACTCAGTGCAGAATCTGCTTGTCTCTCTCCCTCTGCCCCTCCCTCAGCTTGTGCACGCACTCTCTCTCTCTTTCTCAAATAAATAAATAAAATCTTCAAAAATAAAAAATAGGGGTGCCTGGGTGGCTGTTTTTTAAGCCTCTGCCTTCAGCTCGGGCCCTGATCCCGGGGTCCTGGGATCAGGCCCTCGCACTGGGCTCCCTGCTGAGTGGGGAGTCTGCTTCTCCCTCTTCCTCTGCCCCTCCCCCACTCATGCTTGCACGCGGATGCAGGCTCTTTCTCTCAAATAAGTAAATAAAATCTTAAAAATAAATAATAAAATTAAAACATCCTAATTACTTCTCACTTTTCGTCTCCCATCTACACACAATAGGTGCTCAATTAATGTTAGTTAAATGAAGTTATCAAGGGCAAGGACTTGATCTTTAAGGGACCCAAAACTAAATACAATTTTGGGGACTTCGGTGGCCCAAACCATTCCAGTGGATAACTGAGAAGTGAATGTATTTTGCAAAATGATAAGGACACTCTTGGAAGTTTCCCACCAGGAGGCATTTCTGGGAAAAGAATGTATTAAATAGTAATGACTGGCCCCGGGGCTCGGGCTCTCCGGTGATCTGACCACTGGGTTGCATCCTCCCAACAAGCGAGCCCCTGCACAGGCATTACCACGGGCACTGAGGAGACGAGACAAGCCAGGCTCACAGAAGGAGAATGGCTCGCCGAGCTCCCTCGGCGGGTAGAGGGCAGTTAGAGGTGGACTGAGGCTCACATCCCAGCGTCCTGCCTCCTCCTCTGTCCCCCTCCCACCTCAAGCTTTGTCTCATCAGTGGGTCGACTCCCACCTCCTCCCCACCCAATGCCACAGACCCGCACGGGGTTCCCACACCATCATCTTCTGCATCATGGTCTTCTTCTCGCTTTCCCCTTCCTGGCACTTCTGGAGGGCGATGACATTCTCCACCTCGGAGGCAGCAGAGGGCAAAGCCACAGGGTGAGAGCCGCACTGACCCCCGCCCTCAGGGACAGCCCGCACACCCCCGCCAGCCACCGTCAACTCGTCCCCAGCCACCAGCCGCCAGCATCGGCTCCAGAGAAATGAGAAACCAAGGGGGGGCACTTGGGGTGGGGTGCAGATTTGGGAAGACTGTGGTGGCAGCGGGGGAGGGGTTGGGTAATCCCTGAAGGGCAGCGTTTGGGGGAGGGCCAGATTTCAGGGACTGCCAAGCACGCCCCCTCTCCAGTCTCACTCTCTTGAGGGAGAGGAGGCAGGAGCTCATGGGTGCTGACACCTCCCGCCGAAATCCCACGACTAGTAATACCTTTTAAGGGCTTTCTAGTCTCCACTCTTAAGGGCACATCCTAGTCAGGTCAAGGCATCCTGCCACCTGAGAGAGGGAATACCTTTACCGATGTCCAACTAATCTATGAGTTCTCATTATCTTAAGGTAGAAGAAGAAAAATTCATGGAAGAGATAAACTAACTTCATGTAGTGAAGAAAGCAAAGCAAGTGAACCTGACGCGCAGCATGGTGAGTGCGAAAGGCCGCATGTTCTTCGCCACCGCAATCAAGAGGACGGAGAGCCCTTGAATCAGGGCTCATCTTATCGCTTGCTTGGACAAACAGAAGGCCATGAGGCGATGATGTGCCAATTCCTGGCCTAGCCCTCAAGGGAACTGGCAGTCTTTTCCTTCTGGAACCCAGCCGCCATGCTGCAAGGAAGCCCGGCTAGATAGGGAAGGATGACAGCATGTGGAGGATGAGGGTCATCTCGATGTCCCAGCCCCTGCTCCCGAGTGACCTCAGTCTACAGCACAAAGCAGAAGAGCCACCTCGCTGAGCCCAGACCGTTTCAGAATTGTCATACAATCCAGCAAGTCCACTTCTGGGTAGTTGGCTGAAGAGAACAAAAACACTCATTCTAAAAGATGTGGGCACCGCCACGTTGACCGCAGCACTATTTACAACGGCCAAGATACGGAAGCAACCTGAGCGTCCATCAATGCATGAACGGATAAAGAAGGTGGGTGAGATCTATATGTGCACACACACAATGGAATGTTACTCAGCCATAAAAAAGAATGAGACCTTGTCACTTGCAACCACATGGATGGACCTAGAAGATATAGTGCTAAGTGAAATAAGTCAGACAGAGAAAGACAAATACCATATGATTTCACTTATATGTGGAATGTAAAGAACAAAACAAATGAACAAACGAAACAAAACAGAACAGATTCATAGATACAGAAAACATTCTCGTGGTTGCCAGAGGGGGGGTGGGGGGGCCTGAGCAAAATAGGAGAAGAGAATTAAAAGGTACAAACTTCCCATTATAAAGTAATCAAGACACAGGGATGCAATGTACAGCACAGGGAATATAGTTAATAATATTGTAACAACTTTATATGGTGACAGATGGTAGCTAGATTTATCCTGGTGATCACTTGGTCATGTATTTAAATGTTGAATCACTATGTTGTACACCTGAAACTAATAGAATACTGTATTCACTTATAATATTGTATAATATATAATATATATTATATTGTATAATATTCACTTATAATATTGTATACCCTTCAATTAAAAATAAATTAAAATTAAAATTTTTCAAAAATTTCAGAATCATGAGAAATTGGGCCCCTCAGTCCTTATTCCCCCAGTGGAGTGAACTTTTAGACCACTAACTTTTGGGTTGGTTTGCTATGTAACAACTGATAGCTTAAACTGCCAAAGTGATGATAGAGGGATAGCTTATAGACTGAATGGTCATGGAAGACCTCTCAGAAGAGTTGATATTTGGACTGAGTCCTGAATGACAAGAAAGAGGTAACCATTTAAAAAAAAAAAAAAAGATGTAACCACATGAAGAACTAGAGGAAGGTCTGCCTATCTCCCCAAACTAGGCCTCACTTCAACTATTATGCCCATTTTGTAGCTGAGAAGAAACTTCCTGGCAGAAAAGACAAGTGCAAAGGCCCTGGGGCAGGAATGAGTATGGCATAACCGAGAAAGGCCAGCGTGGCAAGAACAAGGTGGACAACCGGAGGAATGCCATGGGATGAGGATGGAAACTCCTAAAATGCCAGACCTCTTATTAGTCCTGGCACCGTCTCCTCATGCCCCACCCTGGGGCACCCCAGGGACTGGAGTTTGCCTCTGAAGCAGCCTGAGGGCAGGGCCTCCCTCTTGCACGGCCTGGCCTGGATGGATCCCACCTCCAGCCTCCATCCACCAGCCAGTCTCCCTGACTGTGCGTGTGTTCACACTCATGTCCAGCAGCCTGTCCAGTCTGCCCCCACTGGCCCTCACCAAATCCTATAGGTGCCGGCTTTCTCTGGCCTCCTTCAGTGCTTAAAAACCTTTATTAAGCACCTATGATGTGCCAGGCACCGTTCTAGACGCTGGGAGTAGAGCTGGGAATAAGACAGACCAAACTCCCTGATTTAGGCGGCGCCTGCGCGGCTCAGCCAGTTAAATGTCTGCCTTGAGCTCAGGTCATGATCTCAGGGTCCTGGGATCGAGCCCCACATCGGGCTCCCTGCTCCGCGGGAAGCCTGCTTCTCCCTCTCCTTCTGCACTCATGTGCACTCTCTCTCTCTCTTTCTCTCTCATAAATAAATAAAATCTTTAAAAAAAAAATCCCTGATTGATAGAGGATATATTCCAGTGTGAGAGGCTAACAAAAACCAAGATGAAGTAGCAAAGCATAGTGTATACCAGATGGTGATGAGTCCCATGGAGAAAAGAAGAGCCGAGCAGAGAAACAGGGACCACTGGGGCTGGAGAGTTGGGGGGGCCACCCTGGGGAAGTCAGCTGGGGGTTGGGCAGGAAGCATACCAGAGCCATCTTGTTGTCATCTTCTCTCTTCCCTGGCACCTTCACCAGGCATGAGGTCACTTCATCAAAGACTCCTGAATGTCACAGTTTCAGTGAGGAGACAAGAGGGAAGGTAAAGATCTGATGTAGATCTGGTGCCATAGTCCTGTCTCCCCTCCCACCACCGGGCCCCTCCAATCCTTGTTCCCCTAGCTGCCTTCCCTGAAAGCCTTCAGCGGCACCCCATTCCACTGAGCATAAAGCCACCATTCTTGTCAGGGCCCTCAAGTCCCTGCGGATCAGTGTCCTCTGCCCCCCTCCCCAGCCTATCTCCTGCAGCTCTCCTCTGGCTGGCCATACTCTGGCCACACTGTCCTCCTTGCCTGAGTGTTGTAGTTTTAGCTTGTATTCTTAGTCTTCAAGTCAATTTTTGTATATAGTGTGAGGTAGGGGCCCAACTTCATTCTTTTGCATGTGGAAATCCAGTTTTCCCAGAACCATTTGTTGAAAAGGCCATCCTTTCCCCACTGAATGGTCTTGGCACCCTTATCAAAAATCAATTGACTACATTTATTTCTGGGCTTTCTATTTTATTCCATGGGTCTATATGTCTGTCCTTCTGCCAAAACCACACTGTTGTGATTACTATAGCTTTACAGTAAGTTTTGAAATCAGGAAGTGTGAGTCCACTAACTTTCTTGTTTTGGGGTTTTTTTTTTTCAAGATTATTTTGGCTGTTTAGGGTCAATCTTTGCTTTTTATTTTTATTTTACATTTTATTTATTGGGTGCCTGGGTGGCTCAGTCGGTTAAGCAACTGCCTCTGGCTCAGGTTATGATCCCGGAGTCCCAGGATCGAGTCCTGCATCAGGCTCCCCGCTCAGCAGGGAGTCGATAAATAAATAAATCTTATTTTTTTAAAAAAAGGAACACTACCCAAGAGAATGAAAAGACAACTCACAGAATGGGAGAGAATATTTACAGAACTTCTAAAACTCAACAACAACAAAAACAAACAACCAAATATGAAAATGGGCAAAGGACTTGAACACACATTTCTCCAAAGAAAGTATACAAACAGCCAATAAAGCACATGAAAAGATGCTCAACATCGGTCATCATTAGGGAAATGCAAATCAAAGCCATGATGAGATACCACTTTACAGCCTTTAGAATGTCTATTATAAAAAATATTTTCAAACAAAGAAAAATAACAAGTGTTGGCAAGGAGAGATTAATAGTGTAGAAATTGGAACCCTTGTACATTGCTGGTGGAAATGCAAAATAGTACAGCTGCTCTGGGAAATAGTTCAGCAGTTCCTCAAAAAGCTAAACATAGAATTACCAGATGATCCAGCAAATCCACTCCTAGGTATATATCTAAAGGAATTGAAAATAAGGATTCAAACAGGAACTTGCACACTGATGTTTATAATAGCAGCATTATTCACAATAGCCAAAAAGTGGAAATAACCCAAGTGCCCATCCATGGGTAAATGGACAAATAAAATGTGGTACACATCTTGGAATTTTGTCCAACCATAAAAAGAAACAAAGTACTGATACATGCTACAGCATAGATGAGCGTTATGGTAAGTGAAATAAACCAGACACAAAAAGTCAAATATTATATGATTCCGCTTTCATGATCTATCTAGAGTAGGCAAATTCACAGAGAAAGATTAGAGTTTAGCAGAGCCTCGAGAGAGAAGGATGGGGGGCTGTGGCTTTATGGTATGAGCTTCTATTTGGAGTGATGAAAAAGTTTGGGAACTAGATAGTGGTAATGGTTGTACAATATTGTGAGTGTGACTAATACACTTAAACATAGAGTCACCATATGACCTAGCAATCCTACCTCTAAGTGTATACCAAAGAGAAATGGAGACATATCCATACGAAAATTTATGCATGAATGTTCATAGTAGTATTATTCAAAATAGCCAGAGGGTAGAAACAACCCAAATATCTATCAACTGATGAATGGATGAACAAAATGTGGAATACAGTGGAACATTATTCAGTCATAAAAAGGAATGAAGCACTGATCCATACTACAACATGAATGAACCTTGAGAACATTATGCTAAGTAGAAGAAGCCAATCACAAAGGACCACATATTGTGTGATTCCATTTATACGAAATGTCCAAAATAGATAAATCTATAGAGACAGAAAGTAGATTAGTGACTGACTGGCACGGGGGGGCGGTCATAGGTTGGGGATGACATCTAAGGGGTATAGGGTTTCTTTTTGGGGTGATGAGAATGTTCTAAAATGGATTGTGGTGATGGTTGCATAACACTGTGTATATTTTTAAAGCATTAAATTGTACACTTTAAGTGGATAAATTTTATGGTTATGTAAATTATATCTCAATAAAGCTGTTTAAAGACAAAAACCAACTTGCGGGGCACCTGGGTGGCTCAGTCGGTTAAGTGGCTGCCTTTGGCTTGGGTCGTGATCCCAGGATCCTGGGATCGAGCCCCACGTCGGGCTCCCTGCTCAGTGGGGGGTCTGCTTCTCCCTCTGCCCCTTCCCTGCTTGTGCTCTCTCTCTCTCAAATAAATAAATAAAATCTTTTAAAAAAGAAAAAAACAACTTGCATCAAGTTCCTCTATATCATCAGCATCACCAGCACAAAATAGGAATTGTATTAGAAGATAAGATATGCTTTGTGATAGCAATAAAAACTATAAAGTACCTAGGAATTAACCTACCAAAAAAGCACTAGACCTTTACGGAGAATTTTTTAAATTCTAGCAAAGGGTATATCCTATATAAAGGAAAACTTGAATAGACGGATAAATCAATAACATTCCAATAAAGATGCCAGAAAGACTTTTTGAGGACTTAGACAAATGTATTCTAAAAGCATATGGAAAAAATAAGTATGTAAGTAAACAACAAACAAACAAACATAAAATGCACATGGAAGGGGCACCTGGCTGGCTCGGTCAGTGGAGCACGTGACTCTTAATTTCAGGGTTGTGAGTTCAAACTCCATGTTGAGTGTAGAGATTACTTAGAAATAAAATCTTTAAAAAAATTTTTTTGTTTTTAAATGTATATGGAAGAATGAGGGTCTACTAGCAGCCTCCAAGGCACTGTGTGGATGCTATTGTCCTCAGAATAATTTTGAGAAGAGCTTCAAAGAAGAATGCTCATCCTACCAGATACACATTGTACCTTTGTAAATACATATTTACAAAGCCATGGTATATTTTTAAAAATCACAGTGTGGTATTGGTGCATGAACAAACAAAAATATTTGGAGATATAAATAATTGGGAAAAGGTCTTTACAACATCAATGGTCGATAGGGGATTAATTTTCTGAACTCCTGCGTGTCCCAGGTGAGTGAGGCGGAGGCTCCAGACAGGACGTCAAGGCTTCACTCAAGTGAGGATGTCAAACACTCAACAGAGGTGAGCTGAGCCTAGAGCCTGCCTGCTCCATGGGTCAAACTTGACCCTGAGAAGCCAGGTCTGAAATTTAACTGGAAAGAAACAGGCTTATATTTTGAAAGAAATGTAGAGTTAGTTGTGTGACTCATAATTTGGACATAATAAAAGCGTTATGATATGGAGTTATTTCAGTTAGGGAAATTGAGGCTCCGAGAGATTATGTAGCTCCTCCCAAGTCACACAAGAAACAGAGGCTGAGCACTAGATCTCTTGTGTATAATTAATATAGTGCATGCTGCCCATTGCAGGTTATTCCTTCCTCCTCCCGCTCCCCTTCTGTAGCCTCCCTGCCCTACAAGTCTGAATACAAAATTCTTCCAGGGTGGTGCCCTCTCTGGGGCTGTCACCCTTGCTGTGCTCACCCTCTGGGATGCTTTGGAAGGTTGTGCTGTCCTCGTCTGTGGCGTTAGGGGTGGGGAACCCCAGCGGGAACTGACCAGTCTCCGTGCTGACCATCTTGTCCCAGCTCCCCAGATTCTCATCCAAGGGTATGGCATGGATGCTGTTGTCCTCAGAATAATCCTGCTGGCTGCTCAGCATCAGGGTGGAGGTGTCGCTGAAAATGAGGCTGGAGCCCAGGCTGAGGGTCTCATTAGAGCCCAGGATCAGGGTCATGCACGAGGGTGGAGAGAGGGTGGAGTTGGGTCCATGGGTGCTGGAGTGCAGGCTGAGACCGTCACTGGAGCCAGGAATCAGGGTCAAGCATGAGGCCTGAGTGATGGTCATGTTCAAGGCAGACCTGGGATTGCCATTCGAAGCCACGTTCACGGTTCCCTTGGAACTCGTGTTCCAGGTCGCACCAAAGGCTCCTTTTGAGACAGACCCGGAGATCTTATGTGAAACCACAGTGATGGTCTCGTTGGCGTCTGGGATCAGGGTTCCCCCAGAACTTCGAGCCTCATGCAGGTCCAGCTTAGAGGTGTTTCTTGAGCCCACACCGAGTATCCAGTGGGCGTCTGGGTCCAGCGAAGAGTTTGAGGCTGGAATAAGGAGTGCTTTCGAGCCTGGCCTGGAGACGCATTGGCCCACAACCAGGGCTTCTCTTGAATAGGGCCTTATAAATGGGTTTGCTTCAGGCCTGGAAGGATTGGAGTTACTCTGACCCAAATCAAAAATCTTTCTTGAGAGGGAGTTGAAAGCCTCCTCAGAACTGGGCCCTGTGTGGCTCCCTGAGCTCAGACCCTGGGCCTCAGTAGAGCTGAGGCTCAGAACGAGGTTTGAGGCTGGACTTGGGGCCCTCGGGGAGGTAGGCCTCGAGACCTGATTTGAACTCGGGCCCAGGGCTTCACCTGAGAGGGAAGTGGTGATCTGGAGGGAGGCGGGGCCCACAGTCCAGCTGTCTGCAGGCCTGAGGGTGTTACCGGTCACCAGGCCAGGGGCCTCCTCTGAGACAGGACTCAGACTTGGATTAAGGTCTGGAACAAGAGCTGAGCCAGGATTCAGGGGTGGGTTCACGAGAGGAGCAAGGCCCATGTCTGAGTGGGGCCCAGAGGTGGTGCCAGAGCCTAAATCTGAGGCCTCGGTGAAGCTGAGACCAGGTGTCATCTTTGAGCTTTCACAGAGGACCAGACTAGCCCCTGGGTTCAGGGCCATGCCCGGTCTGGCGGTCTCTCAACGCCTCTGCTCCCTTCTCTCCGATAGCCAACTATTGAGCTCCCTGCAATGCTCCTGAGAGAGAAAAAGGCAAATTCAGCATGCTTCACCTTCCAAGTCATGCTTAAAACCTTTCCATGGCTCCCCACTATCCTTAGGATGAAAGCCCTTGCATGACTTCCCAGGTACGTCGTGACCACGCCCAGCCCACCTTTCCAGCCCCATCCACACAGCTCTGCGCCTTGCGCTCTGGGTCCCAGCCAGATGCGCCGGGTTTCTCTGACCACACCCTGCTTCCTCTCAGCGCTTGGCCCTTAACCAATGCAATTCCCTCGGCTTGGAACCTCCTCCCGCTGTCCTTTGCCAAGCCCACTCCCCCCGGCAAAATATTCATCCTACTTTATTCCAGTGACCCATTTCGTGGTCTAGCCTCTGGAAGAGGTGGCAAGAACCATGCTTATCTTAGTCCCTGGGACATCCCCAGCCTCTAGCACCCAGTGGGAAGTCCATAAATACTAGACCAAGGTAGAAAAGGGCAAGAGGGAGCCTCCTTAGGGGTTACCCTACTTCCAGCCTAAATTTCTAGAACTACTCTGCAGATGGCTGTGGCACTGGGTTCCCAAAACAGCCCCTGGCAGAGCTACACACTGGCCTTGACAGTTTGCCTCTTCCGGGTGGGGCAGGCTACCTGGGAGGAGAACCTGGGGCAGTCCTCCAAACCAGAGCCCGCCTCACGCCAGCAGTCAGACCGCAGGGTGAATTCCCCAACCCTCTCCCCACCGTACCCCACTTCCACCCTTGGGCTCCTCTCCCTGTGGGAATCACTGGGAGCGCTCACCTGCATTCATGGTGTTCTTAAGCAGGACTGGGCCCCTGCGAGGAGACACGGAAGAAGACCAAGTCAGGTGAAGTGTGTTTTCTCAATGCTTGCTGAGCAAAGTCTACAGGCCAGACATGCACATCTGCTAACCAAATCTGCCCCCACCGCCGCGCACACACACACAGTCCTAGAAGTTAGATATTATTGCTCCATTATATACTTAAGGAAGTGGAGGTCAAGGAAAAGAATGTCACCAACCCTACCAGCCCTCAGGGAAGAAACCAAGGCCATCTCTTTATGCTACTCATCCACCTAAACTCCTCCAATGGCCTTCCACTGTCTTCAGGACAGCATTCCCAGTTCTCAGCAGGACCTAAAAGGCCCTTCTGTGTCTGGCCTTAATGGCCCTTTCACTCCTCTTGCCCCTCCCTACTCTCTTCCCCACTCCATTCCACCACCCTTCAACGCTTCTGTGCTTCTCCAAAGAGCCAGGCTCCCGGGTTCGGTCCGGGCCTTCCAGAAGTTGGGCATACCCTTCTCCAGACGCCTTCCCTGGCCAGCACCTATGGCTTCACCCTTCAGATTTCAGCTTAAGAGCCTTCCAGGTCCCCCAGAAAGGTGAGGTCCACCTGTAAGTTCCCAGGGTACCTTGTCCACTTCTCCTTTGTTGGCACATAATAATATCTGGTCCCTCCACTAGGCAGCAAGATCTCGGAGAGTCTAACATAGCACCTGGCACACAGGAACCGTTCAGTAAATAAGCTGCTTGCTTCCTCTTCTTATGTCTTCTTCACTCACTCATTCATTCGCTAGCTCATTTCATCGCTTATTCATGTATTATTCATTCACACACTAACTCATTCACTAAATCATTTACTCATTCTATAAATTTTGCTATGCCACTTTATAGCTTGGCTTTGGAAACACCATAGATTTGGAGTCATATGGCTCTGGATTCCATCCCAGTTCAACCTTTTACTAGTCTGAGGGAGCCTGGGCAAAAGACTTTCCCCCTCTGGCCCTCTTCCTGCTCATCTCTAACATGGGAAGCATAAAGCCTGCCACCCATGCTCGTGGCGGTTTCAGTGCCTAGCACAGAACACACGGGCTACCGAAGGCCTCTCTAAATGATAGCTACCTTTCTGTTACCCTTTGCCAGGCACTGCGGGCAGAGAGGAGTAAGGTGCTCAGAGCGCAGGGGGAGCTGCCTTCATTCCAAGCAAGCAGATCACGCACAGCTTGCATCCTGCCTCAGAAGCAGGAAGTGTCCGCTTACCATCAGCACCAGGGCTGATTTGACCCTGAAGCTAGTGAAATTTAAAAATTCAGGACTCCTGGCCTACACAGTCCCTTTCCAAGGGTACTGTACTTACTTTTGTGTTCACAATATTGTCTTCTTTTACTTAAAGAAGAGCCTAAAAAAAAATCCTCAGGCTCCAAAAACCCCTAGATCTTCCCGTCATTGCCCCACCCACCTGTGTGCATGCATGTAAGTGTGTGTGTGTGTGTGTGTGCACACGCACACGCACATACACACACACACCACAGTTATCAAAGAGAGGCATTCACAACCTGGAAAAATATGCATCAGGTGCAGCCTCTGACGCTGCGCGTAGGATTTTAGAAGGCCACGTGGTTTCGCCTATGGAAGAGAACAATCTCTACCCCCTCTGACATAGCAGGTGCATAATACCAGGTCACTGGGCAGACAGCTACAGGTCTCGACCCTGGCGGACCCTCCCTTTTCTGTGAGAAAAGAACAGATCTCCCCCACTTTTCTCCTCTTCTTTCCCTCATTCTTCTCTTCTTTCATCTTCAACAGACAGGCAAGACTTCAGAGCGGCCTGCCGGTAACGGAGGCAGCCCATGTCTCCCCCTCCACCAAAGGGAAGAGTAGTGGTTGTTGAGGGGCTTGGGTGGGACACAGCAGAGCCAAAGGAGCTTACTACTGACTTGGCAGCCACAAGCCTCTGCTTCCCAAGCCCTGGAGCCCCAAATGGGGAGGGCAGAGGACAGCTATAAAACAACTAGCTAATCCTGTCTAAGACTGAGAGAATCACTGATTCCCATCCTCCCTGCTCAGTGAACCCTTCCAGGCCTTGAACAAGGGTTGTTGGAGCTCTCAGGGGGTGTAACTATCAGGAGGTCATCCAGTTCCTCGTGGAGAACACATTTATCAGCTATATGGGCCTGGAATATGTTAAGTACTTGTAAGAATGCACTCACACACCTACATGTGCACACACACGTCTGACATCGGGTGACCTCACACCTAGAGAATCCAAAACAGAAGATGCCAGCTTTCCCCTAAATCAGACTTCCTCTTCTCTTCCATTTCTAGAAACTGGCACTACTATACGAGCCAGAAATGATATCATCCCTGACTACTCTCTTTCTCACTAGCTGCATCCAATTTTGGCCAAGTTCTGCCAACTCTGGCTCCAGAAAAGCTCCCAAATATCCCCGCATATCTCCGTCACCACTGCCAGACCCTAGTGCAGATCCCATTGCCTACGACTCCTGTATGTAGGGACTGCTCCCAATACACCATTTTCTAAATTGAGCTGCACATATCTTCCTTTAAAATTGCATTCAGGGGCACCTGGGTGGCTCAGTCATTCAGCGTCTGCCTTCAGCTCAGGTCATGGTCCCGGGGTCCTGGGATCGAGCCGCACATCGGGCTCCCTGCTCAGCGGGAAGCCTGCCTCTCCCTCTCCCACTGCCCCTGCTTGTGTTCCCTCTCTCGCTGTGTCTCTCTCTGTCAAATAAATAAATAAAATCTTAAAAAAATAAATAAATAAAATTGCATTCAATGGTGTGGTGCTGACATAAGGATAGATATACAGATGAATGGAATAGTCCACATATTATATGATTCCATTTATACGAAATATCTAAAATAATCAATTCTAGAGAGACTAAAAGCAGACTAAGGTAGATAGAGAGAGGTTGCCAGGGACCAAGGAAAGAGAATGGGAAGTGACTGTTTGCTGGGTACAGGCTTACCTTTTGGAGTGACAAAAATGTTTGGCAACTAGATAGTGATGGTGGTTGCATAACACGGTGAAGGTACCAAATGTCAGTAATAGTGAATTTTATGCTATGTATATTGTGCCACAGTATTTTTAATGCATGTACCAGGCAAGAGGGTGTAGACTCACTTTTCCCTGCTCCTCCCTTCCAAATACAACTAAATATCCTGGAAATGATTCAACTGAAAACCATAAAAGGACTCTGAAAGCTAGGAAGAAGGCAATGGACTAGCCAGGAACCTCAGGACTGGAGGGATGACACTGGGGGCACTCCCCAGGGTTTTCTTTTTATCTCCCATATATCCCAGACTGAGTACCAGAGAGGCCTGCAACACAGATCTGCAAAGAGCATGGGTGGGTATACACACATACAAAGGGAAAAAAGCCTGTTCCCTCTGGCCAAACGACCAGGACAGGGAAAGCCCAACAGAGATGGACCCCCCTGCCCCCCGTGGGGAACCCTAATCCCCATTCCACATCCAGGGCAGTGGCAGTCCAATCCACCTGCAGGAGCAGTGTTAGAAGAGCCCTGCCTCTCTGGGCTCTCCACCCAGTGGCAGAGAATTTACCAGGTCACACAGCTCCTGGCCTCGGTGACAAGAGGTGGCCAAGGGCAGCACCATCTTGCCCCTGCAGGCAGTACCACGGGGAGTGAACAAGAGCCCCAGGAGGGCCAGAAGAACACAGCTTACCAAGGCTCTGAAAACTATCACTGGAACTATGGTCCATAAAAGCAGGCCAGAACCTACACTCTGAGCCTTAACAGGTTGATTATCAGCTAAAATAGATTCAAGTAGGCTCAAAACTCTCTTTAACATGATGTCCAAGATGTCAAGGATACAATCAAAAATTACCCATCATACCCAAAACTAGGAAAATCTCATCTTGAGAAAAGATAACTAACTTCAACACTGAGATGAACCAGATGTTGGAGTTTGCAATAATGATTTTAAAGCTGTCATTATAAAAATGCTTCACCAAGCAATTACCAATCCTCCTGAAACAAAATGAAAAACTAGAAAATCTCAGCAAAGAATTAGAAGTAATAAAAAAATGTAATAACTGAAATTAAAATAGAAGTTATTTTAAAGACACAACTGAAAAACTTTTAACTTGCTGGACGAGTTCAATAATAAAGTGGAGGTGACAGAGGACAGAATCAGTGAAACTGAAGACAGATCAATAAAATTTACTTAATCCAAACAACAGAGAGAATGGACTAAAAAATACGAACAGAACCTCAGGGACCCGTGGTACAAAACAAAATATCTAAAACTCTAGTCAGGGTTCCAGAGGAAGAGAGAGTACTGAAAACATTCAAAGAAGTAATAGCTGAGGGGCGCCTGGGTGGCTCAGTCGGTTAAGCGTCTGCCTTTGGCTAGGGTCATGATCCCAGGGTCCTGGGATCGAGCCCCATGGCAGGCTCCCTGCTCCCTCTGCCTGCCACTCCCTCTGCTTGTGCTCTCTGTCTCTCTGAAATAAATAAATAAAATGTTAAAAAAAAAATAGCTGAAAGTATCCCAAATTTAGTGAAAGACATAAATATACAGTTTTAGGGAGCTGAGAAAACCACAAAGAGGATAAACCCAAAGAAATCCACCCCAAAATGCATCATGATTAAACTTCCAAAAACTAAAAACAATGAAAAAAAATCTTAAAAGCAACCAGAGAGCATTACGTATCAGAGAACACCAATTCGAATGATAGAGGATTTCTCATCTGAAACCAGGGAGGCCAGAAAGAAGTTGGACACATATCTCCACTGCTGAAACAAAAAAAAAAAACCGGTCAACTGTGAATTCTACATCAGGCAAAACTATCCCTCATGAATGAAAAGGAAATAAAGATATTCTCAGACAGAGGAAAAATGCATGCCAATCCAACCATGTCATTCCCCTGTAAGAACCCCTCTGTGACTTCTCACGGGTTTTCAGATGATGGGTTGTAAGTAAAGCTTATATCTTTCATAAGACAGATTTCTGGGCCTCCACTTTGCACCTCTGAGGGGGCTGAAGAATCAGACTTTTATCAAACTCTCCCCCTTTCGCCCCTCCCCAAAGTGATTATCACATAGCTGGTGGGTAGGCCATTGGCGGAGACACCCTGGTCTACAATGTGATGGCTGTGTTTCTTTTACCAGGACGCTCAGCCCACAGGCCTGGCCCCTCTATCTCTCCAGCTCCACCCATTCCCTTCCCCAGCCCCGTACTTGAACCACTCTCAACTTCTCCCAGTGCCTCAAACGTGTTAGCCTCCTTCTTGACTTGGGGCCTTTGTAAATAACTCTTTCCTCTTCCTATAAACTTCCCCGAGATGACTCATCTAAACCTCCATCACTTCCCCTGGCTAACATCTAACATTTTAGATGCCAGTTTAGGAGTCCCTTCCTCCAGGAAGTCTTCCTGGGACCCTCAAATGTGGGTGAAGTGCCCTCTGCATGTGATCACTCTGTTCTAGAGGATCACTCTGTTTACTCATATGTCTCCACTCTAAAAAATGAGCTTGTCGGTCTCTAGCTATCTTGTTACCCCTGTTTTCCCAGCGCATGGCACAGTGCCTAGCACACAGGGGAGGTTCAGAAACAATTCATGGAGTAAGGGAATGGATGGATGACAACTCTTTAAGATAGGTATCATTATCTTCACTTACTGGCATGTTAATTCAGACTGTTCAGGAATCTAAAGTAATGTTTCCAAAGCCCCAGAAAATGGCAGCCAGAATTCAAACCCAGGTCGTCTCAACCGGTAGCTTTTCCTACAACACCCCAGGGATTTCTGAGCCATGAATCACTCAGTGAGCCCACAACTCCCTGTTTCTCACTCCTCATTCCCGTTGCCACTTAGGCCCTACCCTAGAGGAAAAGTCCAAAGAAAACAACACAACTCTCCGGACGCCCAGTCATAATGCACCAATCCAGGGCTTTGTGGTCAGCTAGACCTGAATTTGAAACCTACTTGGTCACTCACGAGTGGTGTGAACATGGGCAGGTGGCCTCAGTTAAGGTTGAGTCTTAATACTCAATCCATAACATTAGTATAGGGAATAAAATGGATTAATGGACGTAGGATCACAGCACCTGACCCCCAAGAGTCCCCCAGTAAATGCTCCTCCTCCTCATCCCTTCCTCCTTCTGGGTGAGGAGGGGGTAGAAGAACTTGAGATAAAGACCAAGCCTGGCTTCCAGGGTCTCTGCCTTCTTGCCCCCACCATGACCCCCAGTCTATGGCACTCCTTCCCGGGTCTTCTCACCTCCCCCAACTCTTACCCACCATACTCTCAAAACAAGCCTAACTCTTTCTCCATGAGCCTTGAGCTGCTGATATAAAGTTCAATGTGTTACCTCCACCTGGGGCATCCACATGGTAACAGAAAATTCAGCTTTAAGCCAAAGGTATGAAGTTCTAACTGTGGAATTTACCCGGGGGGTGGGGTCAAGGTGGTAAAGGCCTTGAGGCTGTGGAGGCCGCCCCCACCCCTGGGACTTTCCCAGAGCCACCCCTCAGCTTACCTACTCTCGCCCCAGCCCAGGCTGGTGTTACGGTCTTTGTGAGGTCACCGTGACTCAGGAATTCCCAGCCAATGAGGCCCCTCCTCTTGCCTACACAGTTGGCTAGAAGCGGGAAGGTATCCTTTCAAAGGAGGACCCTCCACCACTGCTGAGAAATGACCTTACTCAAATGAAGACCAGGTTCCTTGCCCAGCATTCAAGCCTCCCCATCAAAGCCCCTTACCATATGACCTTACGCCTTTGTTTGTCTTGGGATGACAGGCTCGTTCTGAGGAATGTTGCAGGCTTGGGGCACAGCATATCTGAGAGGGAGGCCTGCGGGTAGTGGGCTGTGTGCAAAGGTCTTTGGAACCAGGCAGTCCATGTGGAGGAAACTGAGACCCACAGAGGGGAAAACCCTGGCCCAAGGTCATGAGTGTCCCTTATCTTTTCCCTACTCCACCCTGCCTCCTCAGCCAAGGCACAGATAACAGTGTGGAGCAGGGCAGGAATGAGGGCCCAGCCGGCCGGCCGGGAGACCCAGACCCTGAAACCTAGATTCCAGGATAAGGCAATGAAAACACTACTATCTTGCTAAAGAAAAGCTTTGTAACAAACAAGAAGTAAGCCGATTACGATTACCAGTGACTACTCTGAAAAACTTCACTGGGCACCTTTTAAAAAAAGCTGTAGTGAAACTATCCACTAAACTATATTCCCAAGGGGCGCCTGGGTGGCTCAGCCGGTTAAGCGTCTGCCCTCGGCTCGGGTCATGCTCCCAGGGTCCTGGGATCGAGCCCTGCATCGGGCTCCCCGCTCGGCGGGAAGCCTGCTTCTCCCTCTCCCTCTCCCTCTGCCTGCTGCTTCCCCTGCTTGTGCTCTCTCACTCTCTGTCAAATAAATAAATAAAATCTTAAAAAAATAAACTATATTCCCGCTTACCCAGGGCATTCAATCTGGGCTGGAATTCCGCCTCATCCCCCGAAGCCCCCGCCCCAGGCGCCTCAGTGCTCAGCAGCGAATACCCTCCTACCACCTCAGATCTCCCTTTTCTGCCCCCACCCCTCTGCCTTCCACACCCCTGCCCTGCCTGCTCCTGGCTCTGCCCCCTCCCCACCCACCTGCGGCCTCAGGGCCCCGTGCCATCTGGAGCTCCTGTCCACTTGCCTCTTCCACACGGCCTACCACCCAACGTGGCCAAGTTCTCTTTCTCAGCAAAATCCTCCGCAGGCAGGAACTCCTCTCTTTTCCCAGCACCCCTCACCCGTCCTTCAGCTGCGGTGCCAAGCCTCTCCCAAGAACCCCCTCTGACCCCCTCCTCTCCTCCCCTGGCCTCATGCACCCAATTAACCAAAGGTCCTTCCAATTTTGTTCTGTCCCTGCAACGCCACGCCTTCCACTCCGGCTCAGTCCTCATCACCGGAAGCCCAGGTTTTGGCCCGTCTTCTAAATACTGTCCCACAGGGCAAGCTCTCCCCTGCGCTAGCTGCCACCGTCCTGCAGCAAAGGAGACTCCCTGACAACTCATTCCCACGCCTTCCATGTCTCCCACTGCCCAGAGGGCACGTTCAAGCCATCGAGGCCCTTCCGCAGGCTGCTCCTACCTGCCTGTCTCTCCTCCCTTGGGATTTTGTTAATTCATACTGGAACACCACATGCATACAGGAAACTGCGTATCATGCCAATTCTGATGAATTTCCACCAAGTGCACCACGTAACCAGCGCCCAGAGATGGAGAAATGGGACACTGCCGGGACTCCCAGAGACCTTCCAGTCACTATCCCCCACCAAGGGTAACCACTATCCCGACTTCTAATACCATCGTTCAAATTGTACTTCATTAAGTGGAATTATACAGCACACACTCTTTTGTTTCTAGCTTCCTTGGTTGAACACTTTTTGTGAGATTTCACGTATTTTTACATGTGGTAGCGGTTCCTTCCAAATGTTGGCGCCCCTCTGGTCTCTTCCTGCTTTTTCTCTTTTTCCAGAACCTTCAGGTAGTTTTTTTTTTTTCTTTGTAAGTTTTTTTCTATTTTTTTTTTTTAAGTAAGTAAGCTCTTCGCCCAAAGTGGGGCTTGAACCCACGACCCCGAGATCAAGAGTCACATGCTTCACTGAGTAAACCAGCCAGGTGCCCCCGGGAAGCTGGTTTTTTTATATTTTGTCCAGAGTTCACAGTTGTTACCTCTAGGAGGGTTGGTCCGAAGGAGCTGCTTTGCCCTTACTAGTAGAATCTCTCCTCTTATTTTTTTCTTATTTTTCTTTTTTCTTACTTGCTTTAGGATTTCTGAATTTGCCTGCCTACTTTTACTCTGCTTTTCTCTCTTCTACTTGGTGAAAGTTACATATTTCATGTCTATTCTTTAGGGTTACCCTAGCCATTTGAACATGCATACTTACTGGCAAAGTCTAAAATTAATAATGTTATCTGCCTTTGGAAAACCAACAAATGAAAACCAAAAGGAGCTTACAAGAGTGTAAGTTTAGTCAACCACCTGCCAGCTTCTATGCTATTGTCAACCTTTATTTTAGTCCAGTCCTGTTTTTTAAACCTACCAATTAGACATTATCGTTTTATGTGATCCATGTTTGTTTTAGGTTTAACTGATACCTTGGCTGACCATTTTTTTAAATTGAATCTCGGACCCACCACCTGAGATCAATTTCCTTCTGCCTAAAGAATAGCCTTTATTGGGGCATCTGGATGGCTCAGTCGTTAAGGGTCTGACTCTCGATTTCGGCTCAGGTCATGATCTCAGGGTCTTGAGATCGAGCTCCACGTTCGACTCTGCGCTCAGCGTAGTGTCCGCTTGAGATTCTCTCTCCCTCGCCCTCTGCCCCTCCCCCCACTCACTCGGCTCTCGAAAATAAATAAATAAATCTTTTTTAAAAAAGAATAGCCTTGGGGCACTTGGTGGCTCAGTCAGTTAAGCGTCTGCCTTCGGCTCAGGTCATGATCCCACGGTCCTGAGATCAAGTCCCGCGCTGTCCCGCGCCGGGCTCCCTGCTCAGCTGGGTGTCTGCTTCTCCCTCTGCCGGCACGTCCCCCAGCTTGTGCTCTCTCTCTTGACAAATAAGTAAATAAAATCTTAAAAAAAAAAAAAGAATAGCCTTTATCATTTCCTGAGTAAGAGTTTTATAGGGATGAGCTCTAATAGCTTGAAAAAAAAAAAAAACACTTCATTTTTATCCTCTTTCTTGAAACTGTTTTCACTGTATGTAGAAAATTCTAGGGTGCCTATTATTTTATTTGAGCACAACAATGATAATATAATAGTCCACTGACTCCTGGCTCCCGTCAATGCCTTGAGAAGTCAGTTTGCCAGCTTTTGTGTGATCAACCTATTATTTCCGGCTGCTTCTGAGATCTTTGACTTGAGTGTTCTGCAATTTTTCTATGACATATGTAGTTATGGATTGCTTTTTTTGTTTAAAGAATTTCAAAGAGATTTTTTTTTTTAAAGATTTTATTTATTTATTTGACAGAGAGAGAGAGAGACAGCACAAGTAGGCAGAGTGGCAGGCAGAGGCAGAGGGAGAAGCAGGCTCTCCGCTGACGTGGGGCTTGATCCCAGGACCCTGGGATCATGACCTGAGCCGAAGGCAGCCGCTTAACTGACTGAGCCACCCAGGCGCCCCTATGGATTGCTTTTTATTTTATTTTATCCTAGTTGGAATTCACTGTGATTCCTAAATCTGGAGGTTGGTGCTCAATCATTTGGAAGTTTTCCCACAAATATAAGAAAATCACTGCCTTTCCCTCATCCCCTTTCAGTTCCTCTACTACTCTGACTACATGCATGCCAGCCCTTCTCCGTCTTCACCTCTCATACTGCCCATCTCTTTGGTTTCTGGAGAGACCTTACATAATTCTCTCAATGGCTGAGTCTATGCTAGGTTAAGTCTTCCCATTAAATGTTTTATTTTAATTGTCCTTTTCATTTCTAGAAGCTCTGTTTTGCTCCCTCTCAAAATTTGCTTGGTCGTTCTGTTTAGTCTACTGCTGTTTGTTCACATTTTCAAGGTAGTTTCTATTTCTTTAAACATATTGTATTCTGTGTCTGGTTGTTTTGACTTCTAAAGACCTCCTGGGTCTGATTCTGCTGTTTGCCTTTCTGTCAGTTTCCACTCATGGGGGCTTGTTTTCTTATGAGTTTTGGGGTTGCAGACTATGAGCTGTTCATTTTCTTTGACCCTTTGCCTGGGAATTCCGTAAGTCCTGGATGAAGCTACATATTTCCTCTTGAAAAGATTTGTTTTTGCTTCTGCTAGTTACCTAGGGGCACCCCCAACTACCTTAAACTAAATTCTACCATTTAGAGTTTTTGGACCCCTTAGGCGATATGAATTTGGACCAAGAACCAGTGTGAGGGACAACCTGTGGTTAATAATTTTCAGAGGAATTTATTTTTTTTAAAGTAGGTTCCATGCCCAGCGTGGGACTTGAACTCACGACCGCAAGATCGAGTCACATGCTCAACCGGCTGAGCCAGCCCGGCGCCCCCAGAGGAATTTTTTTAACCCGCCAAGTGCCAATATCAAACTGGCAAGTGGGTTTATCTCTCCTTAACCTTTGCTCAGGGTGCAACCTTTGGATTCCATTTTCGTGAAGGTGTATCCTACTAGAATCCCCACTTTGGAGGGAGTCCTAGACTTTATCCCTTGTCACCTCAATCTATACAGCCACCAGAGGGGAAGCTCAATGTCACCAGGGTTTGGCAAAATTCCTCAGGACAAAAGTCAGCCTTGACAGTTGCTTACTCCTCAGAGCTCCTGTTTGCATGTCATTCCTCAGAGTTTCCTATTACATCAGCCAAGAGATGCACTTTAAACGATTATTATATTTTATCCAGCATTTAAGTTGTTTTCCCTGGGAAGTTTGTCCAGCGTGTTTAGCTCGTTACACTGCTGGAGCCGTGCCCCCGCCTCCTCTCCTCCCATTCCCTCCTACACAATTTCTGCCGTAGCCACACAGTGGTTTCTCCAAACTCACAGTAATGGTTC